TGATTTTGACCCATGGCCACTCTGTGGTGGATCTCAGCACCCACTGTCTTTGCAGCATTGCGCCTTCACCAGTATTATAGGAGAGGAAGTTCCTACGGATCTGGAAAGGCAGTCCGATAGACTCTCACTCCAAGTGCAAAGTAATATTTCTGAATATACAGCCCATGTTGGTATTGTGTGGCTTGGGAATACTCTCTTCAGTCATGTACATCCTGCAACACTTCTCAACCCACGCTTACCTTCCGGTTGCGCAACCACCGTAGCACCACTCTCCTCGGTCTCTTGAAGCCGCTCCTGCAATTGCTGGTTGTTTCTCACTCCTGATTCCACTGGGTTCATTGCAGGAAGAGCGCTGTCTTGGACGGCTGTCACCAGAGCTTCACCTTGTCCATGGTCTGTTCAGAAAACAAAATATGCAGATAAAAGACAGAGAGGAGCAATTTACAGATTTATCCGACATGACGGCGGCAATGGTATTTATACCGCGTCAAACTAAAATATTCTGCTTCTTTTCGGCTGCCATTTTTTCGCAATACCCTTATATTCCTTTCACTGCTTTTCATGCGTTTGTCAATCATGTGGCCCACCCTCACACACCATTGTATCGCCAACTCACACAAATCAATGGACTCTGTCGACAGTAGTGGTGTGATTGTTCAGGTTCATCATAGTGGGCGAATGCCAAGGTGCAGACCTACCATGTGGGCAGGATGTACTAGGCGCCCCTTATGGGATTTTTTTAAACATACTGCATATTTATCGTAATTCCAAGCGAAGATTGGACCGGGTTGTCAGGAAAACTCGGAACCAACACAATCATCCTCTTCAAAATAAAGCTTACAGCATGCACTGGCTGCAGCTGGCTGCACTGAAAATGGAATGATGTCATTGATGTGACATCCAAGTACGGATATACATACTACACTGCTATTGCACGATTTGAGCTGGGTGACATTTTCAGCTCAAGTTCCGGTTAGCACAGTTCTACATGCCGCTGTGTTCGACATAACTCACTGTCATTCGGGTTGCTGAGAGGAGGAGGTGAGAGGCGTTGTCCAGCAGAGTCAGCGGACGATTCAACTGTGTTGTGGCCAGGAGAAGGTCCCTGCTGTTCATCATCCGGTGGTTGCCCTACAAGGTGGGAAAAGAAGATCAGGTGTGCAGTGTGGCGAGGTCTTCAGTTCATAACAGCATACTTTGCAATGTACAAAACTGCACCGGTGTATACGTTGCTGAACGTTTGATTTGTCCCAACCAAGATATCTGCACTTGGTTCATCACTTTTTCGCTTGTTTGCTGATGTCTCTGCACCCCATATACCAGCTTTCTCCTGTCGGTGTCACGTCCCAGTACACAACCGTAGTCTTGTAGTCAATAGTCCTTTTGTCAGTCTTCTTGTTTGTTTGTCTCTTTGAGAGCAGTTTGCTTTTCCGTCATGTCGTATTCCCTGGTTTTAGTGTCTAGAATATAATAATGTAAACAACAAATACATGTCCTTTGTGTTCCTGCGTCCCGGGGAACGGATTAGCTGTGATTCCGTACCAATGGCACCATTCAACAAATATTTGTCCTTTGTGTTCCTGCGTCCCGTGGAGCGGAATGGCTGTGATTCCGAAACAATGGCACCATTCAACAGCTTGCCAGGCTGAAGACCACCACAATTCAGCCTGGCCTTCACCACACAGCGATTGTAGTTCAAGCGGTCCGCCTGGCCAGTGAATCTATCTTTTAGGTATTTGCTTTTTTTCCTTCTTTTTTGTCTTTCCCCACGAACACATCATACCACATTCTCTGGTACGAACTGGCTATTGGTAACCACCCAGGAGAAAGAAAGTCAGGAGGAGACTAAGAAGGAGAGGAAAGAAGTGTGTGGCCATAATCGCCAGGAAATAGATCCACAAACTTTTCAGTTACAAATTCACTGCACATACCACTACACCATATCACACGCACACACCCACCCACACCGCACACACACACACACACACACACACACACACACACACACACACACACACACACACACACACACACACACACACACACACACATACACGTGTCCCCGTAGCCACACAAGTCCATACATCAGGTAGATTAGAATCGGCGTGTGGACCGTAGTCCCTTCCCTGAGTGAGTCATGCTGTGTGTTGTCAAATCTTCCATGGTAGGAACATGCATTGTCTGGTTTATTGGTCAGCTGCCCAAACAAAAGACTGGCATAGCCAGTCATGGCATATCTTACCACGTGGAGTGAAAAACGCAGTGGAGCTATCACTTCTCGCACTTGTCGGTGAGACCAGTGTTGAATTGCCTGCTGCTGCACCTGTCAAAGTAGAACACATGAACAGCACATGAACACCATTGACAAAGAGCAGAGCATGAGACCTAAGCAACCTTCACATATACCACAGCTCATAGATCTTGGCCCGAGGCCAGGAGAAACAGCGTATTTAGTTCCCGCAGATCGAGATGTTTCCGCTTGGTCGTTGCAGGATGGTTCTGAATCTCTAGACGATGATCCAGCTTTAGAGGGCAGTAAGCATCGAGCAGTACAAGCGGATGAGAAACCACTCGACTGATTACATGGACAAGCGTTGCTGAATTCTTCAGCAAAAGGCAGCCATGACCCTGGAAAAATAAGGCTGTCTAAAAAGTTCAACAATCTCTCCCCCTCTTCTCCTCCATGCTCTCTCTGGCAACGACTAGCCTTAGTAGCCATCACACACACACACATGTAATAGGTGTATGTATGCTACGACCTGAATACTCACTATTCGTATTTCCCGCTCGTTCCCCTTGGCAATGAGCCACTCACATAGAAGAGCGCATGCTCCAGGTTCTGTTCTGTTCTAGTCTGTCTTGAGTTGTCGTTGTCCTGTTCTCCTTGTCTACACTCTTCTCAAATACTTCTATAAATTATCCAATCATATAAAACCCTTGTGTTCCGGTGTGAGGGGGCATCATTAGCCGGGAGCAGCTAACACTGGTGGCAGCGGAAAACGTCCACCACTACATCGCTGGCGGAGTGTGTACGCCTTCGGAGATCGCCTACTATGAAGAACCACGAAGGCCCACGCAAGTGAAACCATATCCTCATCCACTCTCGATCTCTTCGTCGATATTTTACTTTCTGCATTGTGTTTCTTTCTGCTCGTCGTTTTCTTGTTGCATGCAGTGATTTGTTTACAGTCCATAGGTCACGCATTGGTGCCAACCTGTCTGGCCCGGCAAACATTTTCAGAACATTTTCTGTGTCCGTGTTTTGTGCATGATTGCATACTGACTGCTGTCTGTTGTTAGGATAACTGCTAGCTGGGTAGTAGAGTCTACACTGTGTCCGTAGATAGAGTACGAGTAGTTGCCTATTTGGAATTGTCTCTGCCAAATTTAGTTGTTTGCCGCTACGCACGATAGGTTACGTAATAGATTTAGATCGATAGTTGATCGAGGCGTCGATCGAGTCCACGGGAAATTTTTGCAGATAATTTTTTTTTTCGAAAATTCAAAAGTACAAAAACAATTTTTTTTCACAATGGGCTGTTCAGCGAAATCCAAGAGACAAGAAAAGCTAGAGCGTAGCTTCGCTGAAGCTGGCTGTGACATGAGCATTGCTGAAGAGCGCGAGAGTTCGCCGGTACAAGGGTTGTCCCATCGTTTTCGTTTGCCGGACACAGACACACCACATGCACGTCCACTGCCGAAGCCAGTCTTGCTTCCTGAGACATTCGGAAATCAGCCAGGCCAAGATTTCACCACGTACATGAGGCATTTCGTCCACACATGCGAGTTGAGTGGGTATGACGACGACCAAAAGCTACGGCTACTACCTGCTCGCCTTGTTGGTACAGCTCATGAGATGTTCACCGAAATTCTAACTCACACGCCTGACATAAACTTTTCCGACGCAGACTGTCGATCACTGATTTGGACGCGGCGGTCCAAAAGGCCATCGAGGTAGGTGCTATTTATGCTCGCGAGCAGGCCCGCACCGTACCTCACCAGTACGCACAGCCCGTATTCGCTGCTGCTCCGGAAGTGAAGCCCCGTCGCACTGCTCATGGTCGTGACCCCTACACAGCAGTCGGTCCACTGAAATCGGAATCTGAGCGAGACCAGTTGGCTTCGCTTTTGTCGAGATTTGATTCGCGTCTCTCTGCTTTGGAGGCGAAAATGGAGAGCGTGAGTCTGTATCGCCCCACCCGACCCCAGCAAGACCATGTACGTTTTGTTGCTCGTGGTGCTGGTGCTGGTGCGCCTAGTCGTGGTCGTGGCCAGAGTATTGCTACAAGGCCTGTGCGTGGAGTGTGCCATGGATGTGGTGAAGAGGGCCACTTCATTGCATCTTGCCCGCACGCAAAAAACTAGGTTGGACTGGTGACACGGGGCCGCCGTCAGTCGTCCGAGTGGAGCCCCTCGAGGAGGTATGTGGTGCGATCTCACCCATTATTGTGCACGATGATGTTTGTCTTTCGTCTTCGTCTTCGTCTCCTGTTGTTGCTCTTGTTGATTCTGGTTCAAGTGTGTCGTTAGTGCATTCTAAATTGTTGCCTAATTTGACAGAGCGACCTCCTCTAGAGTCTGCTCCGCGGTTGTGTGCAGTCAATGGCGCACAACTTCCTGTCGTTGGATCCATGGATCTGTGTATGTCGCTAGGAAATCTGTCTTTCCAGCACACGGTTGTTGTCTCTCCTGGTATTCACTGCGACATGATTCTTGGTTCCGATTTTTTGTTGCAGCATGGTGGTGTATTAGACATTGCTCGTGGTGTTGTGATGTTTGGCGATGTGTCTGTTCCGTTGCATGTTTCTGGTTCTGGGTGTCCTCCGTCACGTACGCCCTATGATCGTATTTTTCCGCGTAATACTTCCTCCTCATGTAATACTCATACTCCTCATTCTGAATCTGATGCATGCTCCGACGATGTACCTGTTTCGTCGTATTCTTCTCGTGTTGCCCTTGACGATTCATTGTCTGCACGGGTTGTTGAACCCATGGCTCAACCTGGCGTTGTCCCGGCGTGTGCGCCCGAGAGTGTGGCTGACCCTGTGGTATACTCATCTCGTGTGGTGTTTGAGATGGAGTTGTCGGTACCTGCAGGACATGTTGTCTTGGTGCCTTGTGCAGCTGTTGATGTGTGCACGGTTGCGATGGATTGCATGGCAGATCCATTGGAGTCCTTTATGGCGAAGCATCCAGATGTGGCAGTGACTCCTAGTCTTGTAACTGTTGGCCCTAACCAAACACGTGTGGTTGTGGCTGTTGAAAACCATGCAAATCATCCTATACTCATTCATAAAAATACCAATGTTGCCGAACTTCATCAAATTCCTACAGATTGTGAGCATATTGACGACACTGAAGCTATGGTTTCCTCAGTTTCACCCGACCCGATCCCGCTAACTGAGCAACGCAAGAAAGTCATCGATGAATATATCAACGCACAAAATCATCTCTCCACAGAACAGTCTCGCACGCTCACTGAACTACTTCATGATAACCACGATTTATTTATCTTGCATGATGATGACTATGGCTACTGTGACATATTCCCTCATAAAATTAACACAGGACAAAATAACCCTAAAAAACAACCTACCAGGCGGATTCCATATCACCGCCGGAAGGCTCTGCAAGATCTACTGAATACGCTGTTAAAGCAAGGCATAATACAAGAATCGATTAGTCCGTGGGCATCACCCATAGTATTGGTGCCAAAGAAGGATGGCTCTCTTCGACTCTGTATCGACTACAGGAAGTTGAACTCTGTCACCGAGCCTGATGCTTACCTGATTCCCCGGGCGGATGACATGCTTGATTCCCTGTCTGGCTGTCGGTATTTCACGTCCCTTGACTTAGCGTCCGGGTACTGGCAAATAGCAATGGAAGGAAGCGACAAGGCTAAGACGGCATTTACCACGCCACTGGGCTTGTTTGAGTTTAATGTTCTGCCGATGGGCTGCAGGAATGGCCCAGCGACATTTCAGCGCGTAATGGAAGCAGTCCTGAGTGGCTTATGTAACACACCGGCCCAGCCATTCTGCCGTGTGTTCTTTGATGATGTCCTGAATGCCAGCGAAACGCTGTCTGGCCAATTCCAGATTCTGCTGCCCGTGTTCGCGCGAGTTCGGTCCGCTGGACTGCGGTTCAATCTGAAGAAATGCTCCTTCTTCCAGGAGGAGGTCACTTTCTTAGGACACCGCGTGTCAGCGGAGGGCATCTCCCCGAATGAGGCCAAACTCGTCGCGGTCAGGAACTGGAAGACTCCGAAATCTGTCACAGCTGTCCGCGAGTTCCTTGGCTTCGCTGGATATTATCGCCGCTTCATCCGTGGGTTCGCCCAGCGTGCTGCTCCGCTGACTGCTCTGACAGGCAAGAATGCTCGCTTTGCGTGGTCGAAAGCTTGCGAAGCGGCGTTCCAGGCTCTGAAGCGTTCGCTTGCCAGTGCGCCGGTGATGGCGTACCCCCAGTTTGAAGCTTCAGCAGGTGCATTCATTCTGGACACCCATGCGAGCAATGTGTCGATTGGTGCAGTCCTCAGCCAGATCCAGGATGGAACTGAGCGACCAATTGGGTACGGCAGCCGTGTACTGACGAAAGCTGAGCGCAACTACGATGCTAGCGATCGTGAGGCCCTTGCTCTGGTCTATTTTGCGGAGTATTTCAGGCACTACTTGTTGGCACGACCATTTGTTGCCAGGACCGACAATACTGCGTTGACTGCACTCCGGAACCTGAAGGAACCCCGCGGACGGAAAGCACTTGGCTTGACTGTTTATCCGAATATGAATTCCGAGTCGTCCACCGTCCAGGTCGCCAACATCTGAATGCCGATGCTATGTCCCGCGTGGTGACCGATGTGCCGTCTCCTCCGCCGAGTCCGCCGTCTCTTGCCCGTGATGTTCCGCTGTCAGCTGCTGCTGAAGTGCCAGTTGCTGGAGCCACTTTCGTCAGTTCTCCTGATCCGCCGCCTGATTGTTTTCGGCCGCAGGATATTCTGAGTGCCCAGTCTGCTGATCCTGATCTCGCTGCGGTTTTGTCTTGGTACGATGCTGCCAGTGGGAAATTTGTCCGTCCACCTGAAGAGGATATCCGTCCCTTCAGCCGTCTTCAGAAATTCCTTTGGTCTTCTGTTTCTCAGTTGCGTCTTATCGATAAGGTGTTGTATCTTGATCCCCCGTTCGCTCATGATGTTGATGTCGAACATCGTGTTCTGATTGTCCCTGTCGTTTTGCAGTCTGCTGCGCTCGCGTCTGTTCATTCTCTGCCCGGTGCTGGTCACTTTGGCATTGAGAAAACGTTACATCTGGCCCGTCAACGTTTCTTTTGGCAGGGTATGGCATCCGATGTCCAGATTTATGTGCAGAGTTGTCCGACTTGTGCTCAGTTGGCTTCTAAGAATCCAGTGCACCGTGCTCCGTTGCAGTCCATGGCTGCTGGTTTTCCGTTTGAGTTTGTCGCATTGGATATCGTTGGTCCACTTCCTGTGACTCCAACTGGTAACAGGTATGTCCTTGTCATCGTCGACTACTTCACTCGCTGGGCTGAAGCCGTTCCTTTGTCTGCCATTACTGCTGAGGCTGTCGCTCTGGCATTTGTTCATGGTTGGGTGCCTCGCTTTGGAGCGCCACGTCGCCTCCACTCTGACCAAGGCTCTCAGTTCGAAGCTCGGTTGTTCCAGTCGTTGTGCACCATCCTTGGCATCCGGAAATCCCGCACAACCAGTTACCACCCCGAGGGCAATGGACTTGTTGAACGCCTCAATCGTACGTTAATCCATCACCTGAAGGCTTTTGTTGGCCCTACAGATGTCCATTGGGATATTCCCCTTCCGCTTGTTCTTCTCGCCTACCGTGCTGCTGTACACAGTAGTACTGGTTTTACGCCTTCCCGTTTGTTGTATGGTGCTGAGCTTCGCCTGCCTGTTGATCTGGTCTTTCCTCCTCCTGATCCTCCGGAGCTCTCCCCATTTGCCTATGTTCAGCTCGTACGTGATCGGTTAGCTCAGGCTCATTCTCTTGCTCGTGTTCAATTAGCTGCTGTCCATCGTCACCAGAAGTCAGTGTATGATGCTCACTGCAGTGGTGCTTCGTTTGTCGTTGGCGATTTAGTCTGGCTGCATGATAAGGTGATTCATGCCGGCGAGTCTGCCAAGTTCCACCGTTATTGGTCCGGTCCGTTTCGTGTTGTTCGTGTGAATGGTCCTACGTCGTATACCTTGTCTATGCCTGGGTGTGAACGTACCGTCCATTTCAATCGCCTCAAGAAAGCTGTAACTGTGTCCGGTCCTGTTACATTGCCGCTGCCCGATGATGATTTGCCGCGCTGCGTTCCGCCGCTACAGCCGCCGTCGTCTGATCCGGTCCGTACTTCTTCTCCTGTTTCTCGTCGTTCTGGCCGTGTTCGCACTGCACCTGCTCGACTAGCTGACTATGTCCTGGACTGAGTTTATTATTTGGTTTGTTTTCTTTTGTTTGTTTCCTACGTATTTCGTTCATTCCCGTGGACGTGAATTTTAGCTAGGGGGGCACAGTGTAATAGGTGTATGTATGCTACGACCTGAATACTCACTATTCGTATTTCCCGCTCGTTCCCCTTGGCAATGAGCCACTCACATAGAAGAGCGCATGCTCCAGGTTCTGTTCTGTTCTAGTCTGTCTTGAGTTGTCGTTGTCCTGTTCTCCTTGTCTACACTCTTCTCGAATACTTCTATAAATTATCCAATCATATAAAACCCCTGTGTTCCGGTGTGAGGGGGCATCATTAGCCGGGAGCAGCTAACACACACACCAACTTCAAGTATTGTCAGTGATAATATTCCTTCTGACAACAGGAATATTATCAGTAACAATACTTGAAAGTGGTGGACATCAAGCAACTGCATTGTAAATAAAAGGGGGTTTGTCAACTGACAACCGCTCTATTTAGTTCTGGCGATGGGTGACTGGCCCGAAACGTCAGGCGAAATTACTGGTCAGTCGGCGACACGCATTTTTCACAAAAAATTGCGTTTCACCTGCTCGGGGAGTATGTGTGTACTCGAGTCTCATCCTGAGCACGTTTTTTTCTTCTTTTTTTCAGCTCCAGTATAGCTGTATTTTTCATTGCAAAGCCGTCCTCGATTGTTGTGTTCGTTGTTCAAATGAAGTGGACATTCAATCATGAAGGCAGAGGACATAGGAGCCTGATTGGAGTTTCTCGTGGCATAGGACGGCCACACAGAGACACTTTGGGATTTTCTGAATATAAAATACCGTACTCACGATGCTGAGATCAATTTGTGTGATATCAAATTGTTTGTGATCTACCACATCGAGCAGAACGGGATCCAAACACAAGCTTACCGACAGTTAGGCTGCCGACCTGACTGGACAAATGATCCCTGGCTTCACCAGACGCCAGAAGTCGGACACCATGTCCTTTGCCGCGACGTCCATCTCCAAAAAGAACTCCATCTTCATCGTGAAAAGGCTTGAAATACTCAATATTCAACCGAGATTCGCGGTCTCACCCTTTCTCAGATCGAATCATTTTTTGTTATAGCAGTTGCAGGGCAGATCCCCGTCACTACTTCAACAGAAGATGGCTCCAAAGCATGCCTGGAACAAGCCATATCGAGGTTGCAAGCCACCCCTCTCAGCAAGAAATTCGAAATTTCAATGGTGGAAGATATACTATGAAGAGAATCAAAAAGTATGTTTCGCGGAGCGATCGCTCAACCTACGTCTGATTCAAACTTTGCAGGATGGTTCAGACGTACATGCTAGGCATGGAACCACAGAAGATGATATCATAGCTGACACACAGAGTCACACACACAACAGATTCGTGTGCACAGATACTAAATTAGTGGACGTCGTCATCTTCTTCCCGCTGATCTCAAATGTACTATGACGTGCTATTTCGCCTGACGCGTCAATAATTTTTTCGACATCACTAATAAAAGAATTTTCATCCAGCGCATGCGCCAAGAGTGAATAGCAACTAAATAGAGAGGTTGTCAGTTGACAAACCCCCTTTTATTTACAATGCAGTTGCTTGATGTCCACCACTTTCAAGTATTGTCAGTGATAATATTCCTGTTGTCAGAAGGAATATTATCACTGACAATACTTGAAGTACCCGTAACCCCTTCGTTGAATTGTTGGTGTGTGTAATGGCTACTAAGGGTAGCCGGCAGAGAGCGCATAGAGGAGAAGAGGAGGGGAGATTGCTGCCGTGATTATTGAACAGCCAAATGGTAACGTTCACAAATTTATTCATACTGTAAGACATGTAAATCTAACGAGGAAGTAAATCTAACGTTTTAACGAGTGATATTTCTTCGTTATAATTATTAGGTCTGGTGAGGCTGTAATGCTTTATATGTGTTATGTGCGGCTATGCCTGAAGACTGCAAGATCGTTAACGTATCGTCTCGCTAACCTATGGATTTTGGACAATCGTTAATGTTGTGACCCGTTACAACATGTCTTACAGTATCTAGACAGTGATGGAGATTTTCAGGTACAATGTCACTTACCTTCTGCCATTTCACTTATCGGAACAGCGTCACTTTCTGCACGAATATCACGAAGATCTGCGTTTATTGGGCCAGCATGCCCGTGTGGAACTCCACCGTCTCCTGTCAAAAGTAATAGCACATGCAGAAACCACAGACAGCACAAAGACACGAACATCTTGATTATGATAATTCCCTTGACCTGGACAGACATGCGTGTAGTACAGAACCCCGGACCACACTTAATCTGCGGAGATCACGGACAGTTTGCCTTTTGTGCCAGATGATGATCACAGTTTCTCCGGTCTCTGTCGAATACATGTGCGTCTCCTACAACCAGATACTGCTTCTAATTGATAACGAGCTGCAATTCCCACGTAGAAAGTCACAAGGCTTCTAGAATAACTGCTGGGGTGAAAATCAAGCTCATGAAATGATCAATCCCGGTGCTGCACGAGGCGCCTAGGACTATGAGCATGGCTCTGTGCAGTGAGCATGGCTCTGTAAAGTGAGCATGGCTCTGTGCAGTGACCATGGCTCTGTAAAGTGAGCATGGCTCTGTGCAGTGACCATGGCTCTGTACAGTGAGCATGGCTCTGTACAGTGACTATGGCTCTGTACAGCAGGGGCGTACGCAGGATCTGGAATGAGGGGGTGCTCCAACCTTTTCCGAAAGAACCGAATAATGCATTATTTCGGTGCGTTTGATACATGGATGGTTGATAACTTGATTTTTACTTTTAGCGCGCTATTTAACATACAAGTATTTACCATGATATACCAAGTCGAGGGAACATGTAGGACCTCTTCTGTAGGATGGAGCAACCATGAGGCCTTGAAGTACTCAATCCCAAACATACCCCTCCCTTTGGAGGATAAAATGTACTTCCTCTGTAAGCTAGGTCCAAGAGTACACTACTCTTGCTAGATCATATAACGAAGACATGTTCAATTTGACTAATGTACTTGGAAGTACATGTAGTGACAACGTATAGTACTTCACATATTATTGAATGGGGCGAGAAGGCAAAACTACCATAACAACTTCTGGCAGGAGTCACAGAAAAAGCTCCCAGGAGGCAAGTGCAATGGATGGTGGTAGCTTCACAAACAGAATCGTAGCAGAGGGCTGCCACTTTTCTGTAGGTAGAAATCAGAAGCAGTGTCTGAGTCATGAGGTATTCAATGGCAGGAAGGCAAGGGGGCAGCGACCCCTTTAGAAGCCATAGCATTTTTAGGATTTCAAGGTCCCGAAACAACAGATTAGTACACTTTCGTGAACAATCGTCTTCAGTCGGTTTGTCGGAACAACTGATCGGAGTGTTCCCGGGAAATCAGAATAGAACAAGTCGAGGCCTTGACAATATGGATAACCCTCTGTCCTGGCACATGAAAGGTCATGTAACATGGTAAACTATGATCAACTAGTGACGACAGCGAGTGGAAAGCAAAAAATCCGTTAGAAAAATCTGATAATTGTGCCACCAAAATTGCATTCAAAAGTCTAATTTTATGAACATCCCCATTTCTTCTTTCAGAGTTTGGGCACAGCGCAGTGTTCTAAGTACTGTAAAGGATGCAATTTTCGGTGTAACTTTAATTTCGGTGATTTCGGTAGAGAAACCAGGCACCTAAATTTAAATTACACCTAAAGGCATTAGAGTATCTACTGTATGTGACTGGCACGCTGGTCACCTAATTCTACATTACACCTGAAACCCGGCAGGTCCCTGGCACCAAAATTTTAATGCCCCTAAAATAACATGTTTTACAGTATCGAATTCAATCACATCTCAATGGAAAGCCTCACTCAAATGTCGAACATTTTGAGGGGGGTGCTTAAGCACCCAAAGCCCCCCCCCCCCCCCCCCTGGGTACGCCACTGTTAACAGTGACCATATCTCTGTGCAGTGATCATGGCTCTGTACAGTGATCATGGCTCTGTACAGTGAATATGGCTCTGTACAGTGAATATGGCTCTGCGCAGTAAGCATGTCTATGTGCAGTGACCATGCGCACAGAGACATGCTTACTGCACGGTGACTATGGCTCTGAACAGTAAGCATGGCTCTATACAGTGACCATGGCACTGTACAGAGCCATGGTCACTGTACAGTGAGCATGGCTCTGTAGTGAGCATGGCTCTGTACAGTACAGAGCCATGGCTCTGTACTGTACAGCGAGCATGGCTCTGTGCCAGCCATGACACTGGATTTCACCTGCCACCTCTTTAGAAAGAACTCTAAGTACAGCACCTGTGGCGGCATAAGCTCTTGCTCGTCTTCGAAAGGGAATCGTGACTGCACAGATTAATATTGTCAGGGCTCACCACGGCCGTACATAGTGTCAATAACGGTCATTTGGATTAATTTTGACCAATCAGCGCACGGCAAAACGGGCCGTTTCTTGCAATTGTGGGGTGTTTTCTGAGCTTACCTTAGTATTGGTTGGTTTTAGACATTAGGCCATTGTGGATTCATGTTCAGAAGGTGTGTCTTTGGAGGATTACTGTGTCGAATTTTTCGATTTGGCCTTCGTTTGGCTGAGATCGGATGGTGAAATCACTCAAACTCGAAGACGTGCGAACAAGTGAATGAAAAGAAAATATAGAAATCAGGGACAATAAACCGATAGAGAATTCCAAGACCGAGAAAATGAGCTATCGAAGGTGAGAATCGGCCAAGTAGAACCGCAGTTCTACTTTTTCGAAGATATCAAGGTCGGCTGTGTGTTCCCGCGCGCACCAACAAAGCCTGGCAGCCGTGCACATATCTGCAAGTGCAACAAGAAAGGACGAAGGAGACAGCAAGCGTTCCAAGTGAAGAGTTTACCTTCGTGTTGACTCAAGCTAAGGATTCAGGCCAGTCAGGGATCATACCAGTCACTTGTCATCATCATCATGACCAAGGAATTCATTTGTGGCCAGAAAACTCCACACTCGCAGCGTGAAAGCTGCGAGGCCAAACAGAAAAGAGTGTGCCGAGTTGCGATCAGGAAACACTGAGTTCTACTAACAACATTGGTTAGCTAGGCACGGCAATTCTTGTAGATGCCAGGAATCCAGTCCACCAGTACCTCATGGACATATCTTGGTCGACACGCACCAACGGATTGAGAAAAATGACCAAGATGGCTTGGAGAAAGGACATCTTCTCCATGTGTCTTTCCCGGCATCAAACAACAAGATTCGCTTTGGCACTGACCCTTCTTCGCTGTGCAAACTAGACCAGGGAGTCGTAAAAGACCGGTATTTTACTACTTGACTGTACATTGCTGTACATCGATCAGCAAGAAGTCGGGTGGGTAGTCGCTAGGACTGCACAAACTCTGGCCTTCGCCATTTTTTCAAAATGGAGGTCGACGCTTTTTGAATTTTGTATGATCGTTGTGAGCCCTGACTGTTAGCAGCAATGCTAGATGTACGTACTGTAAGACCACACATGTTAAGTTACTTTTAACGCCACTTAGAATTAACGGTCGCCGGATTTTCGACGATTACCAAAAGCGAAATGTCAACAAATTCTGGCTGTCAAATCCAGCAAACAACTGAACACACGCAAGTTACGTACATAGTTTTGTAGATAACGATTTCAAACTTGAGCAAATTATTTTAATCCATCAGATCGTTGAATTATAATGTTCATTAATTAAAGCGGTCTTGCAGTATGTGCTAAGCATGAACTTCACATCGTGGCAGATGTACAGAGCGGTTTCATGACTCTAGGCAGCACTCCGACACGTGAACATGCCAACCTACACTGCAGCGCTACAAGCACCTACTTCTAAACACACGCTCACCAGGCCCATCATCTTCTGGAAGAAGCGCATAAAATCCTGATCCTCGATCTTCTGAAAAAAATGAATAGCAGCAGAAACGGCACGAACGGTATTGTCGGGAATTAGCGCCGTACGTAAATTTGCGCCACATGGAAATAAATACCGCGCTTCGAACCCGCGGATTGGTCACAAGCGCCGTATGGTTTACCATATCACCATGGAATGTATTTGTTCCAACTTCTGATGTTGTACGCACTAGCTAAAGTGTGCAGCGTCCATCGCACACAGTACCCATGCTCAGTATTGGCTTACCGGATACAATCAACGTCCGACGTCCGAAAAGTTCTGTGAACAGTGCCTTTTGCCACGTTACCTGAACATCAGATCCCTTATTAACACTGCTTTTCGGTTGCTCGAATACAGCACTTAGAGACAAAGAAGGGGTGGACACAGTATGCTGGCGACAATGAACGTGACCAACAACGCTGAAGATATAATAATATTATTATGAAGATGATGACGGGAAAGTTATCAATTTTGGATATTCCAGCAGCGAGTTGAGCGAGGGAGAAAGCTTGGGTACGATAGAGAGAGAGAGAGAGAGAGAGAGAGAGAGAGAGAGAGAGAGAGAGAGAGAGAGAGAGAGAGAAAACAGAGAGCAGTGTTACCAAGTGCCCTCTACCCCCATGCGTACTGACTAGTGCCATTTTGCAGAATCTGTCAGAGTTTTGCATACTCGTTTTGGAGGTCAACATTTTGACAGATTATTAGTGTAATTTGGAAGAAGAAAAAACGACACTGTATATTAACCCTTTTTTACCGGGTTTTCAGCACAGCATGCAACATAATTTCAAATGCCAGTACAATTTTCAACTTCACTAGGTCATAACTTTGGTCTACCGTAGTTTGCTTGATTTTCACAATCTAGGGCTCGTTGGAAAGCTCTTGGCAGGAGCAACGCCATGATACCAATCTCCTGAAGCCACCACAAATCAGGCGCGGTAACACAGGAAAGTCGTCTCCAAGCCTAATATGCAAGCAAATTTGTCCCATCAAGGCATCAACACCATTCCACTCTCCTTCATCGCAGAACGCTCAATTTTTTTTCGAGACAATTCAAACTTCAGCCGGCTACGTCATTATAAGGTGCTCAGTCGATCAAAGAGCACGCGAAAAGGGATTTCCCCGAAATGGCGAAGAAATCGATCACAACTTTGAATTTGCCGAGATAAGAATACGACGCGTGATATCTCTGGAGTCTGACATCGTAACTCTTCAGCGATAGTTGCATTGGACAATATGGAGTTTTAGCTACCACGTAGACCCTTTGATTGTTGAATTTGCACAAGGAACGATGGGGGTACGAAGGTTTTAGTAATCGATCATATACATGATCGTTTGCGGGATAATTCGATTGAAGTCCGTACTGCGGACAAAACTTCGCTTTCCCGTGAAAATACGGACAAATACGGCGGTTGGCAACTAAAACACTGAGAGAGAGAGAGAGAGAGAGAGAGAGAGAGAGAGAGAGAGAGAGAGAGAGAGAGAGAGAGAGAGAGGGAGGGAGGGAGGGAGGGAGGGAGGGAGGGAGAGGGAGGGAGGGAGGGAGGGAGAGGGTGGGAGGGAGGTAGAGAGAGAGAAAGAGAGAGAGAGAGAGAGAGAGAGAGAGAGAGAGAGAGAGAGAGAGAGAGAGAGAGAGAGAGAGAGAGAGAGAGAGAGAGAGAGAGAGAGAGAGAGAGAGAGAGAGAGAGAGAGGGAGAGGGAGAGAGAGAGAGAGGAAGGGAGGGAGGGAGGGAGAGAGAGAGAGAGAGAGAGAGAGAGAGAGAGAGAGAGAGAGAGAGAGAGAGAGAGAGAGAGAGAGAGAGAGAGAGAGAGAGAGAGAGAGAGAGAGAGAGAGAGAGAGAGAGAGAGAGAGAGAAGAGAGGGAGGGGGAGAGAGAGAAAGAAAAATAGAGAGGAAGAGAGAAAGAAAGAGAGAAAGAAAGAGAGAGTGTGGGCATATGCTTCTTAGTAGGAAGTCATCTGCGCACAATCATTTCATTTAGCATCTCTTCCTGATTACTGCCAATTGTCTTCTGATTCCTGCCTCTCTGCTATGGGCCGTGCATATTATGGTTCTAAGCTACAGTTGAAAGTGCATTGTGCGTGATAACGCATTCATAAGCCTAACGTGTGGGCTCAGAAGGATAGTATTATTTATACGAATCTGTTCAATTGGTAGATTGTAAAGTTGGTCTGGCCATCCCTGGTCGCATTTCTTTCGTCACTAGCGTTTTCCATGCTTGACTTTGGTTTGTCTTGCATTCATCATTGTGCTCTTTCACACGCACGATATCTTGTTACAACAGCATATCAGTGTTATAATTGTTTGCATTGTTAAATCGTCATTTCTCTTAAATCAATAATTTTAAATGGCTTCCGTGGAGACTAATCAGTATGTCAATAAAAAGAGCGAAAGGCGCACCAGTAGCAAGGATTATATTCGGTTAAATTGTAACGAATCATTCCTGAACACTAGCGCTTTGGGAACCTTCTCGAGAAGGAATGGACAGGCAAAGAGATAGTAGCGAAAGACATACATGTACCTAAACACGTATGCAAAAGTGAATTTCGTTAAATATACATAGCGCGAAGTTTGCGAAGGTCTTCACTGACTTCGGCTCTGTCTACACTGCCTAGTGTTGTAGACACTGAACACTGTAACAGTGCAGGCTCACTGAATATTTACAAAAACTCGAGGTTTGGCCTCATGTCCTCTGTGCTGTGCTGATGAGTCCACAAAGGACGAAACAATTCTGTCCGCAGATTGAGTAAAAACTCGAGTGCAAATCTCAGCAATGACACCCATACACAATACTGACCTAGTGCAGCCAAGCCGCCGTGCAGAAGTACTGCTGGTCACCAAAAACAGGAACAGTCAAATTGCGGGTTTTCGTCGAAATTTGGTACTGAATTCCTGGGAAACTTCTGTGTTGTGATAGGAAAAAGGTTTAAAACCTGGCAGAATCTTCAACTCTTTATGGCTGTGCCAATTGTTCGGAAACCTTCACAGAACAATTTTCCATGCCCAAAACAAGACATTCTTTGTATTCTGATCTTCAAATTTCCTTTGTCTTCGTGCATTTTTCTTGACAAACCTGTTTGCTTATATTTTTGAGAAGGACTGTAAGCCTTGTTAGATCTCGAAAGAATGAATTCACAGCTACATGCGTCATCACTCACCCTGACTCCTTTCGCTCTTTTGATACCGCCCTGTGTTAATAGCAAAAGCAAAAGCAAAACAACAACAACAACAACAACAACAACAACAACAACAACAACAACAACAACAACAACAACAACAACAACAACAACAACAACAACAACAACAACAACAACAGAAGCAGCAGAAGCAGCAGAAGCAGCAGCAGCAGCAGCAGCAGCAGCAGCAGCAGCAATAGCAGCAGCAATAGCAGCAGCAATAGCAGAAGCAGCAGCAGCAATAGCAGCAGTAGCAGCATTGAGTTACACATCAGTCAATGCTCCGGCTATAGTGGCACTGGGCACTAGCACTATCAGCACACGTTGACTGGATCATATGGTACTGACCATAATGTCGCGTATAAAAGCAGGTGCTTGCGGCCGAATAAGCCAAGCCGGGGTTCCAACCATGCTTCTACTTCCTCCGGAAACAAAAACTTGGTGACTGTTTGCACTAATTTTCGCTGCTGGTCTGTCACTCTCTATGACTCTGCCTGACACACCAATAGGTGAATAGGTGACAGTTTGGAACCTTAGGAAGGCATGATTTACATTCTGAAAAGCCAACACTGTAACAGTCATGGCAAGGCAAGGGTGTCATGCCGTTAACCAAGCGAAGCGAAGATGTTTTGCATTTTTGTCCTGCACGCACATTGCCAACAAAATTTTAATGCACTGGGCTCGATTCTCGTCGTTGCCAGTTTTTTTGTTCAGAACGAGAGAGAGCAGGAGAATGGCGCCGAGGGGCAAGAAGAGTGTCAAAGCGATAGCAGCTAGCGTTTTGAAACGAACACTTTTGTTGAGAACTGTAACTCCTTGAAAAGTCATTTGAAAAAGTCACGAACTTTTTGTTTCCGGAGGAAGTATTCAAAACATGCTTCTACATCAACATCATCAGTCTACACTGTGCAGTGCATACTGCCACGCATGTATTGTGAAAGTACTTGCACTTGCACTTCGGAGTATATCAATTTATTTGATTCAATCCGAAATGTGCCACAGCTCATCAGCGTGATAATTATGTCAGTGTTTGACGGACTATCACATGATCAGACTATCACATGATCACATGATCACACTATCTTGTACATGTTGAACCCAGCAGACAGTCGCTTCCAACATGCAGCCTCTCAACTGGGTCCCTCAGAGACAAACAGTGGTGGACGAAGTTGAAGAACGCTGCTGGCAACCGCACACAGCCCGAAATTCCCCTAGTTGTCGACTCTGACGGCCGCGAGTGGGCAACGAGCTCAGAGAAAGCAGAGGCATTCGCTCGCTTCTTCTCGAAGAAATGTAGCGTTGCCGGTCCGGACCTTGTGGAGGCTGACCTACCTGACCCTGCTCCCTCAGAGGCTCCACCTCTTCGCACCATCCGCTTCCGCCCACAGGCTGTCCGCCGCCTCCTGGCAAGGCTCGACGTCTCCAAGGCTAACGGGCCTGACGGTATTTCTGCTCGCGTCCTTAAGGAATGTGCTCATGAGCTCGCAGAGCCACTGTCCAAGTTATTTGCTTTACGCTTCCGGTCTGGAGTCCAACCTAGGATGTGGAAGACGGCCAACGTGGTTCCGATCCACAAGCGATCTTCCCGCTCAACCCTTAAGAACTACAGGCCCGTATCCTTACTGTGCATAATCTCGAAAGTATTGGAAACTCTTGTAAACAGACACATCGTAAACTATTTTGAAGACCATCATCTGCTCATGTCGCACCAGTTTGGATTTCGCAGAGGCCTCGGAACATCGGACGCTTTGCAAGCTCTCCAAACTGCCTGGGCAAGCGCTGTGGGCTGTGGAGGGGCGGCTCGTACCCTTGCTGTGGACATCGCAGGAGCGTTTGATCGCGTCTCGCATGTCGGCCTCCTCCACAAGGTGCGTAGCCTAGGCATAGATGGTCCGCTTCAGAGATGGCTGGCCTCGTACCTGGACACCCGTTCCCTACAGTGCCTCGTTGGAGGGCGGACGTCATCTAGGTAAACGACCTCCGCTGGAGTCCCCCAGGGAAGCATCCTTGGCCCAACGCTTTTCCTGGCCTACGTCCACGACGCGCCAGATGTTCTCGCTGACGGCGCCAGCTTGGAAGCCTATGCTGATGACACAACTTTGTACAGCTTAGTCACCTCCCAGCAGACCCCAACAGTCGCCGCGCAGTCACTGCAGGTGTCGGTTGACCGACTGCACGAGTGGGGTCGTACATGGAAAGTGATGTTTGAACCGACCAAATCCCAGGCCATGACAGCCACCCTCAGACGCACCGGCTTAGATCTCCCCCCACTCCTGTTTGGTGGCACACTGGTGCCCGAGACAACCACCATCACCCTCCTTGGTGTGAAGGTGGACGCCAAGTTTACCTTCAGCGATCACCTACGCTCCGTAGCCACCCGTGCACGCCAACGGCTTGGGGTCCTAAACAGAGCCGCCCACATACTCACCCATGCCGGCCAGACGACCGTATACAAGGCGTTTGTACGACCAGTCATGGAGTATGCACCTCTTGTATGGATGGGAGCTGCGCAGAGTCACCTCCAGCGTCTGAACAATGTTCAGCGCCGCGCGCTTCATGCTATCGGCCCTGGGGCACACCTACCCAGCCTGGCCATCCACCGCACTGTTACCTCGCTTGCCTGCCTGTACAAGCTGCACTACTTGCCTGGTCCTCCGCAGCTGCTCTCTGTGTTGCCACCGCGCCACATCATCTCTACCAACCCCAGAACTCGCAGCGAGCACGGTGCTGTCAGTGGCCATGACCACCAGCTCCAACACCAGCTGCCTGCATCTGCCCCGCTGGCACTGAAGCACTCGTTCCCACACTGCAGCATCAGCGATTGGAACTCCCTCCCTGCCTCTCTCTTATCCCAGCCTCCCCACAGCAAGAGAAAGCAATCATTCAAAACGAATGTTTACCGCCATCTTCGCAGCACAAACTGGCTCTGGGCAGTCGATTCCCTATGAATAGTATGATGCTAAGACAGTTTCTCCCCCACAATCGCTCGTGTTAAGCCTTGGGTTTTTGCATCTTTCTTACCTGTACAGCTCTATCTTCTTCTTTTTTTCATTGTTTTTGGTGCGTGTTTTTGGCCGTGACGCCGAGACCTCAGGTCGGCAGAGTCATCAATGCCCCACCATCACTGCTGCGTCTCGGTGCAGCGCCTGCTCATTAGTTGTCACGTTTGTCCTAGTCTCTGTACCATTGTCTTTCCTTATTCTTTTCGAGCTGGTTATGTGAACATAGTGAAAAAACAAAAAAAACAAAAAAAAAACATGCACCAACGTGTTTCTCGCCTTTTCAAATTATTTTTCTCCACTTTGGAGAGTACGGAAGTGGCTAAATCTATATTAAAACTTCTGCAACGGCAGACAGGATCTCTGCAAATTTCACACACGGTAGACATGCACGAGTACGTAATGCACCTATTACTAGTGCACCCTCTCTTAGGCATTCGGAAGAGCAACACATACTCACAGCAGATGTAGAACAGGAGGGAACAGAGAATAAGCGCCAATCCACCCAAACTGGCACCGATTGCAATACGAAATGTGGTGTTAGAGCTTTGGGGCGTCTGCTCATAGGGAATTGGCTGTGGGTAGCAGACTGTGTTCGTGTCATTATCTGAAGAAGGCTGAAAACACGCAATGTACGTGCCCGTCGGAACGTCAGTCAGCTGTGCCGTGTGGCAGCAGCAAGATGTGCTGATGCTTCTGCTGTCTGTTGTCGCTGTGACTTCAGGGTCATCAGCCTTGGTCCAGATGATCCTGGTGTAGGGAGAACCCTGAGAAACACAGTACCGAACACCACAGTCAGACACTCAGTAGTCCCCTTGCTCCAGGTAACCTGAGTAGTGGTAGAGTGCAGGCGCGTGCGCCGGTGCCCTTCAAGGGGGGGGGGGGAGGGTTGGGGGGCCTCCTGCGGGAAAAATTTCAAAAAATGAAGCAAAATCCTGTTTTGAGCAAAAAATGGGGGTTCCGGGCACCTAGGAACCCATACGGGGCACCGCCTGGAGTGTCACAGCACAATCAGCCATGTGAAAAGAGACAACCCAGCCAATGCTGCCTAGCGTACCCGTCTTCAGAAAAGAGGTGGCGGCTCTACACAGAGGATATGTGTATGCTGATCCAAGGTGGCAAGTAAACAGGCACACATCCGCCCGTACGCCCACACACATGCACACACACACACACACACACACACACACACACACACACACACACACACACACACACACACACACACACACACACACACACACATGCGTGCACCCATTTCCTGCATGTACATGCCAATAGCAGAGTGTGCCGCTTGTGAGTGCGTTTCCTAGATATCCATTTACCTGGCATCAATGACACTTTGAGGTGCGAACCAATTCAATTCTCTTACGGCTGACGGACCCTCGGTACCCCCCCCCCCCCCCCCCCCCCCCGTTCACACACACACCCTAAAAAAAGACTCACGATGAAGTTGACAGTCCCATTGCTGAATCCGGTAAATTGTGGTCTAATGGGGCAGTCATCTGGATATCAACATAACCCACAAGACGTCAATGCTGTTTGAGAATAAGTATACGAACAATGAATACTTGCTTGACAAACCTGCTCCCAATAGATCAACCGTCACTGGAGACCAGTAGCTTGGCGACCTGCGTAGACTCGAAGTCACCTGTGTAAAGACATCCCCTGTGTAAAGACTAAAGAGGTCACCTGTCCACGAAGGCAGCCTTCATCTGCACCGCAAGGACTATCTACTAAACAAGAGTCTCTTGAAGTCTTGAAACATTTGTTGCAATTTGGATATTTTCAATGTCTTGATTATACTTCAGTCACAAACTTTTAAAAGGCCTCGTCTAGCTTTCTTTTAAGGCAGAAGATAGATCTTGGATACCAGTACTAACCTTGACTGCTATCGATCCTCACCCGTACATCAGTGCACGTCTTTCCATAATCATTTGTTGCGCAGCCTCTAAAGCTGCCAGAACAACTGCAACACGCAAGCCAGCCAGCAGCAGCAGTAGTGGCAATTAGTTTGATGCACCGCTCCAATCATCATAAGCCAGCCAGGCGTTGCAATGTGCATACAAACATTCACCAGTCTGGAAATGTTTGGAGGGAGAAGTGTATGCTTTTCGTTGGATTTTTTTCGTCTTGCATTGCAAGGGTACCGCTGAAGATTTATTTCGTTGGTAAAAAAAGTTCCGTCTTGCAATATGGCTGCCCGCAGCCAACCCTGCACTAGTTGTGGCTGATGTTTAATGCTGAGAGGGAGAAGTCCCAGTGCTCACTGCATGTGTGCGGGTGCAAACAGGATTCCCAACCTGGGCTTCCCACAACCACCACAACAGGCAAAAGAACATAGTAGAGACAGAAGTGGCGAAACAAACACCAACACCACTGCATGTCTCTACTACACCGGACCTAGGAAATTTCAATTTACATATCGCAAGGTACGTTCGGGCCTGGTTTAAATCTGGCTTTGGAAAATTTATTTTTCATTGCTACCAGGTTCGGCCTCATTTCCTCTGTGCTGCGCTGACGAGTCCACAAAGGACGAAACAGTTCCGTCCGCAGATTGAGCATGTCAAAAAAAAAAATTTAACATCGCAGTCCGTCACACAACTAATGACTCCACGAATGACCAGAGACACCCGCCTTCAGGAGCAGGACGGACTCAGTCTTCCAGTTGCAAGAACAAACGCTGGCAAGTCGAGGTATGCCTTCAACGCTACAGGTAAATGGAACAGATTACCTGGAGACGTCCGCTCCATCACAATGCTGGAGACCTTAAAAGCTACAGCAGTACCTTACGCAATTGGTCATTGACTGTGCCGATGTATTCCTTGCCAAATACATGCAACAGTAGCAAATGCCATGTTTGACAATGGCGGATCCGTGCTATTGATCTCCAGCTGACTATCATTTCCAGTGCATACACACTTTTTTCTCTCTCTTTTTTTCTTCCCTCTTCGCTACCTTGTCGTTGGGAAGAAATTCCCGCTTGGATTTTCGCAAAGTAAAACGAAGTAAAAATATATTTTAAAAACCCCAAGGTAGAATCTTTCCCGACAGCCGCCTAAAGCTTAAAATGAATACCGTATTCCAGGTGGGAAATAAGAAATTTGAGAGAGAGAGAGAGAGAGAGAGAGAGAGAGAGAGAGAGAGAGAGAGAGAGAGAGAGAGAGAGAGAGAGAGAGAGAGAGAGAGAGAGAGAGAGAGAGAGAGAGAGAGAGAGAGAGAGAGAGAGAGAGAGAGAGAGAGAGAGAGAGAGAGAGAGAGAGAGAGAGAGAGAGAGAGAGAGAGAGAGAGAGAGAGAGAGAAGGGAGAAAGAGATTTGACATGATGCCTGCACGTTGGTTCACCACACCTTGTCTGGGCTCGACAAGACCTACCATGGCAAGAAGAGGATCTGAAGCAGAGGATTCGTCCGATCTACAATGCATAGATCGAGGGATCCATTGCACAGACCGCCATCCTTGTCGACAGCCATCCAGCTGTACTGGACGCTGGATGCGTTGTACGTGCCAGAAACGTTCACCGCCAGCTCCACTACATCGGTCTGCGACTCATTCCTGACGTGATACTCGGTGTTATTGGTAAGTCGGTTAACTAAGACAGGGTTATCTGTACGAGCAAAAGGAACACCGGAAACATTGACGTAAGTTAGTTTCACGGTGTATGTGTGCGAAAAGTCGATCAAGGTGACCAAAAGAAAACTTGCATCAAGCAATTCAATGTTTCCACTTTTGGTAGTGATGCCTTACAGTACTGTCGGTCGCTGAAGAGCTGGAGGGGGGGGGGGGGGGGGGCAGCCTCCTAGCCTAGACCGTTCTTATTTTCATGTATTACAGTCTGTGGGCAGTTGAGTCACCGTGTATACATTGGTATGCTGTGTTTGGTGAAATTCTAGCCTGGTCGTTCTTCAACGATCTGTTCTTCGGCGCCCGACAGTAGTGCATGCTAACTGCACCGCTTACCCAGCCAAAACGTTACATACACGTGTACCCTTCGATATGAAGTGTGTAACAAAGGGCAGGTATTCCACTCAATGCACTGTTGTTTCTTTCTCTACCTGTTCTGAACCATACTTGCCGACCTGCATACATGCCAGGCTTTCTCGAGAGGTGAACACAACGCATACACGACCCCTTCCCACAATGTAGGCGTCACTGACTTTGAAAGAGGCCAGCATAACAGAGAAAGCATACCTGCAATATAGACGAGGACGCTTCCCAGGTAGGTGTTGTTGCTAGCCAAGTAACAGGAGTAATTACCAGCCCGATCACGCCCTATGGAATCCGACGCCACTGTGAAGGTGCTAGGGCCTTTAAGTTTAAGTTGTCCATTCTGCCGCCAAGAATACAGTAGGCCTGTATTGGTCACAGCTAAGGGACACACCAGCACCACAACAGTGTAGCAACCAACTGGGATGATGATCTCTGCGTCAACAAGCGGAGTAGTTGCTCCATTGGACTTCGGACATGCTGCATTAACACGTACAAGGAAAAGTGGAAGAATGATTATTCATCAGTTCATGTAAAGCATAGTGTTGTAGTCCTTATGCGGCATACAGGTGACAATTATGATGTTGATGGTAAGTTGACAAACCCTTATTTCTACAAACTAAGACATTGCGACTTCAGCGGTAACGAGTGAAGAAGGTGGCTGTTTCAAACGTTGGAGCTCGCGCTTCCTGTTGACATACAGCAATACTTTCTTTCAGGCTTGCCGAGTGGAAGGTTTGATGTCCTTCTCGTGTGCTCCAGGTGACAGTCGCGGGTTAGGCAAGTGTCAAGTCAGTTGGCAGAAAGCGCAAGCTCCAACGTCCAGAGCTACCGTCTTGGTTCTTAATTTTACTTTTTTGGCACGCAACTTAGCTATGTGTTGACTTACAGAGCTGGCATGTTGTACCATATACGTGATAAGGACAGACGCAACTGGGATGATTGCTCCAGTCCAAGACACACTGGCCATTGGGACAGTTCTTCTCGTTGTTGTCACACTTGCGCTCTAGTAATCACGACGATACCCACATTCGGCACCACCACAAGCAGCAGCACCAACAGCAACAGAAACAGCAGCAGCATGAACAGCATCGGCAACAGCAGCAGCACCGGCAACAGCAGCAATAGCAGTAGCAGCAGCAACAGCAGCAGCATGAACAGCAACAGCAACAGCAGCACCACCACCACCACCACCACGAGCAGTAGCATCAGCAGCACCAGCATCAACAACAATACACATTCATTATAACTTGCCACAGCGTATGCTTTTTGGCACTGACACTTCCAAGACAACGGGTGGATATGTGTACACTATTATACAAGAAAAACTAGGACCATTGAAGTCTTACACCGGAGGCACCACAGTTCGATTCGTCAGGGATCGATCAAAGTCACAACATTTTGATTCTGGGGGAAGAATGCAGATAGCTCCGTTGACAAAGTTTTACAGGATCACTGATGAGGGAGAAAGGGAAAACACATTACTATTATTATTCACACATATCCGCCGGATGAGTACGCGTGGCCCATGCACCATGGGGACCCACCAATACAAACCAGCATATGTTCCCTCAGTAAAACCCATTAGTATGGCCTAAAATCAAGCAAAGCAGAGTGACGCAATAGCAACTGCGCTTCTCTATTGAGTATACAAGTGTCGTGCGTGAAACGCACCTGAAGGGTGCATTAGTAACGTACACAAGCAGAACAATGTTAAACCTTCCACACTTCACCTTGCGGCGTACATGCTGACAGGCTTACCAGTAAGCGATATGCTGACGTTCTGCCATAGCTGTCGGATGGGTGCAGGCGTCACCGTATCAGTATCAGATTGCCATCTGAACAGAAATGCCCATATATGGCTAACCCAAACCTGGGGCCTTCTCATTGTCAGTGTGTACTTGAATCTGCAGTCTTCAAATGAAAGCAGCTCCAGTGATGTCCTATCAACAGCAACAGCAACAACAAAGACAACACCATTTGCAGGAGTAGCAGCAGCAGCAGCAGCAGCAACAACAGTATTCGAAACTATAACACACTGGTACTTGGTAGCTATTGAAAATGGCCATGCCTTGACCTTGATGTACATTTTTTGTAGATGTCTTTCTTCTCCTGCTCCCAGCCCTGTGCCATCTCCACACTTATACAAAGGTACGACGATACCTACATTTAGAAAGACATGCAATGAAGAGTTTACACCACAGCAGTGTCCAAGCATGTACAGGCATGTGGTGTCACTTGCCTGTCCAATGCCTCACACCTGCAAAAGGTAAACGCTTTGATGAGCTTGGGATTAGATAGTCATGCATAGAATTAGCACATCACGTCATGGTCGCACAATGTGTCATTTTTGAATAAACGAAAATCCATCAGTCACTTTTGCAACCCACCCCTACGGCAACTACCCAGATTTTTCCCGACTTATACAGGCGTCACAAACTGTCTTTATGTTTCCCGCAGGATACAGCACACACATGCTTCTCCCACATGAGTATTGGACAACTATTTGTTGCCAGCAAAGGAAACACTTCGTTTCCATCTGCCACCAGTACATTGTTGTTAAGTTACCTCAGCTCCTCTCTTCGACATCAGATATTAGGCAAGGCTGAATATGCCGAACTTTGACAAAGCCCACTAGAGCATACTATCACAAGCTCTCTAGCGGATTAAGGGTACTGTTAACCCGAAATCGTTTGTGCCAGTCTTAGTTCGCAAATTGCGATGACAGACCTTTCTGTGCCTGCAAAAGCTTGCGATTGGAGTCAATTTGATGATGGACTCGAGTCTACAGTTTCGCGTTCCAAGCCCACGTACTTTCGCGATTTCACACCCATCACGAAAGTCACGAACATTTCAGGATCGTAAAGTTTTCTGGGTTTACAGTGTTATTTTAAAAGCCTTTTTTACGGGCAAAAATTAGCACAATGGATTAAAATGCAATAAAACATACACTGGAGAAGAAATCAGAAAAAAATGCACGTGTAAAAAAAGATTTTCAAACCCAAACCAAAACAATTCAAATCAAATTTCGGTTTGCAGTGTTGTACTCTAGTTTTTCTTTCACCTGCTCCCAGCCCCGTGCCATCTCCACACTTGCACAATGGACCACAAGATAACTACATTAGAAAGACCGTTTATTGCAAGACGACTACGGAAACACAACTAGCCATGACGAACTCAAGACAAAGACTGCCTTTCACACCACAGCAACACGCGCGCGCATGCAGAAACACGACGTACACAGGACATACACAAAATAACGTACTACAACATAACTCCCCCCAAGGAGTAGAATCATCCTCGATTCTAGTAATAAAAACAGAGTAAAAAGAGGAAAAGATCACACCAATCACTCAATCATACCACACCAGCCACACCCAGCAATATAAAATGTCTGCCTCACTGCAGATTATGAAAAACCGTCTGCCCACCCAGAACCCCAGCCACAATTGCTGTCACACATGTGGGAACTGATAAACTCAAAAACTCTAAACTACTTCACTCAGAACACCGCCTCACGATCCCGCAAAAATTCTAAAAATGTGAGAGCACAAATCATAGGAATAACAAAAAGAACAAAATGCACTGGCTCTGTGGGGGCCTCTAGTTATCCTCATAGAAGAGCAAATCAAAACAAAACAAAACAGAACACACACGCTGTGCAGGCGCCTCTTTACCCTCGAGGAGAGCAAATAATGAAGAACAAAATGTTGAGAGAACAGAAAATGCAAAACTCACATACTCATCACATTCACAACAACACACGTACCCTCTCACCAACTAAACTCCTCACGCCGCCATACCGTCCGCCATCTCAAGTAGCGCTGCTCAACGTCGACATATTCACCTTCACACTGCAGCCATTATCGACGACGTCTTCACCTTCCTTTTTTTCCTTTCCTTTTCCGGGTTTTCTTCTGGGCACAGTTTACGTCGTGTCCGGGACCACTCAATGACGACGAGAGACGATTGACGAAGGACGATGACGACGGACGGACTTCTTGAACCTGGATGAAACTAAGTTATGACGATATGATGACCGGAGATGACATTGGAAACTGGGAGCGAAGGCCACGCAGGACGAATCCAGAAAGTTACAGTAGATAACACATTTATTCCCGTAGCTATGCAAAAGACGTTACTTCAGTAACGTCTGGCGCTATCCAGGGTCCACACAGCTTTAATTCCGTGTTTGTTTGTTTGTGCCATCGGCATGCCTGGCGCTCTCCCGTACCTTTCCCGTACCGTACCATCAAAGACAGCTGGCCACAGGGCTTATACGGTGTTGTACGGTATAATGATGTCGTATAGCATGTCGTACAACAGTACGATGAAATTGTGGGAGAAACCAGCGACCGCTTGAGAACGATGAACATTACAACAGTCTTATTGTGAGTGAGAGTCAGGCCAAGTTGATGATCAGTAGCGAGTGCTATCCCGAGCATTATGTTAGCATTACAAAAGCATAGACAGGATGCGTATGATAGGAGATCCAAATTGCTGATAACATGCAGAAAAACTAAATCCGCAGCCTCTTTTGCCGTCACTAAATCCGCAGCCTCTTTTGCCGTCGGACAGGATGCGTATTATAGGAGACTGTAAAGTTATGTAATGTGCTTCACAGGTAACCATGCATTCGGCCGTCAGCAACAGTTAAGCACAAGCATACTATCAAGGCAAGGACATTATTGTATTATTGTATTGTATCGTACTTTATGGAATATAATTTTACCTCATTGGCTCAACAGGTCAATGTATTACAACAAAAGTCCAGAAAATCCGATTATAAGGAGATGAAAAGGAAAAAAAGGAGCAAACCAAAAGTGGATGAAGTGAGAGAAAATAACAACCCCCAATAAATTCTGTAATTACGTTTGCTTAACTCATATTCAAACTGATTGAAGAGTTCTAATAACATGCATGTTGAGCTAGGCAAAAAAGCATAGCGTAGGGCCCTGAGCTTCCAAGCTCTCTCGTATCACCGCTGCCACCAATGTTGTACTCTACGTTCTTTCGCCTGCTCCCAGCCCCGTACCATCTCCACACATATACAATGGATGAAAAAATAACTACATTAGAAAGGCTGTTTATTCACACGACGAACTCAAGACCAAGACTGCTTTCCACACCACAGCCACACGCGCATGCATCAACACCAAGTACACACGACGTATGTTATGTTTCTACCCAAGGGCAAAACATGAGCACACGACAAGATAACCGGACTTGAGTTTACTTGGTATCGAACTGACTTACAACAAAAACATGAAATCAAAGAATACAAAAGATCACAAATAAAATAACATGAACCTGCACTACGGCTGCGCAGCCTGCAAGGCGCGACCTACGTGTAATCAAGATGTGCACTACACAGTACGCATTACTGGGTCTGTGGTGTGCATACACCACCGTCCTCCCTTCTAAATGGTAGCACACGGTACAATCAGAATCACGGTGACCATGTATCAACAATACTAACTAACAACAAACAAAAGGGCAAAGCATGTTGACCGTTCTAAAAGAAAACACCACATGGCAACACAAGCGGTGCTAACCTGTCCATCTCAACAGCAGCAATAATGAAGCTACAAAATACAAAATATACACAAGTCACAGGTTCAAGCGCAAAGGCGGCCTGGAAACCCGTTGCGATCTCCGCACTGCAGGTACCACCGGCGTTTCTTCGGATGATAGTGGTGCAACAGGCGTTGGTGATGACACCACAGTAGGTGTGACTTCTACTTCAGCTTCTGTCTCGGTGGATGCTGCTAACTCAACACTGGTAGCAACAGTTGCTGGTGCCGTTTCTACTGGATGCTCCGGTCGCAATACAGTTTCCGACTCCTCCTCTCTCCCCGGCACAGTCGTGAACGTGGGATGTCCAGGTCGAATCTGGTCAATATGGCGCCGCCAGCTACCACCTTCTGCGGTCTCCACTGCATACGACCTCGTACCATAACACTCAGATACCGTAGCAGGAATCCAACTTGGCTTGTTCGGTTTCCGATAATCTTGAACGAGCACTGACTCTCCCAGCTGAAACGTGCGTACTTCGCGTGAGGGTGAAGATTTCTGTTGTGCTGTTTGCTGTGCTGCCACCCGGGTCCGTACATCCGGGCGTAGGAGATCTAGTCGTGTGCCCATTAATAGGTTGGAAGGTGTTTCGCCGGTAGTTGGGTGGACCGTGTTGCGATAGGAGATCAAGAACTTCTCCGCTGCTTCCTGACAAGGCATCGCATCGGGGAACGCCTTCATGGCACGTTTGAAGAACTGGACAAACCGTTCTGCCAGCCCGTTGGTGGCAGGGTGGTATGGTGCTGACGTGCGGTGTCGGATACCATTCGCGCGCTGGACCGCTTCAAATTCTGCGGCGACAAACTGGGGCCCATTGTCGCTGACCAACTCCTCGGGACAGCCGTAGCGAGCAAATACGGTTCGTAGACTCGCGACCGTTCCCTGAGCTGTGGTGGATCGAAATGGCAAGACTTCCGACCACTTCGAGTGTCCATCCACAATGACCAGCCACATGTGTCCTCTTAGTGGGCCAAGGAAGTCTATGTGGATGCGCTCCCATGGTCTACTGGGCCACACCTATGGGTGCAGAGGGGCCTTCTGCAGGAGATGTTGCGCTTGCTGACAGCCAAGACACGCTTTGACCGTCTGCTCCAGAGCAGCGTCAATCTGGGGCCAACATATGTGGCTGCGGGCGAGACTTTTCATGTGAACAATGCCGGGATGTCCGTTGTGCAACTCTGCTAGAATCTCCGCATGATGGGCTGATGGCACAACGACACGATTGACCCACAAGAGACATTCCATACTTAGACTGAGCTCGTTGCGGCAATTAAAGTATGGTTGCAAACTGGGCTTCGGACAGGCTGCTGGCCAGCCAGTCTCCACATATCGTAGCACTTCGGACAACAGAGGGTCTCGACGTGTACTATCACGAATCTGTCTGGCTGTGACTGGCAGTAGATCTGTGAGCGACGTGTAGAAAACCTCGACCGCGTCGTCACCAGCGTCACGAGTTGGTGCGCCGACCGGAAGACGGGATAAGCCATCTGCATTGCAGTGATCCTAAGTCCGCCGATAGAGAATCGTATACTGATGTCCTGCAAGAAACATAGCGTAGCGCTGTAGCCGGGCCGCAGTCATTACCGGCAATCCTTTCGAAGGGCTGAAAATTGATACCAGTGGCTGATGATCTGTCAGCAGCTCGAAATGCCGACCATAGACATAGTTGTGGAATTCCTTGACTCCCCAGACAATGCCCAATGCTTCCTTGTCGATCTGCGAGTACCGCTGTTCCGGGGCTGATAGCTTCCTGGACGCAAATGCAACAGGTCGTTCCTCACCATCAGGCAACACATGTGACAATACTGCACCCAACCCATATGGCGATGCATCGGTTGCAAGACGAAGCGGAAGACTTGCATTGTAGTGCATGAGCACTTGGTCCGAAGCCACGAGTTGCTTGATTCTCACAAAGGCATCTTGGCATTCCGCGGTCCACTGGAACGGCTGATTCTTCTGTAACAATGCTGTGATCGGGCTGAGGACCGTTGCCATATCCGGCAAGAACCGCTGATACTACGTCACCAGACCAATGAAGCTTCTGACTTCAGAGACGTTCTTAGGTGGCAATGCTTCGCCCCCTGCATCAATTTTGGATGGCAACTGGTGTAGACCTTGGGCGCTGATAGTGTGTCCACAATACTGAACTTGCTCCTTGAAAAACTTACACTTGCTGCGGTTCATTCGGAGTCCAGCATCGGCCAGAAGTTTGAGGACAGCTTCCAGGGTCTGCAGATGCTGGTCGTCATCCTCTCCAGTCAGAATGACATCATCGATGGTGCATTCAACTGGTGACAGGTCTCCCAGCAGCTGGTCCATGGCACGCTGCCACAAAGCTGGTGCTGATGCGATGCCATACGCGATTGAGTCGGTATAGTCCCAAGTGCGTGTTTAGCGTTAGAATTGGGCGTGACTCTTCTGCTACCTCCATCTGAGTATATGCTGGTTTCAAATCGAGCTTCGTGAATCTCCGACCACCCGACAATAAAGCGAATATGTCGTCGATGAGTGGGAGCGGGTGTTGGTCCACTCGCAACTGCGGGTTGACGGTGACCTTGAAGTCACCACATAGTCGAACGGTGCCATTAGGTTTCGGAACGGGCACAACTGGTGTGGCCCAGTCACTCCAATCGACACGAGACACTATTCCAGCCTCTTCCATTCGTCAAATTTCAGCTCCCACTTGGGCTTTTAGCGACAAGGGTAACTGACGAGCACGGAGGAATTTCGGCTAAGCATCTGGTTGCAGTGTCAGTTGAGCGGTAGTTCCTTTAAGGCAACCCTGGTCATCTCCAAATACTTCCGCATACTTGGTTTGAAGTTCTTTCACGGCTTCCATCAGTGTGGGCTTGCTCTGCACCTGGATCATCTTGATGGCCGCCCAATCCAATGCCCACTGCTGCAACCAATCACGTCCAAGAAGCACAGGGCCAGCAATCCCATCTTCGTCACCAATGTTATGTTTCTACCCAAGGGCAAAACATGAGCACACGACAACACAACCGGACTTGAGTTCACTTGGTATCGAACTGACTTACAACAAAAACACGAAATCAAAGAATACACTGAAAGATCACAAATAAAATAACATGAACCTACACTACGGCTGCGCAGCCTGCAAGGCGTGACCTACGTGTAATCAAGATGCGCACTGCACAGTACGCATTACTGGGTCTGTGGTGTGCATACACCAACACGTATAACAAAACAACGTACTACAACAACACTACATGGTATATGCAGAAGAAGCCTTGCTAACATGCTGTCAAAATCGAAAAACAACAGTACATGTACGTTACGTTAGAGCAATACGCTTGGTTGCACGTTGCAACAGTATGTGCCCTACAATGACGACAGACAGAGTTGTTTTCCACTCCTACCTGAAGTCCATGCTGTCCCCGGGATTACTGAAGTAAAGCCGTCGGCCGTCTGATCCATTGTAGACTCGGATACTCACTGCATACTTGCTTTGGAAGAGGAACGAGATCGTCAGGGTATCTATGCCAAGAGTGGCGTTTGCCGATGGAGAAACGACGAGAGGTGTGTTGGAGTCTGGCCGATACGCACCACCGTCATAGGCTGCGTTGCACGGACCACACGCACTGGCTGTACACAGGAACAACAATCCAGCATTGACCAGACACAGGTCATACTTGACACTGCTTGGACTGAGTCTCTCTCTCTCTCTCTCTCTCTCTCTCTCTCTCTCTCTCTCTCTCTCTCTCTCTCTCTCTCTCTCTCGCTCTCTTTCGTTCTTTCTCTCTCTCACACTCTCTCTCTCACTCTGTCTGTCTCTGTCTGTCTGTGTCTGTCTGTCTATCTCTGTCTGTCTGTCTCTGTCCGTCTGTCTGTCTCCATCTGCATGTCTGTCTGTCTGCTGGTATGTCTGCCTGTCTCTCTGCTCTGTCTCTCTTTGTCTGTCTGTCTGCCTATCTGTCTGTGTATGTATGTGTATATCTGTGTCTGTCTGTCTGTCTGTCTGTCTGTCTGTCTGTCTGTCTGTATGTATGTGTATATCTGTGTCTGTCTGTCTGTCTGTATGTATGTATGTGTATGTATGTGTATATCTGTGTCTGTCTGTCTGTATATATGTCTGTGTATGTATGTGTATGTATGTGTATATCTGTGTGTGTCTGTCTGTATGTATGTGTATGTATGTGTATATATGTGTCTGTCTGTCTGTCTTCATGCCTGCCTGTCTGTCTCTTTCTCTCTTTCTCCAGCTTCAAGGATGGCTCATCTAGTCGCCATGCCAACCGGGACACTGATGGCCACTGTGATAATTTATGTGTGTTCGTCAAGGTACCGTGTCCTTACGGATGACAATGCACACAAAGGAAATTCTCTCCTGTACACAATGGAAAGAATGCCAATGTGACAAGCGGGACTATACTGCTGAGGATAGGGTGATTGGACAGTCTGTACGTTTTGATCTTCTCTTCAAACAGTGAATACCAAATGCTCAAATTTGGGAAGATAGTTTAAAAGACAAAGTTGATCACAACGGAAAGTATCAAGTGTTCTCTGGACTACCCACCTGTGGGACGATTCAGGTTAAAGCTGAATTTTTCTCTTCTTGTGATCCCCTTGACCGTGTTTGACGCATCACAACGCAAACAGCCGTAGCAATCACGCTTTATGATCACCTTGTTACTTTCCCCTGCAACCGGTGTGAAGCAGTCAACATCCCTGGCAGAGAAGCACATGTTCTCCTCTGCCGGAGTCACTCCAATGTTTTTGCAGGAAGAATTGCACGAGAAACAATTCCCTTCGCAGTCGAAAGGCCCTGTGGTATTCATCGTAAACGTCGTTGTCACGCCTGACCCGCTATACGGACAAGTCACCAGCGAGCACGGCTCTGGAGTCGGGTTCGGAGCAAGTGATGGGTTGTAAAACAGCGGCACTGAAGCACACAAACAGAGAATACAAGTGTGATGCGTACACCGACTGATTACCGATGTGGTCTGAATCAGGGCCCAAAAATTCACACACTGGAAACGGCCTGTCATGTTGAAGGTACTTCAAAGTACTTCAGTAGACTGAAGCAGAGAGTATAATGGCACGGCTATAAATCAGACAACGGAGTTCGACACAATGCCACGATGATTTACACAGCACCGTGACCCAAGAAAAGTATAAGAAATAAGTCCAGAAAACTATTCAAGTTCGTCAGTGAGTCCTCCATCAAGTGTGACATGAGCAAACAAAGTACATTTATATGACCGTAAACAATGTGCGAGTGTGCACGCCAGGATTAAGGTGAAGCGTGTCACCGCGGAAGGTGTCAATACCTTTGCATGTGCACACATTCAAGCTCTGAGGCTAGGCTTTCAGAAAGAAAATGCCACATCTCTCACACAAGGGTATGCATGCTCTCGCCTTTCCTGATGGCTTACACACTCACACTCTCACCTATACGAATCGTTCATGTATGCATTTTGTTTGTATAATCATCAAAAACCATGCTCTCTGATTAGATCTAGGGGAGGATTGAAACTGCTGAAAATCCATCCAGCCAAAACTGGCACCCTACCACGCTTCGAGGTCTCGCACTTATAGTGGTAGATAGGGTCCAGCGGATAATGCCGGCATTATATTCGGCATTATGAGACTATCCAAGCATCAGAGCATTATGGAGCATTAGAAAGGAATCAGAAGACGAGCATTATGTGAGGTTTGAGCGGCATAACGAGTTTCATAGTGGATAATCATTCGGGAAATCTCAGGTTTTTGGCAACAATCGGCTAAAGCCATGAGGTGCAAACACCTAATCCTTCACTGGCTTTAGCATCAATGCTACATTTACATGCATGTACATGTACATGTAATGCCATTGCTACATAAATGATAAAGTCTTTATGTAGCAACGTAGTCAGGTGATGTTGCATGCACAACGTTGCAACTGAGGCTGTTACACAACATCCGTAACGATGATTAACGAGAAGTTCTTTTTTTAGAAATCATGGAGAGCCATGGAGGAGACTAGACGTATGCGAAGTGAATATCAAACAGACGAAGAGGAGTTTTCCTGTTATGCCATAGGCTCTGGCCATAGCATCTCTAGCGATACTGAAGTAAACACTGATCCATTGATAAATTTGGACCTGGATGAAGGAGCGGCTATAAACAGAACAGCTTGTTCCAAATAAGTGCCTTTGCCGAGTCCAGCTCAGCAGGCTCGAAAAGAACTAGATTTTTTCATGGACGTAGTACCAAGTCGATTTGAGTGCTCAGGAGTGCGTGTCTTACGTTCCTGGTGAAGCACGTCCCGTTCGTCATGGATGATTGTAATGCAAGGCCTATAGTCAAGTGCCATCAGAAAAGGAGAGTATTGTGGCCAACCATTTGTCTCCACGCAACCTCAGGAGAAGAAGACAGCCAGCGGCAAGCAGAGGATGTAGAGCGGCAAAATAACTTCCGACCACATGTTTTCAGGATTTCCGCCAAGGGAAGTGGGAGGGATCTCGATCTGAGATCGTCTCTCAGGAACTGGCCTCACGTGAGCTGTTTCGGATGAAGAAATTGCTCACAGAGTGGAAGCAGTGACAGCTTGTCTGCAGGCAGGAATACCACTTCCCATGATAAGCTTCCAGCATCCAAATGATCACCAGCAATGATGGGTTCACCTCTCACTACATGGATAAGCAAGGGAAAAGATTTGATGCACCCACTATTCAGCCAAAGCCCTGCATCAAAGTTGCAATGGAGAGCAGCCAATGGATTTTGCAGCCCCATTCAGTCAATGTCTTGTTAGTCTGTTGTTTTGTCGTTTCCTGCTTCTTTCTTGTTTTACGAATTGGGTGCGTGGTTTCAAGTAAAAAAATTAAAAAAAATGGAGACACGATCATGTCTTATAGTGCTAAGAAGTGGTGGAGCTCGTGAGAGATATTGTAGCAGCTTCCGAGGCAGATCGACTAAATGCATCCTTTCCTGGAAGTTTGACAATGAGCAGCTTTTCTTCCATTTTTGTTCCAAACCAAGAGCATTATAGCTAGCCTTGTTGAAGCATTATAATCAACATTACAAGGTAGTTTTGGAGCATTATGATTAGCATTATACGAACATTTTCGGAGCATTATCCGCTGGACCCTAGTGGCAGACACTAACGTTACTATAGTAAAAAAATCCACACGTCACATTGTGTGATCCGTGCTATTCTTCCTTGCCATACTTTAGGCTGGAAAAGTCAAACTTTAGGGAGTTGAAATCCGGCCAGGTTCTGAAAAAATGGCATTAAATTTGCAAAATTCGAGTGGAATGTTTCTATCTGGCTGGACTGTAGCTGGCTGCAGATTGCGTGTATTGAAAGTCTCTAATCGAAGTTTCTGTAACTTGGCGGGGGGGGGGGGGGGGGAGGGGGTCTCCTTCAATGAGTTGAAAAATAACGAAGTGCTCTAGAAAAATTAAAATGCTTTGGCCAGCAGATATGTGTGTGCTTGTGGAGGAAGGGAGAGGGAGGGTATCAAAATAAAATAAAATTTGACTTTGAATGTGAAACACTCACATCTCTCTCTCTCTCTCTCTCTCTCTCTCTCTCTCTCCTCCTCTCTCTCTCTCTCTCTCTCTCTCTCTCTCTCTCTCTCTCTCTCTCTCTCTCTCTCTCTCTCTCTCTCTCTCTCTCTCTCTCTCTCTCTCTCTCTCTCTCTCTCTCTCTCTCTCTCTCTCTCTCTCTCTCTCTCTCTCTCTCTCTCTCTCTCTCTCTCTCTCTCTCTCTCTCTCTCTCTCTCTCTCTTACAGGCACCTCTGTCTACCAGACACTCTGTGGATGAGTTTTAGTGAAAATATTGCTACTACTTTGCCAAATGTTGCGGAAATAGTGACGTGATATCCCAGATCTCTGGCCCTTCTCAATGGAAATGTATGTGATTCAGAGTCACGGATTCTTTCAAAGTTAGGCAGTGCCCGGTCCTGGACTGCCCCAACAAGAAAGATATGAGTGTGCCTATATATACAGATAGTCCATAAAGGGCTAGATCAACACGAGACCGCATCGGTTATAGAGAGAATGTCCTATTCTGTAGACCATGCTTCGAAATTGCAATGAAAGGCCATCAGTCGAAAGAGTCTATTTTTCTTGCACATAGAGATTGTACGCAAAGACAGGCTGGAATTATACTCATACAGGCATAGGCCACACGTTTTTATTTCTATGTTTCTCGTCACCTGCAAATCTAAAATCGTATGCGAGAGGTGGACAAAAATAAAAAATGACCGAAAAATAAAAAAAGTTTATTAGACCTTTGTTCACACTAAAATCCACCAATACACCATGCAAAATAGCACCCATAGTTTGCAACTAGTATCAAGAGTCCACAAGGCCATCATTTTTTAAAGCTATGTTTCGCGTCGTCCGCACGCATACGTTTTGATTTTTTTCGGAAAAAATAAAAAATCGAACATGCACAGTGAGTGTATGATCGTGCGAGTCATCAGTGTGAACTGGTTGCATACGGCGAAGCTGGGATTCAGAAATGGCCTCTCGCCTAGGCCAGCGTTGGTAAATCGTTTGTTCAGCATCTGGGAGCAATATTCTATGAGCTTACACCAGACCGCATTGATCGCCTAAGCTGAGAGGATGCGTCGTTCCGGAGCTCTTTGCACCGCTGCTGAAGTCTGAGGACAATATTCCAGCGAAGCATAGGCACCATGACCAACGGTTGCCTCCTCTGTCCAAAGTGAATATTTACTCATGCTGATAACCCAGATTTTGTGCTTCGATGTACGATTTTTCTTTCGAATGTACATCATGCACGAGCTATTGTGCTATGTACAGTGCATACACCTCTGATGAGCCTTTTTTATTATTTTGCAACTTTTTATTTTTTTCAACCTCTCGCATATGATTCTGGAAGTTGAACTGAAGCGAAACATAGATATAAAAAATGATGGCGTGACAAGTTTTTGTGCTTTTTTTGTAGTTTGTGGCAGGAGCTTCTGTCACAATCTGTGCATGTGCAGCTAGATTGCGCACAATAATTGCATGGTGACCTCGCATCATGTGTCGCGCAGGCCAGGCCACATTATGTACATGTACATATGCATGAGTGTGCTGGTCCCCGCATGCACAGTCAGTGCAGCACATTTTTTTTCTTTTTTTCCTCCAGACTCCTGAATCGTATGCGCGCGGGTGACGAGAAACATAGATGTAAAAACGTGTGGCCATACAGTCAGACCTCGCTTAACCGCACACATCTGTTTTCCACAAAAACATCCGGATAGGCGAGGTAACCGGATAACTGAACACACCGTGATACTGTATATGCATGTGGCATGTCAAAAGCAGTGACATCATACATACATGTAGACGGGTCCTATGCAGTACAACTAGCGTGCCCAGTATGTAAAACAAGCGAGAAAAATGACAAGTGCATGCAACTGAGTGCTGTCCGCACACACCCAGCAGGTCAAGGACCTCATTTGCTTGTACAACTCATTGATACTAGCTTCTGATGGCGCTAGCCAGCCACATGCAACCGGATACGACGAAGCATTTTGTACACATTTTGACCAGTTTGTACACAAAATCATGCACCGGTATGCGGATCGCGAGGTCCGGTTATGTTGTATGCATAACATATGCTGCACATCGGTAACCAGCGATTTTCTTCCGGATGGCGAGGGATCCGGATAAACGAGGACCGGATAAACGAGGTCTGACTGTATAATATCCAGTGCATTTGTTTGTCTTTTTGTCCATGAAGACTGCACAGACCCTATGCAGGTTAAAAACGGAGCCCGCCGCCAGTAGTAGTACATGGCACCTGTATTTCACCGTTGCTGAAAAGTAGGAATTCTGGTCCATGGAAAAATGGACTGTCTCTCCATTTATTTTTCATGCAATCTTGCTGCTGTGTGTTGAATGCAGATCCTAAAACAGTGAAGTTGCGAAATGATAAGACTCACAGACTCACTGAAGACTCACTGAAGTTTCCAAAGACGGAAAATTCCACTTCCGACACCTCATGGTGCATACATTCCACGTCCACACAATCATGTTAGAACACACATACGATATGCATCCTTACCAAGCACTGCTACTCGGTACGTGGGAGGCCGTACACTGATAAGCTCCGGGTGGTCTTTGAGGCGTTCATTGAACAAGGAACTGGTGATGTCTATCACGCAGGTAATCTGCAGGCCATCATCCTGCTCTTTTACTTTGTAGGAGTAGAAGGGAGAAGATCCGCTCTGCAGGTCCTGGTTTGACGGCAGCCTGTTCGAGGACCAGTGAAACTGGCTTGCAGTGCCAACAGCGAGGTCATCCTTCGCCGTGTTGTTATAGCATCCTAGACGTATCGTTGCGTTCACGACGTCTTCAATGTGAACCACCTGCGCGGAGCACGTCTGTAATTGCTGCATGGTGGCAATCAAAACGCACACAACCGGGAGGATGGAAGCTGGCCAATACCTCCATTCCATACCTGCAGGGAAAAGTATGAGAAAGACAATGATACACCGATTAATCTATTGCTCTAATGGAAGTCGGAGGCGGATTTCCAAACGAAGGTACGTATTAGTTCGCAAGTATGTCATTTTACCTCGCCTCCCTCTAAAACTTGAAGACCACGTGGTTGAATGTGCGCCAGTGTATTCTGTTATCGCCTAACACTTTATGTCATACCACCCGGCTCGCACATGTGCACATTACATTATTGGCACATACCATTCACTTGTGCCGCTATATTACTCACGCATGCTGCAGCCAATATCAACCTCGTCCTGATGTTAGGTGCCTTCCCCGTACCCTTTTCCTGCTGGCCTGCATGCACCCCATACTCACCTTTTGTTCCGTTGTCCTGTCCTGGGTAGCTACTTGAGCGCCCATGATTGCCATAGCTACCCAGGCCCTTTATCTCGCAATCTCTCTATCTTTCTTGTCGTCACCATGTAGTCTTTCGTTTCGTCTCTCGCCTACCGTCCTTCCATCTACATGTCGCTTGTCTCGTTGCGTGATGGAAATATGGCAGAAGTTGAGTTTCAACACTAAGGATATTGTTGTAGCCAGTGCTATCTGATGATCGCCAACGTTTGAAACTCCACAGCAACAGCAGCAACGCTTTTTCCCTTCTCTATATGTGGAGCCGAAAATTTGTTAACGAGCCTCTAGAACCAAATGTGATATTGAAGAAATGATGGAAAATAATAATACTTGGAACTAGTTTTTCCACAACACTTCTCACGAAGCTATGTTACTAATGAGAAACATTCAAGCAAGGGACTAATAAATAGAAATGAAGTGAGAACAAAATTATTTGTTGCTTTACGGTAGTCGACCCAGGGGTGGATCCACCGATACGTACATGTGCATTATTTTTTTTTAATAATGCACATGTGTCCTATCCTGTATCATGTTATCCTTTCACCCATTCACGGCATAGTCCTTCCCCTGCCTGTCGCCATGTATAGACGGTACGTGACCTCTCACTACCCCCGTGCTACGCACGATACCATGCTCTGCTGGGCATGGCCTCCCTGACTCTTCACTATATCTACACTCATCTGTCTGTAAAATAAACCACTTCCTTATGTCAGTACATGACACAACATGGTGTCAGAAGTGGGATTCGAACCCACGCCTACAAAAGTAGACTGCGAAGTACATGACACAACAACATGTACGATTGTGAAAAGAAGATCCAAGATCTTTTCACACTACTTCCTCCGCCCAAGCAAAATTTTCGCTTATCTTTGCACTTTTTACTGATACATTCCAGGTTCTCAGAACGGCTTATAACGACTCAGAATGAGTTGAGGAGTCGTTGAACATCAAGAGAAACTATCCAAGTCGAAAAATGTGGAAGTCATCCTTTGTCATCAGCCGACGCAGCACTTGTTGTCGGGTAGTACTTCGCACTTTCCAGAAGCGCAAATATTTCGTATCGACACTTTTCCAAGCGCTTCACCTCCTTCATGAGTACATGAATCGGTCGGGTTTCTTACCAGCCAAAGCTGATGAGCTCAGCGTCACTTTGCAGGATCGTTCACTTTGACATCAGGTGAATGAGCTGGGTGAGTGGCAACCCTATCATCGAAGCCTTTCTTTCCCCCCTGTTTTGCCCAGTACCGGTTCTGGTTCAGTTTTGCAGTATGTGGGCGAGCGTCGCTGAGTGGCTTTCTCAGCTTCAAGCTCACGTGCATTTTTACCGTACACACATCTTGTGCCGGATGCAATCAAACACACTGGCTTTTCGCAGCATGACACCTCTGCTCTGTACTCCAGTGGTACTCTAGCAGCACCCACCTTGACCAGTGACTGACCTCGTGTTTTTTACCAGTTCACTCGCCTTCAACACGCTCTACTCCTGTTTCTTTACTCCTTGGCGACTTCGCCGGCTTGTTTGGAATTGGTACGCCTGAACCAGCAGATTTGTATGATGGTGAAGTGCACAAGATGTGAAAATTCCTGTCAGACACCTGACATTGGGCTGAAGGAGTTAAGCGAAATTTTTGCCTGGGCGGAGGAAGTAATTTAATTGGCTCACCATCCGAGTTACATGTACGATTATTAATTAATGTCATGTCTGGGGTCTATGGATGCTAGAGGACAAATTACGCGGCTGTTGGGTGCACTTGGATCGCGGCAACTTAGTTTTCTGTACGTGAACCATGAATATTAATGCATGCTCATGCATAACCAATCAGCTGGCTTGCTCGCCCATGCATTTGACAGGAAACAATTCCATCCAATTTGAGGTATCGCTTCGTTACAAATCTCAAAACAGTCCTAAAGTCACCAAACCACTCTGGTAATATAGATGGCTATTCAATGCTAACATCTTCAGGAAGACTTCAGCCATTTCCGGAGAATTTGGGCATCGTTGCCGTTATTTTCTACGGTGTTCTTCTTCCTCCTGTCCGGAGCTGCAATTGCATCCTGGAATTATTTGGAAGTTATTTCGTGCTGGCTGTGAGGGGGAGGGGTTACTACAGGCATAAAGAGACATCATTATAGGATAACTGGTAACTTTCACCCTTCAAGAAGGTAGAGCAATGGCAACTTTTTTTGTGGCGGTCGTCCTATTTGTGTGGCGGTTGTGGCTGTTTTCGTGGACTTCGGAGGCTTTCATTCTGCCTGATACTAGACTCTACTGTATTAAAACCGTCGTTCACTTTTAGGCATCTGTAGCCGTCTTGTTTGGTAAATATGCTGTTTTCAGCCACTTGGGACACTTTGTCTAGCCTACTTGTCCTTCGTTCGTGCCATGTATCAATTCTGTGGGGTAGTTACTAGTTAGGCTAGTGTATTTTGAGATTCTCGAGTAAGCCCTAGTTCTTGACTGGAGTCACGACTTGACGTGTATTCGCTCAGCGAGCCCTCGTTCAAGCAGTTGTCCGAATGGTAATAGTCCATATCTGCTTGCTGGACGGACTAGCGGCTGGAATAGGGATGGCCGAATGGCCCAAGTAATTCTGTGTGCAGACGATATTGTTTCCATCGTCGTGAAATGAGCGTTGCGGAATTGCAGTCGTCTGCCTTTGGCGCTGAGAACCCGAGGAGAGTTGATTGTTAGTTGATTTGGCGCTGAGAACCCGAGGAGAGTTGATTGTTACTTCTACTCAGCAATGAAGCGCTCATCAGCTCTCATTTTTCTAAATCATCGAGAGGACATCCGGCATCGTAATCAAGTAAAGATTAGGCAAACCTTGCCAACCTCCAGCAAGAGTCGAAGATATTTTTTTCCAAATGCAAAAACGATCTTTGTGAGTTTGCGACTTGCATTTGCGTGCATACATGAGCAAGTCACGGACCATGGCACGTGCGTGGTTACCATGCCATCTCAATTCTCAAACTGACGCCATCTCTCTCTCTTGACAGCCGTGCTTACAACAGTGAAATCGTTTTCCTCGAGCTACCTAAATAAATTGGTTGTGATATTTTCGGCACCCCTCCGGTCACAGCACTGGGTCTGCCCCTGCAACCCAACGATCGCCAGATCGAGTGTGATGACAGTGGATGGGTTATAGGGCTGTGAGACCCGATGCCTAGGTCCTCAACGTCGTTCCAGGTGTTCAGCACCTTACTCCATAGATATAATGAATTATGTGCTGCGCTTGATTTGGTGAACAAAACAAAGATTGATTTGTGTCACCGTCTTCCGGTTGTGAAACGTACCGCGTTCACCCATTCAACACAGGAGCCAGGTCTACAATCTACTTGCACATGATTGTAATGAAAAGCAAACGCAACCATGCAAATCGTCCGAGATTTCAACAAACTAAATTACTGTAGACTTTGGTTCACCCGCACTAGGCTTTGACTTTGAGGCCCAAACAAACGTTGCAGCAAGACCAGTCTACGTCGCTAGCATGCATACGACTTACTAATACTGGTAGCTGCACGCTTCCAGCGCTTTATGTTACATGCATGTAATAGGATCTGCTCTGAAACTCACCGGACATGACGCTTGGTCGCCTGACGAAAAGCTCAAAAACGCCGATATAATACTGAAGTGCCCTAGCAAAGCACCAACACTATCACTAAGGCCACCGACCGTGAGTGTCTGTGCCGTTTAGTCGAGCAGGACTGGTCTATCGGGATGTGTGTCAATGCCAGGAAAATGGCTTCGGCAGTTCGGGTCTTCTGGAGCTTGCACTTTTGCAATTATTTAGAAATTAGAAAAGTAGTTTTCTGGGAGCGACTGGCACACTCCCAGTCGACACCAACGACGCAACGCAATCAAAATAAACTGCGCGATGTACCAACAAGCACAGCCATGATTGTACATGTACATCCGATCGGGGATCGCACATGCACCATGTGCACGGACCGTCGGTCATGTCATGTCACAGACCATGCATGCAGACTAGACGCAGGCTCGAAGATCCACTGCCTCAGTGCAGTGACGGGTAACTGGCACACCCTATTATTGTAACATAATCAGTGTACACGACTTGTAAGTTGTAGATCTACAACTACCGGTACGCGGTCAGTGCTAGTGCAAACCCAGAAAACCAGAAAAGGACAAAAATAATTATGTAAACCCAAAAGAAAAACAGCGGTGTCACTGTGATGTTTTAAAACTCCAAGGTGTAAATGTCACTGATTCCTAAGCGGTCAGATGGATAGCATACTTGACTACTACCTCATATTATGTGCATGTAAGTTGACAGGGAGACATGTTGCTAATAGACCAGGGGCGTCTGAAACGGTACGGTCACTACGGTATTGACCGTACCACTTTTTGCCCCAGGTACCCCGTGAATCAATAAAATACACTGATCTGGGTTCTAAATTTTCAAAATGGTCAGCTCAGGCACCCCCGGTCTCCCCGACGAGTAAATTGTACTTCAGATGACTGAACGTATCCACACTAAAATACCTTCCTACGCCCCTGACTACGGTTATGCCGAGAAATATGTCTGTGCCGTGAGCTACTTCTACTCGATCTACTGTCTATTCATATCGGTGTTGTACCGTGGACTGCTGAGGTAAAGGCGCAAACACGGCCTCAAAGATAATCAGATAAGAAGTATGACAAGTCAAATAGCAGATGCAGCCATGTCACGGTATATGAAATGATTACTGGTATAATGCCGTCGACACCCAGTTTAATGGTCCAACATATTCATAACATAGCATGGTGGAGAGAGACACAGAGAGAGAGAAAGAGAGAGAGAGAGAGTGAGAGAGAGAGGAAGTTACATTTGAGAGAGAGAGAGAGAGAGAGAGAGAGAGCTAGAGAGAGAGAGAGAGAGAGAGAGAGAGAGAGAGAGAGAGAGAGAGAGAAAGAGAGAGCAAAAAACCACAGAGCAAAAACCACAGACAATGAAGCACAGGCCAGTTTGACTCGCTTGCGGCTACCGAGCTGCACGTGTACGGTTTAACAGCGAGCACCTACATGCACACGTTTGTTTCCTCAAGCGAGTCATGAACAGCAAGCCAGAAGCCATGTGCAGACAAATATCAACTGTTCCTGCCACACAGGGGTTAGTTGACCAGCTGTATATCATCGTATATGCTGGCCTGGATAGTATACAGGGCAGAATGACTGATTGCCCTGCTTTGCAGGACTCAAGCAAGAAAAGGAAATCTCTGTTCAAAGTCAAAGAACCAATGATGACTCGGGCCGCTATCAGCTAAAACGAATGCCAAGACAGCTTGGATTTCAGCTCTACCGGGCCAATCTGGGAAAGTAACAATTGCTCCTGGGTCCAATCACTGGTTCGTTCAACATCGCTGTGCATAGTCTGACCACCACCGCAGTCTGTGGGGACAGGAGGATACAGGGGTGCAACATCAAACAGTCAGCACATGCCATCATGATTACATGTCCACTTCGCATAGCATTCGGCTTCCACTTCGCTGGTGAGGTCCTTGTCCGCTCAGAGCAGAAGGTAACTTCGTAGTGTGCACCGCATTGTCTTTTTGCTTCACGGCATCCACTTCAGGGAGGTTCTGTTAGAACTTAAAAGCCAATATTGGTGCATTTGTGTGCAGTACCAGACTTGCCAGAACGGCATCTAAAGGACAACAGAGGACAGGGACACAGAACGGCAGAAGAAAGATTGAGCACATTTAACTCACGGTGCTGCACTCACGTTCCCATAGCAGCGGTAGTAAAAGAAGTGCAGTGCTTACAGCAGAAATACCGTAAAAGTCCGTAAATAAGTACCTGCCCGAAAGAAATACCCCCTTCATTCTTTTGGCCCTGTCTGTTGAAGTCAAGTCAAACCCGATAAACATACTGCCCGAAATAAGTACCGGTACGGTGCGCACATGCAGCACGTAGCATGTACATCGACATGAAAATGACTTCTCCACTACACACAAGTCAGGTCCGAAAGTTAGTTCGTGCCCGAAAGTCAGTACCCGCCCGAAAGTTAGTACGGGTGTGGTCACTAAATTCGAAAGTAAATACGTACTTATTTACGGACTTTTACGGTAGCCCGAACGCGCACCAACTGGTAGAGAAATATTTTAAATTATAATCAAATAGTTTTTTTGACTATAGCTCTGATGTCTCTCAAGGTGTGCAAGCTCCACAGCAGCCACTTCATAACTTAGCATTGATAAACCCTACACCGACACAGACACAAATGGTTTCTTCGCTGCAAACCCGTCAAAATGTCAATCAATTTTCGTCCAGGAGCCATCATCAGATGAGGTACGTGAACAAAACGAGGTGTGTGAAGGGTGTTTCCATGCATACAACAGCCGGGTATACGGTACATGTACATCCAAACAACACAATTCAAAATCCTGTGTTACTGAAACACCCTCAACAAAAGGGTTCCTACCGTATTATCTCTAATATAAGCACAGTCTCCGATAATAGCACGTCTCCAATAATAGAACACCTTGGGGCGGAATTCAGTCTCCATTATAAGCACACTGTGTAAATTCATTATTTGTACCGGCGAAAAAACCCTGAAACGTGTGTGTGTCTGACATGAATTTGGCATGGCAACATGCCCCTGAAATGAGGTTGAAATAATAATGGAACAGTCTCCAATAAAGGAACGTCTCCTGTAAAAGCACGGGGCGAAGGTACATTGAAAAAATAAAGGACCGTGCTTATATTAGAGATAAAACGGTATATCCATTGAGAAGAGAGCGCAAGCAAAAGATCCAGACTACAAGTAGGCTTACCAATGCATAGACTGATTGGGAGCCAGAAGATCTCTGAAGACCTTGATGTGACTAGGATAATTGATCATCAGATCGTTGACGACCTTGCCGCTATTCTGTGTACGTGCAGCTCCATGCTCGAGTATTACCTGCGTACACAGACAATCATTATATGAATAGCATGAATACATGAAGTGTCTATGATAACACAAAAGGCGATAAGCTCCAAATTTGAGGAACTGAGATTTTGAGCTCATTGTAATCTATATGTCTAGAGGCACCTTCACGGAAACTTTCACATTCAAAATCTTAATAAAACAGATAGAAATGATACTTCGACAATCGACATGCTGCAGATTGTGAATAGCAACTGAATAGAGTGGTTGTCAGTTGATAACCCCCCTTTTCTTATGATGCAGTTGCGTGACGTCCACCACTTTCTTAGTGAGCTTCACAATATCTTGGTGATAACTGTCAACTGTTATGTGTAACATCTCAATAGGGCTTGAAAGTGCTACGTCACAGCATAGCAACAATTTCAAAAATGCAAAAACTGGATCCACTTGGATCCAGTTTTTGTATGGATCCAAGCACATTTCAAGCCGTCTTACTCACAGCAAGGTGATGTAACCAGTGAAATTGACTGATTTGGCTACTGGGGACGGGGTTACAACTGGTGGCGAAGTAAAAGTCACCCCAGCATACGACATGAGTGGGTTGCTATGCACCCACATACTGAGGCAATAGCAAAGTCACACCTTAGAGTGGATCCAAAATAGAAATCTGATGTCAACTTACTACTCCCTGGCCGTTTTTGACGTCATCACTTTCAAGCCCTATAGGGCTTGAAAGTGATGATGTCACAAGTCAACAAATAACGATAAATAACAACTTCTGGATCAAATTTGACCCACTCTGCCCATAGTGAAGGTACTGTGTGATGGGGAGGCGCTTGTGTCGCATGCAGGTGAGATCTTTCTGTACAAGGAGTGGGTCCACTATCGAGACAGTCCAGGTTTGCTACTACCGGCAGACGCGTCACCCTGGGAGAGCCATCCAAACCTGTCCGGATCCATTCAAAAACTGGGTCCAAGTGGATCCAAAAGTCAGCGTTACCATGGCTCTGGCCTGGCTGTGACGTAGCACTTTCAAGACAAACTGTGAGAAGTATGTGAGAAGTAAATGAGTTCAGTGTCCCTCAGACCTACATGTACTTGAGCCTGTGTGTATGTACACCACCGCATGCTCTTCATGATGTGCTTTCTGGGGTAGAGAATGAAAACTTGAAAAGGGACTGAAGGTAGTGAATGTACATTATCATGATTATGATTGAGAGCAACTAAGTTACTCCCAAAGAACTCTCGATCATATAATTTATATGTACTTCCTCCGGAAACAAAAACATCCTGACTTTTCACTACTTTTCGCTGCTATTTCTCTCTTTCTCTTTCGTTCTGTCAGCCTGAAACACTGACATGACATTTTGGAATCGTAGGAAAGCATGATTCATATCCTGGAGAGCCGGCAGACTGCGCAGAGCAAGGGTGTCGACGGTGCAAACAAAGCAAAGCGAACATGTTTTTCATTTTTCGTCCATTAGGCGCAATGCGAAGAAAAGCACTGCGCACACTGCTCGTCGTTGCTATTTTTTAGTTCAGAACTTGACAGAGCAGGGCAATGGCACCCAGGAGCAAGAAGAGTGGAAAATGAATAGCTAGCGTTTTGAAATCTTCGCCATCCCCGAAACGCCTGTCGCCATGCGAATAGGTCGGCAAGATGTCAAAACTTCAAAACGCAGAGATGTGACAATCGTCACTTCGCGCAGCAGAGCAAGATGAACAAGTTCAAAATAGATGTGTCATTCCGCCACTGCAGAGCCCAGACCTCAACGTGGATGATCTCGCCTTTTCCAGCAGCCTCGACGATGTGTCCTTGGTTGCAAAGGAGAACAGGCGAGATCTGATCGGGGCAGTCTGGAAGTGCTGGTACGACTATGATATCCCTCGGAGGAAATTTGAAATGTTCGGCTTTGCCTGTGTTTGTTGTTCCGGGGCATGCTCGAGCGAGATCGGAGGAGGTATTGAGTACCAGCGCTGCAGCGCCACCTTGGTCTCCGCAGAGATGTTGGAGAAGGCATTCAGGTAACAGCGAAGATGATCAGGTACGCGGAGAAGCTTCTCCGCGACATACGACATTGCGTTGATCGACCTGCCACTTGGAACGGTTTGAGCCGTGATGAGTCGAGCGATGGCGACCCAGACTGAGACTCTACTCCCATTAATCGATCCTGTAGATATTGTAGATGTGTCGATTGAATGTGCTGAAGTGTTTGAACACAGTGACTCCGTGAAAAGATTTAAGTCATGTAAAAAAAGTCACGAAGTTTTTTGTTTCCTGAGGATGTACTTTCAACACCCAGTCCGTCTTACGGTAGCATAAAAGCTCTGCCGTAAGCACTCTTCAAGCAGTGGAGCATCCTGCTTGATAACGTATACCTTCAACAAATTCAGTCCAGTTTCATCCCAACATACAGACAGGACACTGACCATGACGAGTAGGCAGGGGTAAGTACAAACAAATGGACACGTCAGCGTGGAATGCGGCCTCCTGATCTACATATACATTATAGTCACTACCAACAACACACAACATGTATTATTTGCTACTCACTGGGATGATGAAGCATCCTTGCGACTTCAGAGCTGAAGCGAGAAGTGCGCGATGTCCATTGGATGACATAGCCGGATGACGTAGGAGTCGTGTATCCCCGACACCCAGGCAGGCCACAACACTGAAACCATGACGTGTAGCTGCAGCCATATCTACTGATACACCATTGAAAACATCGCCTGGATACTTGGAAGTCTCCACTGGCTTACTATCTCGGTTGACAATGCACAATGCCTGAACGGCCACGCCATCAACCAGAGAGACGCCAGTGGTGTGTTCTGGACCAATGAAGCATGACAGCATATCATACATTCGACCCTTGTTTGGACTCCAACCTTCTTTTCTGAACGACTCTGAGCACCGGTCCATGATTTGTTGCCGTTGCTTGTTTTTAACTAGTAGTGTGTCGAGCAAAATAAGCTGCTGAAGATGATGGGCACCGTACTCTAACAAGAAACAGCACACAGATAGAAAACAGAACGACAGATTGAAAAATACAGCAATCAAGGGGCAATGTGCTGCTTGATACGTTCGGCCAGCTGTTGAGAGGTCCTACCAACATCCCGGCTATCGCATTCAAAATAGTAAATAAGGTGACTCAAGTCAGGGTTGGAAGGAAATCATTCAACATCGTGAACGAATGTATCGTGGTGAAAACTGTTACATCCGTGGACTGTGTGGACTTTCCGGGGTTAAGCCAGAAACACACGACAGGGTTTAGAGGTCATACATGTATCAACTGCTCTTTTTGGTGGACTTTCTCGTTACTAGTCGATTCAAGAGCGGCGAGGGATGACCGTATTTTTTTTGTAAACGAAAAGCACCTAGAATCCACAACTGAAGCGATTTGCTTATTTTATTTTCTATCGCAATACCTCATGGCGCAGTGGGAACACCGGCCAATGTGTAAGTGTGACATATGAGTACATGTACCACACTCACTTCTCCTTTTTCTAGTATCAGGTCCAGGTAAGGAATTCAGAAAATGCACTGGTGGAAAGGCGGACCACACAACAGAAGCAAGACCTAACTGATTGATACTGATATAACGTTATTTTAATGTTTCGACGATCAATCACTCAATCAAGCCTTGCTCCCGTTGTGTGGTCCACCTCTTCCACCAGTATACCATGTGACAGTCGGTAAGCACTCTGAAAACACACTTACTCTGTATGAGTTGATCAACACTGATCAGCTTCAGCAAGGCACTGCACTCTACACCACACAGTGTACAGTAGAGAAGTAGGCTGAACACTTGAGCATGACGATACTTGGGATCACCTGTACTCTGTATGGCTGAATAGCGACTCATCAAGTCCATGGCTAGCGAAGGATCAGCAATGTTCAACGAAAACAGTGCATAAGCATACTGGCCAATATCTCTACATTCACTAACATACTGAACATCAAGCCGGTCCTGTAGCAGCTGCCTGAACTCAGATGTTGTACATCGGCATCGTGACGCCCAGTACAGCATCCACCTCAGCTCACCTTGATTCTTGCTATCCCGCCATAGATCTGTAGGTAAACTAGCTGCGTGATCCAGTACAGCTACAACTAGATGAGTCACTGCGCTGTCCTCCTCGGTAACCCTAGCACAAGCCCGGAGGATGGTCTTGAGATTCTGTACACGATATATGTCGTTAAGGTGACGTTGAATCAGAGAAACTTGTGAAGTCAGGTCGCTAGGTTGAAACGTGTGTGCAGTGATCATAGCAGTGAAGAGCCTATCAATAGCCAAAATGGCATCCCATACAGTGGTATCCTGACGCACTGACCTATCTGAGTGGCATCTCACGGGTTGCGGGGAGCAAAGCGTCGTCGCATTGGGAGCCAGTGCAAACGTGTTAGCTGCAAGTCGTCTAGACCGGACCAGTGAGCTCATACCATAGCCATGCTGAAGAAAGTTACTCACAGTCCTCAGACTACGCAACTTTGAAGCAAACATGATGTGTTGGTAACTTGCCTGGGTGACACTAGTTTACACAAATACTTGATCCTATGCTCCACTGAATGACAATGTGTAGTCACTGTACGCTGGCTGCTCACAATACCGTCCTCTGGGAAACAATACAAAACAGCACACACACACAAACAAACTCAACAACATTCTACTCAACAGTTTCCTCGGAGACAAGAATGCAATGATACCGAGAAGAAGAAACCTTTCAAGAGTTTCAAGGGCCTGAAGTGTATCATTCTTCTCAGTATCATTACATTCTACTCACATTACACATTTAGTGATATCAACTGATTTCAAAGATGAGTGTGGCACAATACTCGTACTGTTGACCTGTTCAAGTGTGATGCGACAACAAAATTTAAATAAGCCTCCAGATCCAAAAAGGAGGCTTATTTATGTCCTTTTCAACATTCTAAGCTATCTGTACCAAGACATTGATGTCATCAGCAGATCACTGTGCTAAAAACCCAAAGTCAAAAATATTCACCCAACACAGAGTTATGGTGGTATGGCCAACTGCATTTACATCTCTCACCACAGTGCACTCAACTTTCAAGTGCGTGTTTTGCAACACCGCACACTACTTATCACATCTGGAGGCTCAAATGCCACTGACAATGTGTCTTATGATAGTGTTCTCAGAGACAAAAAAAATAAATAAGACTCAAGACTAGAACAAGCGCCATGCTCCTCGCGATCAGCTTAGGCGAAAAAGACCAAGCATCAGAATCGCTCCAAACACTAGTGGAGACGAACCTATCACACTTCGTATACACTTTTCAAGCGCATTTTGACATGTTCACCACAATCTTGGAGTGAGCACCGCTGGCGGGCACGGCGCCCCGTCCTTGGAAAAGCTCTTCAGACAGCTTCTAAAGCATTTAAAAATAATCTAGCACTGTGTGCAAGTGACAAAATCAAGAAGAAGAAAAACCATCACCTGAATATTGAATCACAGCATGGCATTCAGGGTGCTTAGACAAACGCTCTTCAACATCTGGATGCGCGTATCCGACAATACATACCATTCCATGATGTGCATGTGTCACACGAGTACGCACGGGAAGCCCACCAAAGAATCATCCAGGTGCTAAACGATCAACATAGCAGCAGCAGCCACATCAAACAACAACTTGATGATGTTACCGCGAGGAATGCCACGCAGCATATCAATCCATCATCCACTGTCAAGGAATGGTCATCAACTAGCGCAAGTCGGGGACAATTGAAAACAGAAATCAATCCATCATGCACTGTCAAGGAATCGTCATCAACTAGCGCAAGTCGGGGACAATTGAAAACAGAAATCAATCCATCATCCACTAATTCTTTGTGCCATCTTCAATAGGTCCGTCAAATACAGTAGTAGTAGGTTTTTCATTTTGACCCGACGAGACCATACGACGCTTGCAGATCACAGCACGAACAGTTCACCAGCCACACTCCACGAAAGCAAGTAGTAGTACTCCTGACAAGTCTTGTTTCGTTCCATAGAGATAATAACGGGGAACTCATCAGAGGAGAAGCAGTTGTTGAATGAAGGGGTTTAGCTGAATAATGCTATTTTATAGAAAAGATATTGGCGGGTCGGGTCAAAATGAAAAACCTACTACTACCATCATCCACTGTCAAGGAATCGTCATCAACTAGCGCAAGTCGGGGACAATTGAAAACAGAAATCAATCCATCATCCACTGCCAAGGAATGGTCATCAACTAGCGCAAGTCGGGGACAATTGAAAACAGAAATCAATCCATCCACTGCTAAGAAATAGTCATCAGAAGTGTCCAGCAAGCGGCGCAAGCCGGGGACAATTGAAAACAAACACACTGGGTATGGCACCAACCGCCTTGAGATGAACAGGAACGGAAGCGACACAGTGGAGACGGGTGACGAGGTAGGCTGCGGTGCTGAATTTCCAGGCATTGGTGGAGTCTGCGCATCAAGTTCTGGTGATATGGTTTTGGATCCGTCCACGGTAGTTGCAAAACTCGGCCCAAAGTATATGATTGTACACAACGGTGAACGACTCCAGGATTCACACCAACACACTCTGCACAGTATTACCAGTGCTTATTACGTATGTTGCCCCCCCCCCCCCCCCCCCCCCCCCCCCGTACTCTCCTTTGGCTAGAACCCTGATCATGACTAGTAAAGGAAAAGTGTAGAAAGAGTGGCGAATGACATTTTTTGGCTCACTATGAGCATGTCAGAAAAGTGCGGGCAAAACATTCGCACTCGTGCTTGACTAGTGAATCCATGCACTCCGAGCTTTGCTCGTCACGAATGCCGGGAATCTGCCGGTTCTTCCATTGCGCTCATCAGTTCATATACAAACTTGATACAGGTCTACTCTCCATATAACGTAATCTCTGGGACCACGCAAAAATTATGTTATATCGAGAGTTATGTTATGTAGAAAACCGTGTGTAAAATACAAGATGTACCTCAAAATGAAGGGTATTACAAGGCGGGTTAAAACGTGGAAACATATACACACTGTACTACCATCGACATCAGATACCATCAATGCCGCAGAATATATGCACAATAGGACTAAACTGGCTAGCTACAGCTACCGCTTGATCGTATCGTGCACATGAATTTACGTTGTATCGAGAGTGCGCACGTCGGGGACCGCGCCGTAGCGTGTGTTATGTCGAGGTTTATGTTAATATGTAGGATTATGTTGTGTAGAACAAAATTTGTATGGAAGTGATGCTGTTTCGGCTAGCGAGGTTTATGTACAAGTGAGAGTTGTTATATCGAGAGCAGACCTGTATTGAGATATCTGAGTGTCATGAGTGATGTTCTGCTCAGCGTTGCGGGAACGCGGCACGAAGAATCCCGGGAACACTCTTTGCGTTCCCGGAACGTAAAGGAAACTTGTTCTGCTCTACGTACATATACGTTTGGGTAAAGAAATCACGCGCAAAGTGTACTGGGAATTTTCCCTTCCAAATTTGGCAGTTTTCTGCCTGCATTTGAATGATGATAGTAATATCCAGCAGATCCGCACGCATTTTCTTTGCATGTGCCACAACATAGAGAACCTCATCTATGAGTAGAAATCTGGACCCAAAACCTGTCCCTCCAGGAAATCGCGATTCCACGGATGCAACAAATTTCGCGATTTTGGCCCAAACCCGCGATTTTCAGCAAAATTCGCGATTTCCCACATTTGTCGTTGTTTTCTGCACCATATCCCACATTTTTCTGCACTTTTCACGCAGTGCTTTCCATGATCCTGTGGGTTATTTGCACAGTACGACTCGTACTACTCCCGAGTAGATATACGATACAAAAATTGCGTGATTTGGCCCAAATCCGCAATTTTCTGCAAATAATTCCGCGAATTCCTCGCAAGTTCTGCATCATTCCGCACTTTTCGTCGCATTTTTTGTTGTTTTCTGCCGCAATTTCTTGCGCAAGTTTTCGGGAGTTTTTTCCGCAAATTCCCGCAGGGACAGCAAAACACGCAAAGCCGTAGACTCTGACCCAGACACCTGCTCTCTACGTTTCACGTACCAGTACAGCAGAACCCGGCTACTGGGACTAATGTGATCCGGTCGAGAACGGCGATAGCGTGGCATACACCGAGGACCTCTTGCAACACTGAACACAGGACACTGGACAGAACCGAGGGCTTCCGGTGATTTCACTGACTTGTAACTATGGTGACACTCGGATCATTGTACATTTACATGATTTGTGGACTACATGTACTTGCCACTAGGCACTATTCCATTTTTATTTATTTTTGTAAGCAGAACATAGTGCCATTAGTGGATTCGTGGTGCATCAGTGCAGTATGCCCTATCGACGCAGGGATCAAAGATATCCGGATACTCAGAGCCCTTCACGCTTCACAGCTAAGCCAACAACAGCAGCAGCACGCCAAGGACACGAGTCTCTCCTAGGCAAAGGTGCGGATATCAATGAGAAAGCGTGCAATGCTTTCTCCACTCTCACCTGTGCAATCGCGGGATGCTGATGAAGTGAAGTTCAGCACTATGAAAATAATGCTTGCTGCTTGCTTCGCCCAGCTGCAGCTACAGCGATCGATAAACCGTGGCGTACTCGTACTCACTCTCACAGTATGCGGCAGTGAATGCACGGGGAGTCTGGAGCCAATTATCAGTACTATACTAGGACAAGCTTCTTGCAAAAGGTTTGTAACGTGTTTTCGTGGATACAGTACAGCAGTCACTACAGGGCTAGGCTAGGCTCCCTATTTGCGCCGCCGGCGCCGAGCAGGCTCATAAATTAATTAATTTCTCGATCAATGCCGCTTGCCTGATTTGTATTTTTGTAGGCTGGCTGCGTCTTTTGCAGGCGCTACAGTGCATTTCAAAACTATAGACGCGTAGGGTTTTTGAAATATTTCAAATTTGGCTGGAACTTTTTGAGAATAGTTTTCGGAATATTGCTCAGGATCGCTCCACAATTACTCTCATGTAGTTTCTAAAGGATTGGATAACAGACGCCCAATTTGGAAAAATTTATGCACAAAGTGATCACAGATTTTATGTGGTATAGATGCTGGCATAACGGGTTTTGCCTAGGTACGCGTCTATAGTTTTGAAATGGACTGTAGGTACTGGGTAGCTTGGTACTGTATTACATGTATTATTTTTTATGATAACGACTATGTTTGTAGGGGTGCGCGGATAATATTATGCTCGCACGCACCCGCGGCCCGATATTATTATTATGCTTTCGGGCATTTCCCGCGGAACTTCGAAAGTATTCTCCCAAAACATCGAAAAAATTCTCCAGAATTCCCCCCCCAAAAAAAAAAACCCAGCACGAACCGTGCCTTGCGCATGCTCTTTAGTATGCAAAATGGACGGTCAGGCACGTGATCACTGCATGCAGGATCTACACTACGTTGTAGTCTTAAAGGGGAAGTTAAGGCAAAAATTAAAATTTCACCAGTTGTAGTCTTCGGGGTGCTGAGTCGAATGGTCTTGGTCCGAGAAAGCTGAGACGCTCCCTTCCTACTTGAATCCCAATCGAACTCGCGCACTTCCACCGAAACTGGGTGACTGCGCCCTACTAGATGGGGATTTGTATGCAAAATGTCACTAAAAGCGCCATTTCGTTCTTATAAAAGCACGGATGACCGCGATTGGCCCATATGTTGTACTCTTTTGGACGCTGAGTCGACTGGTTTTGGTCCGAAAAGGCTGCGATGCAGCGTTCCTCCTTTATTCCCAATCGAACATGGTTGAAGAAGCGGTCACTTGCTCCTGGGTGCCCAGATCACCTGGTCACCACGCCAGCAGGCGACAACTTTCACACCAAGGTTCAACTCGAGTTCAACTCGAGTGACAGGACTGCACCCAAAAAAGGTCAAACAGGCTAGTAAGTTGTACCCTGCAGGCACGGTGACCAGGTGACTGGCGTACGCAGGAGCACGTGACCGCTTGTTCAACCATGTTCGATTGGGAATAAAGGAGGAACGCTGCATCGCAGCCTTTTCGGACCAAAACCAGTCGACGCAGCGTCCAAAAGACTACAACATATGGGCCAATCGCGGTCATCCGTGCTTTTATAAGAACGAAATGGCGCTTTTAGTGACATTTTGCATACAAATCCCCATCTAGTAGGGCGCAGTCACCCAGTTTCGGTGGAAGTGCGCGAGTTCGATTGGGATTCAAGTAGGAAGGGAGCGTCTCAGCTTCCTCGGACCACGACCATTCGACTCAGCACCCCGAAGACTACAACTGGTGAAATTTTAATTTTTGCCTTAACTTCCCCTTTAACTTATACATCAGGGAGTCGTAAAAATATATAAAATATATACGGTATTTTACGACTCCCTGCACTACATGTATACATCAGTACATGTACAGGTAGACTCCCTTTAATTCGAACCTCAAATTGCCAGGCCCTAACTTCGAATTATCCAGAACTTCTAATTATCCAAATGCAGCCCCGGGGGGGGGGGGGGGGGGGCCATGCACTGATATGTATGTCAAAATGCTTGAAATCGCATGCTGAATATTTTTTGCACATTTTTATTTGCATCAACGAAACATAGGTGGTCGTACCGGTCGTGTAAAACGGATCATCAAAACACTGGATCGACACAAAATCATTTTGACATCTTCATTTTCTAGTGAAGAAGTTGTCAGTCACTGCAGCTTTCCTGAAACAGTTTCAACGGAAAAGAACTGCGCTGCCTAATCCGCGTCATGAAAGGCCGTCGGACAGCAGCACGTCGTTCTGAAGAACGGAAGTGGAGCATAGGCATAGACAATATTTACGACAATAGTGCTTTTGCGCGCCAACATCTCCGCGCACGAGCTGGCGCGGCAAGAAAGGCCATCGAGATCCGCGAAGAGAGTCAGCCACCTGGAAGATGTCGTCTTCAATCAAACCTTTGCAATTTGCCTCGCACGGGCTTGAAAGAAATTTCGAGAGAAGGTGGGTTTCTTGAACGCTATAGTCGATCCTGCAGCGGACCATCGATCGATTTTTTAGCTACTCTTGGCTAGAGAAGGAGAAAAGAATGAACTTCGAATTACAAGGATAGCAACTCAATCTCACTTCGAAATAAGCGTTCAAAGGACATAGCCAATGTACCGTAAACAGCTCTTCTGTACGAAGACTGGGTTCGAATTATCCAACCGGCGCACTTTTCGTACTTCGAATTATGCATTCGATTTTGACTTGATCTGAAGTGACTTGCAGAAGATCGGTACGACGAAAAAGTTCGAATTACACGGAATGTTCGAATTATACCGTATTCGAATTAGAGGGAGTCTACCTGTACATGATTGTACTAGATCTACATGACTGTACACAGCAGTACTATGATCTACTCAGGCTGCGTCCACGGATGCGCGCTTGTTCTCTGTTCTCTGGCCCCTGGCAGGTCAAAATTGACAGAATTCCCCCAAAACTCTTCTGAAGGTCAATGGATCTGGCAAAAGACCGATAGAATTCCCCTAAAATTCCCAAAATTTTCTCAACGATAGTATTCCCAAATTATTCCGAGAATAATCCGCGCACCCTTAATAACGACCTACGTACTTCTTGCGTAGGGATATCGGATGAATAATAATCTACCCGGTATTATCTAAATATAAGCACGGTCCTTTATCATGTTTAATAGGTGAGCAAAGAAAGAGAAAAAAGACATAGTCTAGGGCAGAGCTCTGCGCTTGAGCATATGATTGTAAGCTTGCAGAACTGGGATAAAACATGTAAATGATGAAAAATGTGCCAGAGATAAGCTTCTAAAGAATATGATGTGACGCTACATATTCAACGGGATTCCACTGCAGTGAAACCAATGCTCGTAAAACGGTTTGTGCGGCTCTTGCAAATTCGCTTAAACTGGTTAAGGAGGTGATCTTAGGGGGCAGACAATTCCAGAGGGTGCTGTCACATTTATGGAAAAAGAGATTTGAACAGCGTTGTCCATGGTTTGTCAATATCAGCTTATTGGGACGTCGTGCACTGGTTTTGATATGTATACCAAAATTAGATAAGTAGTGGGGATAGACATTAACGTACTCAGAAGGACAAGAGAGATGTGTTGCCTTCTATAATGCAAAGACTCTAGAAAGCATAGCTTATTAAGATTTTCAATGTACCTCCGCCCCGTGCTATTATTGGAGACGTTCCTTTAGTTTAGGTCCTTTTTATTAGGCCGTTAAGGCCTTTTTTTTTGGAACAAGCTGTTCTATGTACAGTCAACTTCGCCAATAACGACATTCGGCGGGGCATCAGAAAAGTGTCCTTATTCGCGAAGTGTCCTTATAACCGAAGTCCCATTTGAATGTATGTGAACCCATATTTTGTATAGTATGATATGCATATCAAAATGAAGCTCTTTTCTTGCTCTATGTCAATGTGTACTTTATTTTCATATTGCAGTTGAAAGGAACTAAAAATTCAATATGCAAGGGAAATCAATTGAAAAATATGCCTTTTTGAGCCATCTACAGGGCCAGGGACATGTACATGTATGATGATTACTGTACAATCATGTACAACTACATGTACATTGTATACATATAGGTGTGCTGGTAAATCCAACAATTTTGAAGCCAACATAAAAAAGGAAGAAAAAGCCCCCCCCCCCCTTGGCTGCATTTTCTTGCATGTGTGCAATAATATCAAGAGTGTGCAACGCCGATCCAGCTCTGCATAGGGTGTTGGTCGAGCGGAATCGGATCTTCTGATGTCATGCGTACACTTCACACCAGCGCAAGGCCGGTCTCGAGGCAGGGCACCATTGTTTTTGATCCAAGAGTACCCGCGACTCCCCGGGTTCCCCTCAGATGTGTACGGTAGTATGACGCAAAGATCCGATTCCGCTCGACCAAGAGTCAAGACTCTATGCAGAGCTGGATCAGGCGTTGCACACTCTGGGGGGGGTTATGTACTCTTGATAATATCCATCACCAGTGCACCATAGCCTAGGTTCTGGTACTTCTGCATGACAGGTATTGTACTTGACTGACAGGTACAGTCAGACCTCGCTTATCCGGTCCTCGTTTATCCGGATCCCTCGCCATCCGGAAGAAAAAAGCTGGTTACATATTTACAGCATACGTGATGCATCCAACATAAACGGTGTTCGGTTATCCGGTTCCCTCGCCTATCCGGATATTTTTTTGGAAAACGGATGTGTGCGGTTAAGCGAGGTCTGACTGTACTTGAAATAGCTGTCAAAACTAAAGCCCAGAAAGTCGTTATTCAAGCAGTGAATATGACCACGGGGCACTAAAAGCATGTCGCTATACGCGAATTGTCGTTATTCAGATAGTCGTTATATCCGAAGTTAAATGTATACAGTTAGATGGGACTTTGCTCTGGGCATGGAAATTCGGTCGTTATTCGCGAATTGTCGTTATATCCGCAGTCGTTATTAGCGAAGTTGACTGTATAGCCACTCCTTCATCCAGGTCCAAATGTATCAATGGATCAGTGTTTACTTCAGTATCGCTATAGAGATGCTATGGCCAGAGCCTATGACATACAGGTAAAAGGAAAACTCCTTTTCGTCTCAGTTTGATATTCACTTCGCGTACGTCTAGTCTCCTCCATGGCCGGCTCTCCATGATTTAAAAAAAAAGAACTTCTCGTAAATCATCGTTACGGATGTTGTGTAACAGTCTCGGTTGTAACGTTGTGCATGCTACATCACCTGACTACGTTGCTACATAAAGACTTTATCATTTTATGTAGCAATGGCATTACATGTACATGTACATGTAAATGTAGCATTGGTGCTAAAGCCAGTGAAGGATTAGGTGTTTGCACCTCATGGCTTTAGCCGATTGTTGCCAAAAACCTGAGATTTCCCGAATGATTATCCACTATGAAACTCGTTATGCCGCTCAAACCTCACATAATGCTCGTCTTGTTCCTTTCTAGTGCTCCATAATGCTCTGATAGTCTCATAATGCCGAATATAATGCCGGCATTATCCGCTGGACCCTACTACAGACTACAGGTGAAATCCTGATAATCATCGAACCTCAAAATGCCAGGAAAAAACTTCTAAATATCCGGACATTCTAATTATCCAAACATGAACCCACAACTCAATATGTATGTCAAAATGCTCTAATGGTCACGCAGAGTTGCGCTATGGACCTTAGACACACATTTTACGGACACTGAACTGACCGGCACAGCCTGCTCATGCAAACTGAACTGACCAGTACAGTGTACAGTGAACTTCGAATTACACTTTGCTAGCTTCGAATTATCAGCACAAATCCCACACATTTTCTATGTAAGTGGAATCTGTGGGACTTCTAATTAACCGTACATGTCCAGTTCGAGGTTCGAATTATCAGAATTTTTTATGTGGGAATCGTATTGATAGAAATCGGTCCTGGAAAAACTTCTAATGAAGCGGTATGTTCGAATTACGCCATATTCGAATTATCAGGATTCCACCTGTACTGTAGTAGAGCCGTAGAAGCGCACTGTAGTAGTACCGGTATACTAGTACTTACTAGTACAATCATGATTCTGTCCCTGCGGGAATTTGCAGAAAATAGTCTCGAAAACTGGCGCAAGAAATTGCGGCAGAAAACAACGCAAAATGCGGCGAAAAGTGCGGAACTTGCCAGGAATTCGCGGAATTATTTGCAGAAATTTGCGGATTTGGGCCAAATCACGAAATTTATTGCATCCGTCGAATCGCTATTTGCGCAGTAGATCTACTCGGGAGTAGTACGAATCGTACTGTGCAAATAACTTACATGATCATGGGAAGCGCTGCAGGAAAAGTACAGAAAAATGTTTGAAAAAGTGCAGAAAATTACACAAAAAAACGCATGAAATCGCGGATTATGCAGAAAATCGCGAAATTGGTTGCATCCGTGGAATCGCGATTTCCTGGAGGGATACATGTAGATGATTGTACACAGGGAGGCAGGAGGACCTAGCCTACGCCGGCGCCGCGGCCTACATGTAGCGCATAATAATCGGACTGAGCTGATCTAGCTAAGGCGTAACTGGCGTAAGGGGCCGCCGGCGCCGGTCGACAGCGGTCGTCCATATCATCGTACTTTTTTCACATAACGAAATATTTCCGTGATGGGGCGCTGGCCCTCTAGTCTATAAGTACATGTAGAACTGCAAGACTTACATGTAGTCGTGAATTGCAGTAGAAAGCTCGAGCGAGCAGTATTGCTCGCAGCAACATCATTTGTTCATAACCGTACTTTGCAACAACATTAAATTTGGGTAGATTTTCGGCGATTCTCAAAGGAACCCTCCAAAATTGGCGAAAAGGTTAGCGATTTTTCAAGTCTCGTTTTCGGTGAATTTTCGGCCAGCAGATTTGGGGAAAGCATACCCACAAATAATGTACTTCAGATGGCTGACCGTACCAAAATAAAATAACGTTACCTTCCGACGCCCCTGAATACGATTACGCCGAGAAATATGTGTGTGCCATGTATGTGTGTGGCATGAGCTTCTTCCACTTGGTCTACTGTCTAATAATATCGGTAGTATATGTAACACCGAAGTGATACAATCGGTGTTGTACAATGGACTGCTGAGGTAAGGGCGCAAACGTGGCCTCAAAGATAATCAGATAAGAAGTATGACGAGTAGAATAGCACATGCAGCTATGTCACGGTATGTGAAATGATTACTGGTATGATGCCGCGATACCCAGTGTAATGGGCCAACATAATCATAACATTGCATGGCGGAGAGAGAGGGGGGGGGGGGGGGGGGTAGCTAGAAAGGAGCCAAAGCACAGGTTAGACTCACCTGCATAGCCTTTACGTAACTGTAGAGGCAAGCAGCACATACAGTTTGAAGTACATGTACACGATTGTTTCCTCCAGGCAGTTATCATGGTTATGAAGAGCAAGCCAGCAGTCATGTGCAGACAAACATCAAATGTTGCTGCCACACCGGGGTTAGTAGACCTGCTGTAGATCATGGTATCCAGTGCAGCATGACTCATTGCACTGCTCTGCAGGACCCAAGGAAGGAAAACAAATCTCTGTTCAAGGTGAAGGACCCCATGATGACTCGGGCCACTATCAGCTAAAACGAATGCCCAGACAGCTAGGATTTCAGCTGTACCGGGCCAATCCGGGAAAGTAACAATTGCTCCTGGGTCCAATCACTAGTTCGTTCAACATCGCTGTGCATAGTGTGACCACGACCACAGTCTGTGGGGACAGGATACAGGGGTGCAACATCAAACAGTCAGCACATGGCATCATGGTTACATGTCCACTTCGCATAGCATTCAGCTTCCAGTTCGTTGGTGAGGTCCTTATCCGCTCAGAGCATAAGGCAACTTTGAAGTGTACGCCGCATTGTCTTCTTGCTCCACTGCATCCACTTCAGGTAGGTTCTGTTAAACCTTCAAAGTCAACATTGGTGCATTTATGTGCAGTACCAGACTTGCCAGAACGGCATCTAAAGGAGAACAGAGGGCAAGGACACAGAAGGGCAGAAGAAAGATTGAGCACATTAAACTCACGGTGCTGCACTCACGTCCCCATAGCAACGGTAGTAAAAGAAGTGCAGTGCTTAAAGCAGAAGTAGCCCGAACGCGCACCAACTGGTAGATAAATAATTTTAAAATACTTTTCATTGTTTTCAAGTATAATCAAGTATTTTTGACTAGTTCTGATGTCTCGCAAGCTGTGCTAGCTCCTCAGCAGCCACTTCATAACTTAGCATTGATAAACCCTACACCGGCACAGACGCAAATGGTTTCTTCGCTGCAAACCCGTCAAAATGTCAATCAATTTTCGTCCAGGAGCCATCATCAGCTGAGGTACGTGAACAAAACGAGGTGTGTGAAGGGTGTTTCCATGCATACAACAGCCGGGTATACGGTACATGTACATCCAAAAACAACACAATTCAAAAATCCTGTGTTACTGAAACACCCTCAACAAAAGGGTTCCTATCTGCATTGAGAAGAGAGCGTGAGCAAAAGATCCAGACTACCAGTAGGCTTACCAATGCATAGACTGATTGGGAGCCAGAAGATCTCTGAAGACCTTGATGTGACTAGGATAATTGATCATCAGATCATTGACGACCTTGCCGCTATTCTGTGTACGTGCAGCTCCATGCTCGAGTATTACCTGCGTACACAGGCAATCATTATATGAATAGCATGAATACATGAAGCGTCTATGATTACACAAAAGGCGACAAGCTCCAAATTTGAGGAACTGAGATTTTGAGCTCATTGTAATCTATAGGTCTAGAGGCACCTTCACGGAAACTTTCACATTCAAAATCTTAATAAAACAGATAGAAATGATACTTCGACAATCGACATGCTGCAGATTGTGAATAGCAACTGAATAGAGCTGTTGTCAGTTGATAAATCCCCTTTTCTTATGATGCAGTTGCGTGACGTCCACCACTTTCTTAGTGAGCTTCACAAAATCTTGGTGATAACTGTCAACTGTTATGTGTAACATCTCAATAGGGCTTGAAAGTGATGATGTCACAAGTCAACAAATAACGATAACTAACAACTTCTTGATCAAATTTGACCCACTCTGCCCATAGTGAAAGTAGCGCGATGGGGAGGCGTTTGTGCCGCATGCAGGTGAGATCTTTCTGTACAAGGAGTGGGTCCACTATCGAGACAGTCCAGGTTTGCTACTACCGGCAGACGCGTCACCCTGGGAGAGCCATCCAAACCTGTCCGGATCCATACACAAACTGGGTCCAAGTGGATCCAAAAGTCAGCGTTGCCATGGCTCTGGCCTGGCTGTGACGTAGCACTTTCAAGACAAACTGTGAGAAGTATGTGAGAAGTAAATGAGTTCAGTGTCCCTCAGACCTACATGTACTTGAGCCTGTGTGTATGTACACCACCGCATGCTCTTCATGATGTGCTTTCTGGGGTAGAGAATGAAAACTTGAAAAGGGACTGAAGGTAGCGAATGTACATTATCATGATTATGATTGAGAGCAACTAAGTTACTCCCAAAGAACTCTCGATCATATAATTTATATGTACTTCCTCCGGCAACAAAAACTTCCTGACTTTTTTCACTACTTTTCGCTGCTGTTATTTCGCTCTTTCTCTTTGGTTCTGTCAGCCTGAAACACTGACATGACATTTTGGAATCGTAGGAAAGCATGATTCATATTCTGGAGAGCCGGCAGACGTCGCAGAGCAAGGGTGTCGACGGTGCAAACAAAGCAAAGCGATCATGTTTTTCCTTTTCGTCCACCAGCCTGCGCAATGCGAAGAAAAGCACTGCGCACACTGCTAGGGGTGCGCGGATTATTCCCGGAATAATTTGGGAATACTATCGTCGAGAAAATTTTGGGAATTTTAGGGGAATTCTATCGATCTTTTGCCAGATCCGTTGACCTTCAGAAGAGTTTTGGGGGAATTCTGTCAATTTTGACCCGCCAGAGAACAAGCGCACATCCATGGACGCACGTTCATGTACATGCAGCAATACCCAGACACGACATAGTAGTTGTGTACAGTCAGATGTACATGTAGACCTAGTGTAGATCCTGCAACGACCTGCATGCAGTGATCACGTGCCTGACCGTCCATTTTGCATACTAAAGAGCATGCGCAAGGCACGGTTCATGCTGGGGTTCTTTTTTGGGGGGGGGGGGGAATTCTGGAGAATTTTTTCGATGTTTTGGGAGAATACTTTCGAAGTTCCGCGGGAAATGCCCGAAAGCATAATATCGGGCGCGTGCGAGCATAATCCGCGCACCCCTTCACACTGCTCGTCGTTGCTATTTTTTAGTTCTGAACTTGACAAAGCAGGGCAATGGCACCCAGTGTCGCCGTGCGACTACCCTGATCTAACAATACTCATGCCAGTTGCACCACAAACAATCCACTCATGACATCTTGCTCTAAAAGGCGAGCTGCCTGCAAACTTGGATTCACACAAGAGCCATAAGAACACGAGGTCAATCTTGGTGGTCATAAAAAGGAGAGGCTGATTAGGAACGCGCATGCCTAATTTATACGGGCCAAGATCGTTCGCGACACCCAGGAGCAAGAAGAGTGGAAAATGAATAGCTAGCGTTTTGAAATCTTCGCCATCCCCGATACGCCTGTCGCCATGCGAACAGGTCGGCAATATGTCAAAACTCCAAAACCCAGAGATGTGACAATCGTCACTTCGCGCAGCAGAGCAAGATGAACAAGTTCAAAATAGAAGTGTCATTCCGCCACTGCAGAGCCCAGACCTCAACGTGGATGATCTCACCTTTTCCAGCAGCCTCGACGATGTGTCCTTGGTCACAAAGGAGAACAGGCGAGATCTGATCGGGGCAGTCTAGAAATGCTGGTACGACTATGATATCCCTCGGAGGAAATTTGAAATGTTCGGCTTTGCCTGTGTTTGTTGTTCCGGGGCATGCTCGAGCGAGATCGGAGGAGGTATTGAGTACCAGCGCTGCAGCGCCACCTTGGTCTCCTCAGAGCTGTTAGAGAAGGCATTCAGGTAACAGCGAAGATGATCAGGGACGCGGAGAAGCTTCTCCGCGACATACGACATTGCGTTGATCGACCTGCCACTTGGAACGGTTTGAGCCGTGATGAGTCGAGCGATGGCGACCCAGACTGAGACTCTACTCCCATTAATCGATCCTGTAGATATTGTAGATGTGACGATTGAATGTGCTGAAGTGTTTGAACACAGTGACTCCGTGAACAGATTTAGGTCATGTAAAAAAAGTCACGAAGTTTTTTGTTTCCTGAGGATGTACTTTCAACACCCAGTCCGTCTTACGGTAGCATAAAAGCTCTGCCGTACGCACTCTTCAAGCAGTGGAGCATCCTGCTTGATAACGTATACCTTCAACAAATTCAGTCCAGTTTCATCCCAACATACAGACAGGACACTGACCATGACGAGTAGGCAGGGGTAAGTACAAACAAACGGACACGTCACCGTGGAATGCGGCCTCCTGATCTACATGTACATTATAGTCACTACCAACAACACACAACATGTATTATTTGCTACTCACTGGGATGATGAAGCATCCTTGCGACTTCAGAGCTGAAGCGAGAAGTGTGCGATGTCCATCGGATGACATAGCCGGATGACGGAGGAGTCGTGTATCTCTAACACCCAGGCAGGCCACAACACTGAAACCATGACGTGTAGCTGCAGCCATATCTACTGATACACCATTGAAAACATCGGCTGGATACTTGGAAGTCTCCACTGGCTTACTATCTCGGTTGACAATGCACAATGCCTGAACGGCCACACCATCAACCAGAGAGACGCCAGTGGTGTGTTCTGGACCAATGAAGCATGACAGCATATCATACATTCGACCCGTGTTTGGACTCAAACCTTCTTTTCTGGACGACTCTGAGCACCGGTTCATGATTTCTCGCCGTTGCTTGTTAGTAACTAGTAGTGTGTCGAGCAAAATAAGCCGCTGAAGATGATGGGCACCGTACTCTAGCAAGAAACAGCACACAGATATGAAAGCAGAACGACAGATTGAAAAATACAGCAATCAAGGGGCAATGTGCTGCTTGATACGTTCGGCCAGCTGTCAAGAGGTCCTACCAACATACCGGCTATTGCATTCAAAATAGTAAATAAGGTGACTCAATTCCAGGGTTGGAAGGAAATCCTTCAACATCGTGAACGAATGTATCGTGGTGAAAACTGTTACAACATCCATTGGGAGATATGCTGTGTGGACTGCAGTGTTGCCACATCATTATAGCCAAATATCAGTAGGATAAAAAACCAAAATGCATCATCCGGGGGCTTCGCCCCCGGACCCCCTTCCCTATATAGCGACCTCGATACACACACACACGCGCGGCACTGATAAGAAAAAGATGTCATGTTTTGCGTGAGACTCGGGCTGAGTTTGCCGATTTTTCTCGAGACAGATGATGATTTCGCTTAGCGCCTTAGGAGAGAGCTATGGAAACACGCGTAATGAGCAGTAAAGGCCAAAAATCTGGATCATGACTTCTAAACCACGCATAAGGTCAAACTTGGACACTTTCATGGCTGTTGTCGGCAGGAGAAGGTCAATTGTCGGCAGGTCGTGACATGCCTCAAAAATCGGCAGGCTACTGACATGTCGGCAGGTGTGGCAACACAGGGACTGTGTGGACTTTCCGGGGTTAAGCCAGAAACACACGACAGGGTTTAGAGGTCATATCAACTACTCTTTTTGGTGGACTTTCTCATTACTAGTCGATTCAAGAGCGGCGAGGGATGACCGTATTTTTTTGTAAACGAAAAGCACCTAGAATCCACAACTGAAGCGATTTGCTTATTTTATTTTCTATCGCACTACCTCATGGCGCAGTGGGAACACCGGCCAATGTGTAAGTGTGACATATGAGTACATGTACCACACTCACTTCTCCTTTTTCTAGTATCAGGTCCAGGTAAGGAATTCAGAAAATGCACTGGTAGAAAGGCGGACCACACAACAGAAGCAAGACCTAACTGATTGATATTGATATAACGTTATTTTAATGTTTCGACGATCAATTACTCAATCAAGCCTTGCTCCCGTTGTGTGGTCCACCCTTTTCCACCAGTATCATGTGACAGTCAGTAAGCACTCTCGAAATACACTTACTCTGTATGAGTTGATCAACACTGATCAGCTCCAGCAAGGCACTGCACTCTACACCACACAGTGTACAGTAGAGAAGTAGGCTGAGCACTTGAGCATGACGATACTTGGGATCACCTGTACTCTGTATGGCTGAATAGCGACTCATCAAGTCCATGGCTAGCGAAGGATCAGCAATGTTCAACGAAAACAGTGCATGAACACACCGGTCAATATCTCTACATTCACTAACATACTGAACATCAAGCTGGTCCTGTAGCAGCTGCCTGAACTCAGATGTTGTACATCGGCATCGTGACGCCCGGTGCAGCATCCACCTCAGCTGACCTTGATTCTTGCTACCCCGCCATAGATCTGTAGGTAAACTAGCTGCGTGATCCAGTACAGCTACAACTAGATTAGTCACTGCGCTGTCCTCCTCGCCGTCCTCGGTAACCCTAGCACAAGCCTGGAGGATGGTCCTGAGATTCTGTACACTATATATATTGTTAAGATGACAATGAATCAGAGGAACTTGTGAAGTCAGGTCGCTAGGTTGAAACGTGTGCGCAGTGACCATGGCAGTGAAAAGACCATCAATAGCTGAAACGGCATCACATACAGTGGTATCCTGACGCACAGACCTATCTGAGTGGCATCTCACGGGTTGAGGGGAGCAAAGCGACGTCGCATTGGGACCCAGTGCAAACGTGTTAGCTACAAGTCGTCTAGACCGGACCAGTGTGCTCATACCATAGCCATGCTGAAGAAAGTTACTCACAGTCCTCAGACTACGCAACTTTGAAGCAAACATGATGTGTTGGTAACTTGCCTGGGTGACACTAGTTTACACAAATACTTGATCCTATGCTCCACTGAATGACAACGTGTAGTCACTGTACGCTGGCTGCTCACAATACCGTCCTCTGGGAAACAATACAAAACATCACACACACACACACACACACACACACACACACACACGCACGCACGCACGCACACACACACACACACACACACACACACACACACACACACACACAAAAACTCAACAACATTCTACTCAACAGTTTCCTCGGAGACAAGAATGCAATGATACCGAGAAGAAGAAACCTTTCAAGAGTTTCAAGGGCCTGAAGTGTATCATTCTTCTCAGTATCATTACATTCTACTCACATTACACATTTAGTGATATCAACTGATTTCAAAGATGAGTGTGGCACAATACTCGTACTGTTGACCTGTTCAAGTGTGATGCAACAAAAAAATTTAAATAAGCCTCCAGATCCAAAAAGGAGGCTTATGTCCTTTTCAACATTCTAAGCTATCTGTACCAAGACATTGATGTCATCAGCAGATCACTGTGCTAAAAAACCCCAAAGTCAAAAATATTCACCCAGCACAAGAGTTATGGTGGTATGACCAACTGCATTTACATCTCTCACCACAGTGCACTCAACTTTCAAGTGCGTGTTTTGCAACACCGCACACTACCTTTCACATCTGGAGGCTCAAATGCCACTGACAATGTGTCAAAAAGGAGACAAAAAAATTAAATAAGACTCAAGACTAGAACAAGCTCCATGCTCCTCGCGATCAGCTTAGGCGAAAAAGACCAAGCATCAGAACTGCTCCAAACACTAGTGGAGACGAACCTATCACACATCGTATACACTTTTCAAGCGCGTTTTGACATGTTCACCACAATCTTGGAGTGAGCACTGCTGGCGGGCACGGCGCTCCGTCCTTGGAAAAGCTCTTCAGACAGCTTCTAAAGCATTTAAAAATAATCTAGCGCTGTGTGCAAGTGACAAAATCAAAAAGAAGACAAACCATCACCTGAATATTGAATCACAGCATGGCATTCAGGGTGCTTAGACAAACGCTCTTCAACATCTGGATGCACGTATCTGACAATACACACCATTCCATGATGTGCATGTGTCACACGAGCACGCACGGGAAGCCCACCAAAGAATCATCCAGGTGCTAAACGATCAACATAGCAGCAGCCGCCACATCAAACAACAACTTGATGATGTTACCGCGAGGAATGCCACGCAGCATATCAATCCATCATCCACTGTCAAGGAATGGTCATCAACTAGCGCAAGTCGGGGACAATTGAAAACAGAAATCAATCCATCATGCACTGTCAAGGAATCGTCATCAACTAGCGCAAGTCGGGGACAATTGAAAACAGAAATCAATCCATCATCCACTGTCAAGGAATCGTCATCAACTAGCGCAAGTCGGGGACAATTGAAAACAGAAATCAATCCATCATCCACTGCCAAGGAATGGTCATCAACTAGCGCAAGTCGGGGACAATTGAAAACAGAAATCAATCCATCCACTGCTAAGAAATAGTCATCAGAAGTGTCCAGCAAGCGGCGCAAGCCGGGGACAATTGAAAACAAACACACTGGGTATGGCACCAAACCGCCTTGAGATGAACAGGAACGGAAGCGACACAGTGGAGACGGGTGACAAGGTAGGCTGCGGTGCTGAATTTCCAGGCATTGGTGGAGTCTGCGCATCAAGTTCTGGTGATATGGTTTTGGATCCGTCCACGGTAGTTGCAAAACTCGGCCCAAAGTATTATGATTGTACACAACGGTGAACGACTCCAGGATGCGCACCAACGCACTCTGCACAGTATTACCAGTGCTTATTACGTATGTTGCCCCCTCCCCCCCCCCCCACCCCCCCCCCCCCCCCCGTACTCTCCTTTGGCTAGAACCCTGATCATGACTAGTAAAGGAAAAGTGTAGAAAGAGTGGCGAATGACATTTTTTGGCTCACTATGAGCATGTCAGAAAAGTGCGGGCAAAACATTCGCACTCGTGCTTGACTAGTGAATCCATGCACTCCGAGCTTTGCTCGTCACGAATGCCGGGAATCTGCCGGTTCTTCCATTGCGCTCATCATTTCATATACAAACTTGATACAGGTCTACTCTCCATATAACGTAATCTCTGGGACCACGCAAAAATTATGTTATATCGAGAGTTATGTTATGTAGAAAACCGTGTGTAGAATACAAGATGTACCTCAAAATGAAGGGTATTACAAGGCGGGTTAAACCGTGCAAACATATACACACTGTACTACCATCGACATCAGATACCATCAATGCCGCAGAATATATGTAGGACTCAGTGACCAGTCAAGGCCCCGTGACCAATCACGATCCCCGTGACCAGTCAAACAGTCACAAACCCCCCATGACCAGTCACAAATTAGTTTACCAGTCACAATGCCCCATGACCAGTCACAAATCACCATACATGTACATGTGTAAAGTACACAGTTCGTGACTGCTCGCAGGGTGCTTCGTACTGCAGGATTTGTTGTGGAAACTATAATTCCCTATGAGCGGTCACAGAATGCAGTTGTGAAAACTATAATTCCATGCGAACAGTTACATGCGGAATGTACAGTTGTGACCACTCTTTCTCTGTGAGTAGTCACAGGCAGAATATGTATTTCTGTGTTACAAGAGAGATTGGAGGCTTTGTCACAACTCTGAGTTTCACGTATTACTACGATCGTCAGGCAACTGATGGCTCCTAAACGGGCAGCCTGAACATAAGAGGGAGCAAGGTGGGAAATTCTGAGGGGTATCATAGTGCAAGAGTCAGGTGCAGGCGTGAAGTTGCCAAGTCTTCAGACTTGGGGCTATGCAGCAGCAGTTCCAGCGTGAATGACATAGTATAGAGCTGGGGACCACACATGCCCACACCATTACACACACATACACCCACACTCTCTCCCTTTTCTCACATACACTCACACGCGCACACACACACTCATTCTCTAAATCTCTCTCTCACACATACACACATGTCATTCATTCTCTACATCACACACACACCTGGCCTGGTGTACAGCTGCCAAATGCTTAGCCACGCCGCCCCCGAGACAGGGGGAGAGTAGAAGAGAGAGTTTGAGACACACACACACACATCCACACACACACACACACACGCACCTGGCCTGGTGTACAGCTGCCAAATGCTTGGCCACGCCGCCCCCGAGACAGGGGGGGAGTAGAAGAGAGAGTTTGAGACACACACATCCACACACACACACACACATACACACACACACACACGCACACACAAACACACACACATTCTCTAAACCTCACACACACACACACACACACACATTCTCTCTCTCTCTCTCACACACACACTCTCTCTTTCTCACGCATGCACACACACACACACACACACACTCACACATGCGCGCGCACACTTACTCTCTCTCACACACACACACACACACACACACACACACACACACACACACACAAATATGCAGCGGGACTACCAGCTAGATTCACGTGACCTTGCGGACAAAGTTACGGAGGTAGAACTTGTTTTCACGGCGACACTTGGACACAAGTACTTCTGTATTATTATTTTATCTCTTTTCAACCAATCCACAAGCCAAGAAGAGATGCGTAGACAGAAGAACCGTACTCTTGGTGATACTGATCGCAAACATGATTAATTCCTCCAGGCCATTGAGCACCCAATTCTAAACCTTATCTAAGCAAAGCAGCATGCCAGTTCAAGAACATCTCGTCAGACATACATATCGATACATGTCTGGTGCACTCTCACTAACAAGCAGGCATCGCAGGCTACATTCGCACCAGCAATCAAAAGAAGTTGAAGTGAGTGAATATTTCTATAAAATTAATAATTGGAAGACAAATGAAGGTGTGGAGGATCGCCCAAAAACACTGACAAGGAGAGTCACTCAGACAGTAAACTGTACACAGTACTCGTATGCATGTACTTATACACGTTATAGCAGCACAACGAGAAAGACCATGATGCATAATGTTGCATCAATAAATTTTACAGAGTTATTTTGGGAGTAGAAATGAAGATGTGTTCGAAGCAGTAAACTGCGTAAGCACTACGTTGAGCCAGAATATTGAAATACAGTTTCCTGCAGTCAAAACAAGACACTCACACTTCTCTGGTCTAGTTCGCCATTCTTATCGATAAACATGACTTGATTTAATTTCTTACGATGGTCCTTGAGAATGGATCAATGATGTCTTGAATAGATGTCTTCCTGAACGACTTCATCTGAGAGGCAGTTTCAGTTTCAACAAGCTGGACATTGTTTTTCTGTGGAGTCTTCCACAAGAAAGACAGAGCCACCCACACGAAGGTGCTTGATGTACTCAGTACCTTCTTGGAAATGAACATATTTTCATTTCCATCTTCATTATATTTTCGTCTCTGCATCGTCGACGATGTCCACTTCTGACTCCGTAATCTTGTCACCCATCCTCTCCAAAAACGCAAATCGAGTGCTGCTTGCATGCTGGATCAGTTGAAGTCAGTCTCTGCTCTAGCAAGATCGGCATGCAAAAATTACATGACTGAAAATATTCCGAAATAGCTTTTCTGAACGACGAAGTTTGTTCTTCAAATTATGATGAATAGCACAACCTACTAGCCAGAACGTCCTCTCAAAAGAGATTCTATCTGAAGCCTGCAAGATTTTCGACCACCCTTCGTTTTGGAGAGGAGCCCACACACACCAGACTCGAGCTACAAGTAAACTACGCAGAGATCGAGAGTTGATCGAAATCTTTCTTGCGCACTACTTCTGAAACCTGTGAAGGAAAAAAGTATGCTGAACGCGTGAATGCCTACAGTTGAGTCGTAATATTTTGACGTAGATCCTGTGACCGTTCACAGAGAAAGTCGCGGCTGTTTCTGACTGGTCATCGGGATTCAAACTGGTGTGTGACTTTATGACTGCTCTTCGGGGATTTGTGACTGTTTGATTGGTCACGGGGATCGTGATCGGTCATCGAGACGTGACTGCTCACTGAGTCCTACATATATTCACAATAGGACTAAACTGGCTAGCTACAGCTACCGCTTGATCGTATCGTGCACATGAATTTACGTTGTATCGAGAGTGCGCACGTCGGGGACCGCGCCGTAGCATGTGTTATGTCGAGGTTTATGTTATGTAGGATTATGTTGTGTAGAACAAAATTTGTATGGGAGTGATGCTGTTTCGGCTAGCGAGGTTTATGTACAAGTGAGAGTTGTTATATCGAGAGCAGACCTGTATTGAGATATCTGAGTGTCATGAGTGACGTTCTGCTCAGTGTTGCGGGAACGCGACGCGAAGAATCCCGGGAACACTCTTTGCGTTCCTAGAACGTAAAGGAAACTTGTTCTGCTCTACGTACATATACGTTTGGGTAAAGAAATCACGCGCAAAGTGTACTGGGAATTTCCCCTTCCAAATTTGGCAGTTTTCTGCCTGCATTTGAATGATGATAGACGTGATAGTAATACCCAGCAGATCCGCACGCATTTTCTTTGCATGTGCCACAACATAGAGAACCTCATCTATGAGTAGAAATCTGGACCCAAAACCTGTCCCTCCAGGAAATCGCGATTCCACAGATGCAACAAATTTCGCGATTTTGGCCCAAACCCGCGATTTTCAGCAAAATCCGCGATTTCCCACGTTTGTCGTTGTTTTCTGCACCATATCCCACATTTTTATGCACTTTTGACGCAGTGCTTTCCATGATCCTGTGGGTTATTTGCACAGTACGACTCGTACTACTCCCGAGTAGATATACGATGCAAAAATTGCGTGATTTTGCCCAAATCCGCAATTTTCTGCAAATAATTCCACAAATTCCTCGCAAGTTCTGCATCATTCCGCACTTTTCGTCGCATTTTTTGTTGTTTTCTGCCGCGGCAATTTCTTGCGCAAGTTTTCGGGAGTTTTTCCGCAAATTCCCGCAGGGACAGCAAAACACGCGAAGCCGTAGACTCTGACCCAGACATCTGCTCTCTACGTTTCACGTACGAGTACAGCAGAACCCGGCTACTCGGACTAATGTGATCCGGTTGAGAACGGCGATAGCGTGGCATATACCAGGGACCTCTTGCAACACTGAAGACAGGACACTGGACAGAACCGAGGATTTCCGGTGATTTCACTGACTTGTAACTATGGTGACACTCCGATCATTGTACATTTACATGATTTGTGGACTACATGTACTTGCCACTAGGCACTATTCCATTTTTATTTATGTTTGTAAGCAGAACATAATGCCATTAGTGGATTCGTGGTGTATCAGTGCAGTATGCCCTATCGACGCAGGGATCAAAGATATCCGGATACTCCGAGCCCTTCGCGCTTCACAGCTAAGCTAACAACAGCAGCAGCACGCCAAGGACACGAGTCTCTCCTAGGCAAAGGTGCGGCCAATGAGAAAGCGTGCTTTCTCCACTCTCACCTGTGCAATCGCGGGATGCTGATGAAGTGAAGTTCAGCACTATGAAAATAATGCTTGCTGCTTGCTTCGCCCAGCTGCAGCTACAGCGATCGATAAACCGTGGCCTACTCGTACTCACTCTCACAGTATGCGGCAGTGATCTAGTGAATGCACGTGGAGTCTGGAGCCAATTATTAGTAATACTAATAGGACAAGCTTCTTGCAAAAGGTTTGTAACGTGTTTTCGTGGATACAGTACAGCAGTCACTACAGGGCTAGGCTCCCTATTTCATTTTGCGCCGCCGAGCAGGCTCATAAATTAATTTCTCGTTCTTACATGACACGTGATCGTTGCCGGGGCCATAGCCAATGGGGCTGTTAACCCTTTCAGTGCCAAGGGGGTCAGAAAAATTCAAATTTTTCTGAGTTGAGCTGAACTCAAATTTTTCATAGCTCAGCTGTATATCCACGGATCTTTACAAACGATGGCTCTATGGAAAGATATCATGGCCAGACAGACAGCTGTGAAGAGAAAATGCAGCGAAAATAGTCTTCCTCGCGAGGGCGCCTGAGCGAAGTCCGTTTTCTGCATTTTCGTAGCATCTGCACTTTCTCACGCGCGCGATCGATCGCAGTGCAGGCAACTTTCAACGCACGGAATTCGGACAAAGTTGGCCTGAAAGCCACTGAAAATCTCGATGTTTTGATACCCAATACGCATGGGTTGCCGCGAAAGAAATAGAGAAACCTGCGATGCGCATACGTCATGTTTTCTACGGGCGACAATTGTTTGTCCGAGCGCGCGCGCTTCAAGCTTCGCCCTGGCGATATCTATCCTCACGGACACAAAACGATGTGATGAGTCGATAGCCAAGGTCTTCCTGAACACGTAGAGTGGTCGTTTGTAACTCTCCTGTGTGTAGAAGTGGAGATACGAATTTATTTGTACACACATACTGATTTTGGGCGACTTTAGTCGCCCAGGCACTGAGAGGGTTAAGTGTGACGTCACGGCCCCTTCGATACGCATCGCAACGGAGAGCACTGGGGACAAACAAAAGTCGCGTCCTCTGGATGGAACCAGTTGTCAAAGGCAACAGCATCTAAATGACTGGAGAGAGAGCAGTTTTTCTTTGCTTTTTCTTCAAGCGATTGTTGTCGCTCTTTACTCCTTGTTCTTTCCTCTACAAATCTCCTGTAGTCGTCGAGGGCCTTCATAATGGCTGTGAAATTGGCTGCACACTGTAAAACTCCGTGTTTGAGAGTGCTTTGAAGATTCTTCGCGTCCTGATGGATCAAAGTACGAGCGCTCCCTGTGAATTCGATTATATGTAGGTGAGACTGTGAGTTGTTCAAGAAATCAGTGTCTTCTTTCTGTCTCTGCCCTCACGCTGGCACAATAATATCAGCCTCTATATCCATGACAGCTCGCACCTCCCGTAAACTGCATGACTTAGATATATTCTCGCCCTCCGTGGTGATTGAAGACCATGGAAGAAGAGTTATTATGTTCAGAATGATGTCCTGAGAATATAAAATAAAATAATTCTAGGGAATTGTTACAGGGTATTTTGGAAGGATGGAGAGAGAGAGAGAGCACTGAAGTGTTTGTCTCACTGTAATTACTCCAGATTATTGAATGGTGTATGATCTACTCGATATTTTCCACCATTGTTTTTCCTGATTTGCGGGATCTCTTCTTTTGCTGTTTGCGTATTTACAGGAAGTGACTGTCTGGTGTATCTGCACCAGATCCTGGGGACATGAAGTCAGATGCAGAGGCAGGGTCGTCCAGTGATGCAACACTGCCATTCTATGTACAACGTCACCGCTAATTCCCCCGGCGAAAACACAAAAAGACAAACACGTCAAGAGACTACAGTATTGACCGTTCTGGTAATGAATCGTGACTGCTCGGACAGTCGATAATCGAAACACAGAGCACCAGCATGATGTTTTGATATTGGGAACCACACACCAGCTCAATTCTCAAGCCCAAAAATTGATGAATACAAAACACAGAGCGACGCAACAAGAGATCATCCGGCAACCAAACCAACCTGGGTCTAATGCACTAAATAGTCCTGAAATACGCAGGCCACACAAAGCAGTGCAAGCACATACTGTTACAAGGTACATGCATTGCAGAACAAAGTGTAACCAAAGATACACGGGGTTATAGCTGCACACTCGTGCATGTGCTCGCTCAGCCCAAGAACACGCATGATGATAGAAATAATCCGGGGGAAACACGCTAGCACCGAAGTAAGCATCAAGACGTAAATAGTCATCATCACAAGCCCTAAGCCCGTCGCGGCGTCACAGAGCAAGTATGAACAAGCGAGCGCCATAAAAATCGATCGCGTGCAGCAGCGAGCAGGGACTGCACGTCAAGTGCAGTCCATGAAATAATAATTATTATCAAGCCATGACATTCTGGGCCTGCCTCGGCCACGACCTCCAGCAACACAACCCTGAAGAACAGTCAATGACAAACAGCCGGAACGAACAATATGACCAATTTAATTGCAATTTCCTTTTACGAACAGAAACAATAAGTGGGACTTGTTTGTGAATACTATTTATTTCCTCTCTAACAGACACATTCGTCCGTAAATAGTGCAGCTCTGAAAAAGTAAAAATTACATTGATATGTACATTGGTGTGCCGAGTAGTATCATCCTTGATCACCCATCCAACCAAGACGTTATCAGGTCCCAGACGCCGAGATCGCACGCCGAATGTGAAGTGCATATAGCCTTGAACCTGTTGCACAAGGCACACACATATGACAACATCCACTCCGATTATTTCCAGAGGCCAATCATAACAGAACACAGAAATGAAACCACGGGCTCAACAAAGTACATGTAAACGCAAAGGAAATTAGTTAAAATAATCCATGAAGTGCTATTTTAATTCCAGCGCTGACTGCAGTGTGGCGTCGTGGCCCGATACCCGCTGAGCATAGACACAAACTCCATTTGACAGGGGCAAGACATACTATTTTGGAATAAAGTCATAAAGTACAGCATTCCAATGACATGACGGACACCTCGTGCAAATGCGTGGTCTGCTCATCCGGCCAACTCGGCCACGCCTGAGAGTGTGTGCATGGACGCGCGCACGCAAGCGCGCGCGTGCACACACCATGTATTCGGTGCGTATGGCGTACCTGTTGCGGAGATATGAAGATGGAATCATTATCGTGATGTTACATGTACAGTGTATGTTTGAGTGTAAAGTAAATTTTATTTTTAATATTACACATTTCTTCGACACAACTTACTCCACATCTTCGCATTTCTCATAATCCGTCCACCTACACTCTGTCTCGGTTGAGGAAAAACTCTCCCAGGTACAGGTATACACTAGTCACCACAGCCATGTGATGACATTGGGATGGGTCCCAAGCACGATTGCACTCTCCAGTTACAATATAATTTATTTGTCCAGATTATCTGTGAAGACAAAATGCAATGCATAGCGGCAATCGATGGATGAAGAGAGAGTTTGTAAATACACATATCTTTCGACTTGTTCAGGAGCTTACCTTTTGGAGGTCACATCGTTTACACGATCTCTTATGCTGTCTTGCACCTTGGCTTTGTTGACCATGGATACGCCATCCCAAAAGACATTCTACAGGAGCTACTAATGCAGAGCGTTTTTCACGCTCGATCTCGGCGATCTACCTCGTCACGCCAATAAAATCCTCCGTGACACTGGCTACAGTCACAAGAGACGTCTCAGTAAGGTAATGAGCACGACAACACCGTCGAGATCAAGGACAAAGAGAAAACAAAACACTCACTGAAAACTGCAAAGAAGAAACGAGAAATGTACACGATTCCTATATGTTGCCACTGACAACTGGTTCGGTGGAGACGACGCTACTTTTGTTTGTCCCCAGTGGGATCGTTGCTATGCGTATCGAAGGAACTGTGACGTCATCACTTAACAGCCCCATAGGCGATCTTCCCGCCGCGGGCATAATCAATCAGGCCATCAGGACCGTTTGACGTCATTTCGGGAGTTTCAGGACCGTTTGACGTCATTTCGGGAATGTTCGGACCGTTTGACGTCATTTCGAGAATAATTTTTCGACCTTCGACCTTTCCACCTTTGACCTTCCCTAATACTGTAAATCAACAAATTAATTATTTTGGCCGGTGAGAAACTTTGGCCGATCCCGAAATGAAACTTTTGGCCGTCATTTAACTTTGGCCGATTGGGTTTTTCAAAAAAGAAATCGACTGGTATTTGTTGCTCTCACATGCAGCCATGGCTCAATAATGCATCATTTTCCTCTATGACAAATGTTAGCCTGCGATTTATTTTGGCCGGCTGATACCCACCGGCGAAATCAGCGAAATCGCCAGTGAAAATTAGTTGATTTACAGTATGTTGCTTCACGCTGTAAGAAATCAAATCAAGCACGCTCTGTCTGTCATGATGGCTGAATCCGCTTCTCAGTTTCCGGCATACCTAGTTTCACGTGTTGAACAATAATGTCTAAATCCGCTACTGCAGTTATTTTGTTTTAGTGCCTTTCCAGTGTTCTATTAGCACCCCTGGTTCTCAATCTATTGTTCTTCCTCTCATTTGACTTAGAAAATCTCAGATTTTGAGTTTTTTGCGCTCCATACATAATTTTATTTTCATTATTTATTGGTTTGGTGAGACTCGACCTCCCATGATAGGTATCCATTTACCTCTGGAGAATCCGTAAATAAACAAACAAATCTTGCCCTTGCCTGCAGCCCTCGGGCCTACGGCCCTTGGGCTGTAGGCTGGGGCAAGATTCAGCCATCATGACCTCCTGAGCGTGCTTGATTACATACATCAATGCCGCTTGCATGATGTATCAAGCACGCTCAGAAGGTCATGATGGCTGAATCTTGCCCGAGCCTGCAGCCCAAGGGCCGTAGGCCCGAGGGCTGCAGGCAAGGGCAAGATTCAGCCATCATGACAGACAGAGCGTGCTTGATTTGATTTCTTACATCGCGCGCGAAGCAACATACATGTATTACAGTAAGATCGGGCGCCGAAGAACGCAGGGGCTCGAGCGCAGCCTAGGAAAGTTCTTTTAAAAGAGAGCATGTCTGAGAAAACCAGAACATATGTGCAAGTCGATCTCTCAGATTTCGCTCAAATTTTGCAGGTAGGTTTGCTTTGGGGTGTAGATCGACATTCCAAAGCCCGCACAAAATCTTTTGAAGGGAACCATGAAATTGGCATACCCCTCAATATTGGCCCAATATTGGCACGATTTATGGGTCTACAAACGAGCCACGGCACAGCGTACAAGAACAAGCTACGAACAAAACTCCATCAAGCCATCATTACCTCACCTTAGAAGAGTTCTTGGGGCAGCACCACTTAGCCACGCCAGCATCCCAGAACACGAGGGCAATCATCCCTTGACGCCACAAATGATCGTCTTGAAAATAGCCAAATTACAAGCGCTGATAAAACAGCGAGCTACGTCCTCAATTAGCAAACACTATACACCGGCAGATAGTAGAACACCTCTTCTAGCACTGAGGACATGTCCCCCATCATCCTTTTGGGGTTTTCTTGAAATAAACAATTTTGAATTTTTCCACTCGACCATTCTGAAATACGTCCAAACTCATACCTGCGCAGGAAAGCTCGCCCCTCCGCGACGTCTAGTCAACAATTTCTACTCCAACACCACTCCCAACGCTGCAGAACAAAGTGTATTGTTGACTCTGACAAGGAAAAGCAGCGGTGATCACTTGTCACTCCAAACGACAAGCTTCTCCTTGCGCCACCAACATTTTTCGTTGCAACAGTTGATGCAAAAGTGACTGAATTTTTGCGTGTACGAGTTTTTGGATTTTACTGCAAGAGGAATGAAGAAATCACGTGGATCGTGACGTAGAATAATGCTTTCTGGTACACGACACAATGCACACGATCACGATCGTTCCTGAGGCGCTATTCGAAACGGACCATGAGGGAGAAGGTAAGATGCATTATATTTCTTGCATGCTCTGCTCAGAACATGCAGAAACTATCGTTATAACGCTACCAGTATTGTATTGGCAAGAATTCTTGGAGATATTTCCTCTTGCAGTAAGAACAGGGATGAAAAGTTTTTTCACACTAACCTCGCTCATCCCGAACATGGTTCAACAGGAACTACCAGTGGCGGATCTAGGGGAGGGCGCGGTGGGCGCGCGCCCTCCCCTCAAACAGTTCGGTTTTTTTAGTGCATGCACATGGGCAGTTGCGCAAGTGTTTGCACATGCTGTGACAAGTAGTTTCTAGTGTCAGATAAGAAAGTTCTTTTGAACACGGAGTAGTTGTTCTCTTAGACTTTGGTTGACTTTAAGTTTTGAAATTAGTGTTCAGTTGACGAACTTGTATAGCTAAGTCGGTGAAGGGGATGGCGCACCGCCCGCCTAAGCGGCTAGGGAGCCAACAAACTCTCCACGGATTTTTCGCGAAGCGAACTTGCGCTTCGTCAGCTCCTCAGTCGAGCGATCCGTCTTTGGAGGAGAATTCGGACCACCGCGAAGATCCAGAGATCGAGGTCTGCTCAGACTCTGATCTTCCCCAAATGGAATCCGAAGTAGGTTCTGACGACGATGGTGGGACTGTCAGTAGTATTGATGCGAGTCAGGAGCGTTTACCTGTTGAAACTATCGCAGATGACGACGTTGTGACTGTCACAAATGTGGCTGGTGGCACTGCTACGCAGCGAAGTTACTCGGATGCTGTTGATGCAGCTATTGGCGGTGCAACTCTCAGCGATGCAGAAAAGCGCAACATACTTGGGAACCGGAAGCCTGATTAGCAGACGGTGTTGCCATCTAGAGATTATCCCGACAGCCGCCGAAAGACCGGTACTTCCACTCGCTCGCTGCTACTGAAGTGGTTTGAGTGGCTTGCCTATTCCGGAAAGGCTGGCGAGGAAGGCGTTTTTTGTGCGCCGTGCGTCCCGTTTCCTACATACATTGCATCGACAAGGATCAACCCGAGGTGAATACCTCATCATCCATTCTTACTGCTGGACATGGCCATCCAAGTAATCGTATATTTCATTATTTTGCCACTGTTCTCGATCTCAGCATGTCTGGAGCTTTGAAGCACTATCTTTACACAATTCAATGTAGTACGGCTATGTTCTACTACAGCCAGAGTCCTCAACGAAGTGGTTAAAAAAGTGGGAGTGAGTGCATGTGCTAAAATAGTAATTCTACATAACCGCTAAGCCTATGACGTAAAATAGCCGCTAAGTCGTAATGTGTACAAAATACAGGTACCGCATAGGTTCCCTGTCATGAATATTACCCGCGCCCTCCCCTCAGCTGAACTCTGGATCCGCCGCTGACTACGGCTGGTTTACATGCTGATGATCCACGTAGATCTGCAACAGCAAGGAATGAGCGTGGTCCATGCCATCAAGGTCGCTTGGAGTTGACCAGCGCGCGGCCAACACTGGTTGCATAAAGTATGTGGCGCGCCCACATGGCAGATTTCTTACGTCATGAACAACGTGATTTGACCCTTCTCGCCATAGTCTCTGTGCTGCATGTTGAGGGAAAGTCCCAGCTGGGAGGCCTACAAGTAGGGACTTCAGACCATTTTTTCAAATCGGTTTTCTGTGGCTTATGTTTTGCTTTTTGGATAGGTTAGAGCTTCCTGAGGAGTTTGGTCTTAAGTTTTTCTAAATCGGACAAAGGAAACTAAAGTTACAAGCAAAATAGTCATCGCCTATCACCGGTTTTGTCCGACAAACGTCCCACACATTTGAGATCAGAGAGATATGTCAAACGCGAAGGACTAAAGGGACCGTCACTTAATTTTTGCCGACTACCCGCCAAAAAAATATTTTCGTTCCACGTGTCAGACACGTCCGCGAGCGCGTACGCGGACGTACGCTTTTTGCCGACTCGCGCGCGCCCGCGCTACCTTTCACGTCAGGCTATCTGTTCACGCCACATGGCTGGATAGCGCGTACATGCAAACATGATTGAAGACTTGCAAAATCAAATTTTTTCCAAGTCCAGGCGCTAGGCGCTATAGCCTAGGCAGCACTAATCAGTCTAATGCCTAATGCCCAGGCAGCTGACTTTATTTTCGGAGAAACACTACTCATTGTAGTAAAAAGTAACAATGAATAGCGATATCATCTAGGAAGGATCGCTACCCTAACGCGAAGGAAAGGCCTTGCGCGGCTGCTCTACGAAGTGTTGAAGAAGGACTCATCAAAGTAAGTTGGTGGACGAACAACTCGCTGGCGCCGGAAAACTTGGCCCCCAACGATGGTGTTTGGTGAATCATCAAGCATAATGTCTTGTATAGTGTTCACCGAGGAAGGAGAACGCTCTAGTCGCTGCTGTTGTCCGTTTCATCCACGTTGGGCGTTAGCTGCACCGCGCCTATTGTGTTTTAGTATTCCATGGACACACATTAGCATTCAGAGCGATTGTGGAGCCACAATTTACTTCACACAGCGTTGTATTGTCCACGAGCGCAAACTTCATTATCAGCAGTAACTGTTACTCTTCATCCTACATGTAGACTTGGAGTATACACGGCCTTGTCACGACAGCGACAGCTCCACAGAGTGTTCAAGTGAGAAACATTAATTTCTATTGTTGGTGGCCGAATAAATGGCTGGTTCCGAAAAAACACGGCCTGCACCGATGGTGTTTGGTGGATCATCAAACAGGGTGACCAGCAGTGTTCACCGAGGAAGGAGAATGCACTCGCCACCACTCCGATTCATCCAAGTGGGCGTTAGCTGCGCCGCGCCTATTGTGTTTTAGTATTCCATGGACGCACACTAGCGTTCTCAGCGATTGTAGAGCCACAACATATCTTCATGCGGCGTTGCACTGTCCAAGAGCAGAAACGTCAGCAGTGACCCATCATCATACATGTAGATTTGGAGTATACACACCATGCGCCAATGGGCCTTGGCACAACAGCGGCAGCTCTACGGAGTGTTCAAGTGAGAAACATTTGTTTCGACTTTTGGTGGACGAACAAATCGTCGGTGCCGAAAATCGTGGCCTGCGCCGATGGTGTTTGAACCATTGAGGGCTCCGGAAGCAGCAGCTGAGCCAGATCAGCCAGTCTTGCCAACTCTCAGTTGCCGGACTCCGTGCTGCAGCTAGCAGCACTGGCACCAGCCGGAAATATTTTTTCCGCCGATACCCGTTACTTCCAGTTCTGTCAAGGGCATGACTGGAATCCATTGCCAGGTGATGACTTTTTACTTTATGTGTTATTTTGCTGCCGAGTTGTTCAGAACTTTTCAGGCCCGATCTGTCCATGTCTACATGTCGGCCATCCGCAAACTTCATGTGGAAGTTGGCTTTACCTACCCGTCAGGCCCAATGACTCTCCTCGCAAGGTTCCTGTCGGGCATCAACAGGTCATCATCGACACAGCGTTATCGCCTGCTGATAACCACTCAACTTCTCAGGGAGATTAGCCGGCATGTTGCCTTTCCACGGATGTGGCACCCTCATGACAAGGCCATGCTAAGGGCAAACTGACTGCTTTATTTTAGCTTTACATTACCGCAGTCAGTCCAGCACAATACGCCAATCGTATTTCACTATTACTCGCGTGTCATAATTGGGGATATGGGCTGCTCCGCCCTATATCCCTGATATGCCAACTAGACGAAAAGTGTGTTCTGAGCCTGTATCGCGTATAATAGGCTCTTCGTAAAACAAATAATAAGTCTTAAGTTAAAAATCAGGGTTCACGTGACACTCGGGCTCCAGCCAAGTTTTCCGCATCCGCAGGAACGCTACCCCCCCTCTTGAATCATAGCATAGTGGACTCTGCAATGAACAGATTATGAAACTCCCTGCAGATTTACTACGGTCATTTCTGGTGACTGGTCTTGGGGCACCGTGGAAGCTGTGACTGGTTGCCAAGTTTTGTTTTGTGACAGATCATGGGGCATTTGTGACTACTTCGAAGCACAGCTCTGATTGATCACAGAGTCTTACTGTTGTGAATATTTATATCGATTGAGAAGTCAAGCAGCCACGGGGCGCTGGCCTTGCAGCTGTGAGTATGCATACGGTACATATTCACATGACTCTATTGTATGCTGGACACTGCTGGTCCATTGTGGCAGTGTGTAAGTGAACTGCAGAACCTATTCCGTGATGAAACACCTACTCCTGAAAGACTGAATGTTTGAGCTAATAGTCTTTTACTTCACTCTCATGCTGCTCATATAATTATACCATACGCCAGAAGACCCTAAGTTACAAGTAGTTCTAAGATTTTGTGGACCATGTGACCATGTGGTACTTTCACTCTACAGCCAAGTCAACCTCTTCGTCAACACACAGGGTTTTCCTCAGACACAAGCGAATGGTTTACTCCACTCTGGAGAAGAACACAGTTTGCTCTCTCAAACACCAACCGCAGATAACTACGGAATGTACTTCAGAAGTAGGAAGTGCAACAACTGCTAGAATATTGAACTGTCGTCCACACAAAACAAATAAAGACAACTGAAAACCAAACACACATGCAACTGCCAACATGCATGTAACAGCAACTGCAAGCCAGAACTACAGACTCCGCGCAGGGAGGAACAGGGGAAACAGAGCTAACGCTTCCGACTCCGAGAGCTTCGAATAGCAGCGGACAAAACAATCCATCAACCTTGCGTGTCACCTTGCGCTACCGCAAACGAACACCTATGGATGCACAGTGCAGCACAGACTCAGTGCATGCACGGTGTAATAACTGGAGTACATGTAAACCGACAACGGTCACCTTGCACCCTATGCAGTAAGTTACATAGGCGGTGCCAACAAAAGAGCAGGGTTCGTGTATCGTGCACACTCCAATGGCACAGCAGAAAATGTTCTCACCAACAGCCACTGCTAGCTGTTTTGTCATCTTGCTGTGCCAAATGATGCTGTATAGACGCGCCAAGCAGAAATGGACTGCTTATGAGCGTGAACAGGCTGGATGGGGTGACTGATGGACTGTCGGAGTTGGCGAACCACAGAAATCGTGTCGCAACTCTGTATGCTGGGTTGGCACTGATTTGTAAAATGGCCTTCTCAGTATCGCAGGTCATGACGATTGGTGGCAGGCAAAATCGTAGAACAATGATGAATTGCCTCATGGCTAGGTCGTTGTTAGTAAGATTGCCTGAATCCTGGATGTCAACACAGTCTAGGTCCCACAGATCTGGGATAGTGCAGGAGTCGGAAGTTGCATCAGTTAGAGAAACGATAGCTGGCATGGCTGCTCATCGGCGTAGCTGAGTGCTTGGAGTGACGTGTTCGGCCAGTCACCACAAAACCGACTGTGGTAGGCAGAAACTGTAGTCCTGGCGGAAGTCCTCTGGTGCTCCACGTCAACTGAGACTCCCAGAGGAAATCTGCACCGATCAAGACGACTGACTATCTTACGGTCAATGGCGATACTGGTTGATGCTGCACTAGCTGCTGTTGCGCTAGATGCTGGTACCTCGTCAGCCACAGGCTGGTCAGCTACTATGTTGGTACTGCTGTCAGATTTCTGTTGAGATTCAGGGCAGATCGTGACATGATGGTGACTCTGATTGGTGACCCATGCGAGAACACACATTACACTTGCGGGTGGCCTTGCACTGAGTTGACCGGTGCCCTGTGCGCAAACACACAAAGCAACGCTTCTGTTCAATCAGTTATTCTTTCCGCTGTGCTACTGTTGTGTATTTCGCGCAGCTCTTGTCCAGGTGAGATCCGCCGCAGAATGCACACCCTCTCATACTGCTGGCATTCCAGTTAACATCAGAAATAACTTACATGATCATGGGAAGCGCTGCAGGAAAAGTACAGAAAAATGTTTGAAAAAGTGCAGAAAATTACACAAAAAAACGCATGAAATCGCGGATTATGCAGAAAATCGCGAAATTGGTTGCATCCGTGGAATCGCGATTTCCTGGAGGGATACATGTAGATGATTGTACACAGGAAGGCAGGAGGACCTAGCCTACGCCGGCGCCGCGCCCTCAGTGACATGTAGTGCATAATAATCGGACTGAGCTGATCTAGCTAAGGCGTAACTGGCGTGAGGGGCCGCCGGCGGTCGTCCATAACATCGCACTTTCTTTTCACAAAACGAAATATTTCCGTGATGGGGCGCTAGGCTCTAGTCTATAGTACATGTACATGTAGTACTACAAGACTTACATGTAGTCGTGAATTGCAGTAGAAAGCTCGAGCAGTAATGCTTGCAGCGACATCATTTGTCCATATTTAACCGTACTTTGCAACAACATTTGGTAGATTTTCGGCGATTCTCAAAGGAACCTCCAAAATCGGCGAAAAGCTTAGCGATTTTTCAAGTCTCGTTTTGGGCGAATTTTCGGCCAGCCGATTTGGGGAAAGCATACAGTCAACTTCGCGTATAACGACATTCGGCGGGGCATCAGAAAAGTGACGTTATTCGCGAAGTGTCGTTATACCCGAAGTCATATGTATTACAATTGGATGGGACTTTGCTCTGGGCATGGAAATTCTGTCGTTATTCGCGAATTGTCGTTATATCCGCAGCATTTATTGGCGAAGTTGACTGTACCCACGAGTATAATGTACTTCAGATGGCTGACCGTACCAAAATAAAATAACGTTACCTTCCGACGCCCCTGAATACGGTTATGCCGAGAAATATGTCTGTGCCATGTATGTGTGTGGCATGAGCTACTTCCACTTGGTCTACTGTCTAATAATATCGGTAGCATATGTGACACCGAAGTGATACAATCGGTGTTGTACAATGGACTGCTGAGGTAAGGGCGCAAACGCGGCCTCAAAGATAATCAGATAAGAAGTACGACGAGTAAAATAGCAGATGCAGCTATGTCACGGTACGTGAAATGATTACTGGTATAATGCCGCGATACCCAGTGTAATGGGCCAACATAATCATAACATTGCATGGTGGAGAGAGAGGGAGGGGGGGGGGGTGGCTAGAAAGGAGCGCAAAGCACAGGTTAGACTCACCTGCATAGCCTTTACGTAACTGTAGAGGCAAGCAGCACATACAGTTTGAAGTACATGTACACGTTTGTTTCCTCCAGGCAGTTATCATGGTTATGAAGAGCAAGCCAGCAGTCATGTGCAGACAAACATCAAATGTAGCTGCCACACCGGGGTTAGTAGACCTGCTGTAGATCATGGTATACAGTGCAGCATGATGACTCATTGCACTGCTCTGCAGGACCCAAGCAAGGAAAACAAATCTCTGTTCAAGGTGAAGGACCCCATGATGACTCGGGTCGCTATCAGCTAAAACGAATGCCCAGACAGCTAGGATTTCAGCTGTACCGGGAAAGTAACAATTGCTCCTTGGTCCAATCACTGGTTCGTTCAACATTGCTGTGCATAGTGTGACCACGACCACAGTCTGTGGGGACAGGAGGATACAGGGGTGCAACATCAAACAGTCAGCACATGTCATCATGGTTACATGTCCACTTCGCATAGCATTCAGCTTCCAGTTGGCTGGTGAGGTCCTTATCCGCTCAGAGAATAAGGCAACTTTGAATTGTGCGCCGCGTTGTCTTCTTGCTCCACTGCATCCACTTCAGGTAGGTTCTGTTAGACCTTCAAAGTCAACATTGGTGCATTTATGTGCAGTACCAGACTTGCCAGAACGGCATCTAAAGGACAACAGAGGGCAAGGACACAGAAGGGCAGAAGAATGATTGAGTGCATTTAACTCATGGTGCTGCACTCATGCCCCATAGCAACGGTAGTAAAAGAAGTGCAGTGCTTACAGCAGAAGTAGCCCAAAACGCGCACCAACTGGTAGAGAAATAATTTTAAAATACAGTAAAACCTGTGACTACCGACCACCCCCTGGTGCCAGCAAAAGTGGTCTTTAGTAGCAGGTGATCTTTAGTTAGAGGTTTGCACTGCGCGACCATATATGGATCCCATTATATGATCTGTATATCAAAATGCAGCTAATACAATTCCCCAAGACTTGCGCAATGCCATTCTTATTTCAGGTTAAACAACACTTGGAGAGAAAGACGGAGAGATGGAGAGAGAGACAGAGAGAGAGAGAGAGAGAGAGAAGTTTGTTTTTTTGTGGACATCAAATTCAGCTCCTACTTCTGAAGCCAGGAGTCAAACGTTCCCTGTGGAAGTTTCGTTTTGCGCTGGGCTTCAAATGTGTTCATGCGATCAATCGTACCGAATGTCCTTGTTGCGACTTCTCGATTGCTTGAACGCGATTCTCCAGCATCAGGACCTTGCGGTGCTGCTTTGTTTCTGGATTCCTTTTTGCCATCGTCGATTCTTCTGTATGACTGGGGTGACAGAGCCGCTCAGTCTTCGTTTCTCCTCCGAGTAGTAACATCGATCAGAGAGCGCTTTCGATACGCTCCCCAAGACGTTTCCTATCATGTTATTCTTGACAGCGCTTGAAATTCTGACAGGTGTAGTGAAGTCCACATCGACTCCACAGTCAAAATGACCTGCGTTCATTTCTTCAGCTGTAGTATCGAAAGATGCCTTTCAGGACCACGGAAAATCATCAAAATTTCAAGAAGGAGCTTCGAGCAACATTTTTATTTCCTACATCGCGGTCACTAGTTACGGGTCAAAAATCGTCTTTGGGACAAGAAAAGGCGGTCGCTGGTCGCGTTCAGCAGGTAGTCGCTAGTCACAGTGCATTTTGAATGTGAGACCGTCCGTGCCTGGTGAAGTGGTCGGTAGTGCCAGGCTGGTCGCTAGTCACGGTGGTCGGTAGTTACAGGTTTTACTGTATGATCAAATGTTTTTTTTTACTATAGCTCCGATGTCCCTCAAAGTGTGCAAGCTCCACAGCAGCCACTTCATAACTTAGCATTGATAAACCCTATACCGACACAGACACAAATGGTTTCTTCGCTGCAAACCCGTCAAAATGTCAATCAATTTTCGTCCAGGAGGCATCATCAGATGAGGTACGTGAACAAACACGAGGTGTGTGAAGGGTGTTTCCATGCATACAACAGCCGGGTATACGGTACATGTACATCCAAAAACAACACAATTCAAAAATCCTGTGTTACTGAAACACCCTCAACAAAAGGGTTCCTATCTCCATTGAGAAGAGAGCGTGAGCAAAAGATCCAGACTACCAGTAGGCTTACCAATGCATAGACTGATTGGGAGCCAGAAGATCTCTGAAGACCTTGATGTGACCAGGATAATTGATCATCAGATCGTTGACGACCTTGCCGCTATTCTGTGTACGTGCAGCTCCATGCTCGAGTATTACCTGCGTACACAGACAATCACTATATGAATAGCATGAATACATGAAGTGTCTATGATAACACAAAAGGCGATAAGCTCCAAATGTGAGGAACTGAGATTTTGAGCTCATTGTAATCTATATGTCTAGAGGCACCTTCACGGAAACTTTCACATTCAAAATCTTAATAAAACAGATAGAAATGATACTTCGACAATCGACATGCTGCAGATTGTGAATAGCAACTGAATAGAGCTGTTGTCAGTTAACAAACCCCCTTTTCTTATGATGCAGTTGCGTGACGTCCACCACTTTCTTAGTGAGCTTCACAAAATCTTGGTGATAACTGACTGTTATGTGTAACATCTCATAGGGCTTGAAAGTGATGATGTCACAAGTCAACAAATAACGATAAATAACATCTGGATCAAATTTGACCCACTCTGCCCATAGTGAGAGTAGCGTGATGGGGAGGCGTTTGTGCCGCATGCAGGTGAGATCTTTCTGTACAAGGAGTGGGTCCACTATCGAGACAGTCCAGGTGTGCTACTACCGGCGGATGCGTCACCTTGGGAGAGCCATCCAAACCTGTCTGGATCCATACCAAACTGGGTCCAATTGGATCCAAAAGTCAGCGTTGTCATGGTTCTGGGCTGGCTGTGATGTAGCCCTTTCAAGACCAACCATATGAGAAGTAAATGAGTTGAGTGTCCCTCAGACCTACATGTACTTGAGCCTGTGTGTATGTACACCACTGCATGCTCTTCATGATGTGCTTTCTGGGGTAGAGAATGAAAAGGGACTGAAGGTAGCAAATGTACACATATGATATGATTGAGAGCAACATCCAAAACACTCTCGATCATATAATTATGTACATTGAACACCCAGTCTGTCATCCGGTAGTGCAAAAGCCCTGCCGTAAGCAGTCTTCAAGCAGTGAAGCATCCTGCTTGATAACGAATACACTCAACAAATTCAGTCCAGTTTCATCCCAACATACAGACAGGACACTGACCATGACGAGTAGGCTGGGGTAAGTACAAACAAAAAACTGTCACGTCGCCGTGGAATGCCTCCTGATCTACATGACCGTACATTATAGTCACTACCAACAACACACAACACAATATTATTTTCTACTCACTGGGATGATGAAGCATCCTTGCGACTTTAAAGCTGAAGCGAGAAGTGTGCTATATCCATTGGATGACATAGCCGGATGACGTAGGAGTCGTGTATCCCCGACACCCAGACAGGCCACAACACTGAAACCATGACGTTTAGCTGCAGTCATATCTACTGATACACCATTGAAAACATCGGCTGGATACTTGGAAGTCTCCACTGGCTTACTGTCTCGGTTTACAATGCACAATGCTTGAACGGCCACACCATCAACCAGAGAGACGCCAGTGGTGTGTTCTGGACCAATGAAGCATGACAGCATATCATACATTCGACCCGTGTTTGGACTCCGACCTTCTTTTCTGAACGACTCTGAGCACCGGTTCATGATTTCTCGCCGTTGCTTGTTAGTAACTAGTAGTGTGTCGAGCAAAATAAGCCGCTGAAGATGATGGGCACCGCACTCTGATAAGAAACAGCACACAGATATGAAAACAGAAAGACTGATTGACAAAGACAGTAAGGAAGGGGCAATGATGCTGCGGACAGATGATGAAGGGTCCTACCAACATACCGGCTATCGCATAGTAAATGAGGTGACTCAATTCCAGGGTTGGTAGGACATCCTTTAAAACATCGTGAACGAATGTATTGTGGTGAAAACGGCTATAACAGTCACCGGGAAATATGCTGTGTGGACTATAAATTTCAAGGCTTGACTGACTCTAGTTGATTATTCCCCTTTCCGGGGTTAAGCCAGAAACACATGACAGGGTTTAGGTCATATCAACTGCTCTTTTTGGTGGACTTTCTCGTTACTAGTCGATTCAAGAGTGGTGAGGGATGACCGTATTTTTTTGTAAATGAAAAACACCTAGAATCCACAACTGTAGCGATTTTTCCCTGCAATACCTCAAGGCGCAGCAGGAACAGCGGCCAATGTGACATATGAGCTCCATGTTCCCCTCCATTTTCAATTATTCAAGTTCTATCTCAACGTTGACTTGCTAATTGTTCTCTTCTTCATTTCATTGGTCAATAGCCTCTTTTTATACTATGCACCTGGTCTTACAATCTACTGGCATATACAGCAGACAATTTCCCCTTACTACCACAGCTGCATTCCACATTTGCTTCTCCGTTTCTTTTTATTCCCACCAGCCCAGGTCCAGCTAAGGGATTCGTGAAATGCACTGGCGGAAAAAGGCGGACTACACAAAAGGAGCAAGACGTAACTGATTTACAAAAATAAAAAGGACCAAGGAGCTACAAAAAAAAATTTCACGGTTCGCGTGAGACTCGGCCAAAGGCCCAGTTTTCCGCATCCGCAGGAACGCCACCACCCTCTTGGATCAAGGCGCAGATGCAGCTCCTAAGCGGTGGGAGGTGAGTAGATCAGACCCACCACAAAGTGGTCAAAGACCGAAATCCCATTCACTGCATCCATGTTTCCCTCGTGCCAGGCCACGAGTTCCCAATTAACTGTGGGTCGCAGCACGGCTGAAAAAAATCCTTCCGCTTCCAAGCAGGACTTGAACCTGGTACCCTCTGTTTCTCAATCATGGTCTTAGACCATCCCACTATGCCTGCCTGCTACAAGTTACGCTAAAATTGTTGTTTAGTAACTGGTGGTGTTAGTGGACATTATAGCGTAACTTGTAGTTTCTTGGTCCTTTTTATTTTAATAAATCAATCCTTGGCTCTCCGTCCGAGTCCATACTTATCTGATTGATACTGATATAACGTTCTTTCAATGTTTTTGACGATTGTCTTCTCAGTTAGGAATGGGTTCATCGAAGGATACCAGTAATCATTCTGAAGAAGTCAATAGTTGAAACGCTAATATAATATAGCAATAAAAACTGCTTTATGGCAGTTTTCTAAAAAAAGTTATTGTGTTCTAGTCCATGGACCCCGTCTAAAAAGTAAGAAATTAACGAAATGTGATAGCCGAAAATTAAAATTTCACACAAAACCTCACAATAATCACAACACTTGAAATGCTGCTTTCAACACTAAACTTGTACTGCACCAACAATTGGCAACATGCATGCATAGGAAAGAGGATCACGAGGGGAAAAGGTCTTCTACGAGTACATGTAGCTTTTCATTCTGTGTGTGATTATTGTGAGGTTTTGTGTGAAATTATAATTTTCGGCTATCACATTTCGTTAATTTCTTACTTTTTAGACGGGGTCCATGGACTAGAACACAATAACTTTTTTTAGAAAACTGCCATAAAGCAGTTTTTATTGCTATAATTTCTTTTGTTTTTTCTGTCACCATGTACCAATCAATGGAATGCCCTATATCAATATGTAAATGATGGCCTTCATGTTCACATCATATCAATACCGTATTATACGCATTGATGTGCAAGCCTTTTCTTGCAGAAAATGGCACTAGCATAATGCAATTGCATGTTCTTCTGCGGGGAAACATGACATGCGAGTAGTGGTCTGGTGGTGGTGATACTTTTTTTATACGGAGGTCATTCTGTGCATGTTGCAGCTTGCTGTTGCAGAATTTCATGACTGTCATAAAATTGTCTTGCTTTCAGATATTTCAGATTTCCCCACCCTCGATCAGATTTATTTGAGAAATGTAGCCAGGTGCGTGTCGCAGATGTTTTTGTTGATTCTGTGTTTATAATGGTGTATAATCATGGGTTATCGTGATAAGGTCATCCTGCATCATATTGCACTGAAATGGTAATCCTGTTGATGTCGACACAACTTTTGGAAGTAGTTCAATGACTTTAAACTGTTAGTCCACGATTTTCTAGAACAACACAGCAAAGGAGGAACAATAAACATGTATTAAAATGTAAACAAATACATTGCTGAGTCCGACACCTCGTTCCAACAACTACACTGATCCTGAGGATAAAAGGGGCAAGGCTATGGTTGCAGGTACTGAGAGATAAACAAGGCACTCCACAATAATAAAATCTTACACATCTTTTGGTGAGTATGAATGATATCCAGTCGAACCTCTTTAGGACGAACACCAAGGGACCGATGGTATTTATTCTGTGAGTTTGTCTTAACCTATTTTATAACCAGTGAATACAATTATTTCTCCAATAGACATACGAATAGATTTCTTCTACAGCGAAAGATTCTAAGCCACACTGACTCATCTCGTATGAAACAAATGAGTCACTAGAGAGGTTCTGCAAAAGGAAAATGCGTACAAACTTTCGCCTACGTCATGAAGTGCGAAACTTCGCAACTTTGGACGCGAAACTTGCAGGGAACGCGAAATGAACTGTCGTAGGAAATTTCGTGAGATCAGGTCATGGCGTACGTGCACTTGGCCCGCGCAAACTACGAAAATGTGCAGAACGCAAAGTTCGTGCAAAAATTCATACACGCTTTCGCGAGGACTGTCGCGAAGCTTCGTTCGAATTTTCGTTTTGCAAGGACTGTCGCGAAGCTTTGTTCGAATTTTCGTTTCGCAGAACCTCTCTACTGAACCTTTCTTTAGGCCCTCTTCAGACTAGGTACAAAACAGCCTATAAGTCACATTTACATAGAAGTTTCCAAGACAACAACAAGAATCTGGCGGGAAGCCTAAAAAGCTGCCCAATCCTTTCAGGCAGGGTGCCAACCCTTGTACAAGGCAACTTTCCTGCATTTATCGTGCTTTCACCAGGCTGTTGTACGAACTTTGTACCCGGGTACGACTGTCCGCTGCTTTCACACATCCCAGGCCCCTTGCGCAATTTCGTAGGGTCAAAGGTTGCCTGTATACTGCATGTGAAATGTGTAGTCTGAATGCAGGCATGGGAAAATGTTGCCTTTTAGGTTTTATGTGATTTTGTACTGGGTTTTCTATGTACGTAGTCTGATGAGGGCCTTAGCAACATGACGGCAACTGAAACAGCAACAGAGAAAGTACGGTACATGTACTCCACATTCTTGCAGGTACTACAATTAAACAAACAGATTGCAGATCGTAATTCTTGCTTTGGCGGCACGAAACTGTATTTGGGGCAGTGCAATCTCGGTGGTACTCACAAATCAAAACGCCCAGACTCTGGAGATTCTCCCCGATATGCGAATTTATTTTGCAAACTCGGTCAATGGGTCCTTGAACCTTTCCCTCCAGATTGGGAACTGCCAACGATAGTATGCCACTGACCAGTGCATTACTTGTAACGTACTTATGTACAATGAATATGAGTATTTCGACAACACATCTAACATAAGCCTTACCGTCAAGAAGGTGAACTCGCGTTCTTCGCACACTGTAGACAAGGGCAAAGAGATAAAAATGGATCCAAATCCGAATAAGATCAGCACACGTTTCCGTAAAATTAAATGAAATTGTGAGCATAACAAGCAAATGAATCGAAGGAAACCGGTCAACTCAGAGATCACCTGTCATCGAGTATTCCGTAAAAGGAGGCCTCGGTAGCGGAAAAGCTAAACTTAGAAAAGAGATCCTGTCAGCTTTTCCATATGTATTGCATTCCACCCAAAATCAGCACACTTTTCGTAAATGAAAGAGTCAACACAAGCAAATGAATCAAAGGGAACTGGTCAACTCACCTGTCATTGAGTAATATTCCGCGAAAGGAGGTCGCAGCAGCGCCGAAACGAAATAAGCCAGGCCAGGAGACGAAATATCCGAAACAGCTCATGCAAGAAGCAGTTCCAAAGAAGGAAGTTCCTCGTGCATGCACATCCGAAAAGGCAACAATAAAAAGTCTGCAATACACACGCATGCGGCCAGCCGGCGCGATGGTAGGAGCCATGGAGTAGCTCCCTGGTCCAGGGCCAGGTACCGAGCATCTTACGTAGAAACTTACGTAGCTACGTAGACAACGTGTCTGAATAGCGGTGTCGTTAGGTAGCGCCATGTGAACACAATAATAGAAAAGCTGACAGGATCGCTTTTCTAAATTACCAGTATCAATCAGACAACTCTTGCTCCGGTTGTGTGGTCCACCTTTTCCGCCAGTATACTATGTGACAGTCAGTAAGCACTCTCGAAATACACTTACTCTGTATGAGTTGATCAACACTGATCAGCTCCAGCAAGGCACTGCACTCTACACCACACAGTGTACAGTAGAGAAGTAGGCTGAACACTTCAGTATGACGATACTTGGGATCACCTGTACTCTGTATGGCTGAATAGCGACTCATCAAGTCCATGGCTAGCGTAGGATCAGCAATGTTCAACGAAAACAGTGCATGAGCACACCGGTCAACCTCTCTACATTGACCAATGGACTCCACATCAAGTTGGTTCTGTAGCAGCTGCCTGAACTCAGATGTTGTACATCGGCATCGTGACGCCCAGCACAACATCCACCTCAGCTCACCTTGATTCTTGCTATCCTGCCATAGATCTGTAGGTAAACTAGCTGCGTGATCCAGTACAGCTACGACTAGATTAGTCACTGCGCTGTCCTCCTCGGTAACCATGGTAACCCTAGCACAAGCCCGGAGGATAGCCGCGAGCATCTTTACACTATATATATCGTTAAGATGACGTTGAATCAGAGGAACTTGTGAAGTCAGGTCGCTAGGTTGAAACGTGTGTGTAGAAACCACGGCAGTGAAGAGACCATCAATAGCTGAAATGGCATCCCGTACAGTGGTATCCTGACGCACAGACCTATCTGAGTGGCATCTCACAGGTTGAGGGGAGCAAAGCGACGTCGCATTGGGAGCCAGTGCAAATGTGTTAGCTACAAGTCGTCTAGACCGGACCAGTTTGCTCATACCATAGCCATGCTGAAGAAAGTTACTCGCAGTCCTCAGACTGCGCAACTTTGAAGCAAACATGATGTGTTGGTAACTTGCCTGAGTGACACTAGTTTACACAAACACTTGGCTCTACGCTCAACTGAATGACAACTCGTAGTCACTGCACGCTGGCTGCTCACAATACTGTTCTCTGGGAAAAAAACACAAAACAGCACACACACGCAAAAAAAACACAACAACATTCTACTCAACAGTTTCCTCGGAGACAAGAATGCAATGATACTGAGAAGAAGAAAACCTTTCAAGAGTTTCACGAGCCTGAAGTGTGTCCTTCTTCTCAGTACCAATACATTCTACTCACATTACACATTTAGTGATATCAGCTGATTCCAAAGATGATTGTGGCACAATACTCGCACTGTTGTACCGGGGGGGGGGGGGGGGGGGGATGTAGGGCTGTGCCTCCTACTCTCCTTTGGCTAAAACCGTGATAATGACTAGTAAAAAAAAGTGTAGAAAGAACTGCGAATGTCATTGTTTTGGCTCACTATGGGCATGTCAGAAAAGTGCAGGCAAAACATTCGTACTCATGCTTGACTAGTAAATCCATGCACTCCGAGCTTTGCTCGTCAAGAATGCTGAGAATCTGCTGGTTCTTCCATGGTGCTCATCATAGATTTTATATGCAAACTTGATATGGAGAGGTCTGAGCGTTATTAGTGATGTTCTGCTCAGCGTTGCGGGAACGCGACGCGAAGAATCCCGGGAACACTCGTTGCGTTCCCGGAACATAAAGGAAACGTGTTCTGCTCTACGGTCACGTAGAGAAATCACATGGAATGTGTACTGGGAATTTCCCCTTCCAAATTTGGCAGTTTTCTGCCTGCATTTGAATGATGATAGTAATACCCAGCAGATCCGCACGCATTTTCTTTGCGTGAGCCACAACATAGAGAACCTCATCTACGAGTAGAAATCTGGACCCAAAACACGCGAAGCCGTAGACTCTAACCCAGACACCTGTTCTCTACGTTTCACGTGCGACTCTATAATACGAGTATAGCAGAACCCGACTACTTGGACTAATGTGAACCGGTTGAGAACGGCGATAGCGTGGCATACACCAAGGACCTCTTTCAACACTGAAGACAGGACACTGCACAGAACCGAGGGCTTCCGGTGATTTCACTGACTTGTAACTATGGTGACGTTCTGATCATTGTACATTTACATGATTTGTGGACTACATGTACTTGCCACTAGGCACTACATGTAGGGAGGTTCTGCACTACGTTATGGAAACGCGACGCAAAGAATCACGCGAACTCTCTTCGCGTTCCCGTAACGTAAAGAAATCCTGTTCTGCTCTACGTTCACGTAGAGAAGTCACGTGGAATGTGTACTGGGAATTTCCCCTTCCATATTTGGCAGTTTTCTGCCTTCACTCGAATGATACCCATCAGATCCGTACGCATTTTCTTTGCGTGGGCCACGACGTAGAGAACCTTATCTTCGCGTGGAAATCTGGAGCCAAAACACGCGAAGCCGTAGACTCTAACCCAGACACCTGCTCTCTACGTGATTTCTCTACGTTTCACGTATAGCAGAACCTCTCTACTACTTATAAAAAACTATCCCATTTTTATTTATTTTTGTAAGCAGAACATAGTGCCATTAGTGGCATTACTGCCGTTAGTGGATTCGTGGTGTATCAGTGCAGTATGCCCTATCGATGCATGGCTCAAAGATATCCGGATACTCCGAGCCCTTCACGCTTCACAGCTTAGCTAACAACAGCAGCAGCACGCCAAGGACACACGATCCGAGTCTTTCCTAGGCAAAGGTGCGGATATCAATGAGAAAGCGCGCAATGCTTTCTTCACTCTCACCTGTGTAATCGCGGGATGCTGAAGGAGTGAAGTAACACGTTAGTTCAGCACTGTGCAAATAATGCTTCACAGCTACCGGTACTAGCGATCGATGAACCGTTGCCCACTCGATCGTACGATCGTACTCACTCTCACAGTATGCGCCAGTGTCAGTGATTGCACAGGGAGTCTGGAGCCAATTATCAGTACCAGCCAGTAGTAGTAGGCCCTCGCTGGTATGAACTACAATCAAGTAAGTACAGTGTCAGTGTAGTAGTCCAGAACTACAAAATAGTGCAATAATTATTATTACAATATTAGAGCGCAGTACAAAGTTGTTTAGAACACGGAGGCTCCACTGCAGCCAATTCATACTACCGTAAAGTACCGCCAGAGCGCCCCACCATCTCGTCCTTTCGTGGTCGTATTGTGGAGGTGGTCTGCTGTCTGTAGGTCATACGACATGAACCTTGTACACATATAGCACGTTTTCCAGTCAATCCGTACCTTCGAGCGGACACAAGCTCCACACAAAAACCTGCCAAGTGTGACCTTAGTACACTAAGATTCTTACATCGTACAAACTTCGTTGCACTCTGCCATACGATTTTCCTTTCTCTGGCTGTAAAATCAAGGTGGGGCGCTCTCGCGAGACGGGGCGCTCTGGCGGTACTTTACGGTATTATTATTATTTAGAAAAGCGATCCTGTCAGCTTTTCTATTATTGTGTTCACATGGCGCTACCTAACGACACCGCTATTCAGACACGTTGTCTACGTAGCTACGTAAGTTTCTACGTAAGATGCTCGGTACCTGGTCCTGGACCAGGGAGCTACTCCATGGCTCCTACCATCGCGGGGCCGGCTGGCCGCATGCGTGTGCATTGCAGACTTTTTGTTGTTGCCTTTCCGGATGTGCATACACGAGGAACTTCCTTCTTTGGAACTGCTTCTTGCATGAGCTGTTTCGTTTCGGCGCTGCTGAGACCTCCTTTCGCGGAATATTACTCAATGACAGGTGAGTTGACCAGTTCCCTTTGATTCATTTGCTTGTGTTGACTCTTTCATTTACGAAAAGTGTGCTGACTTTGGGTGGAATGCAATAAATATGGAAAAGCTGACAGGATCTCTTTTCTAAATTTAGCTTTTCCGCTGCCAAGGCCTCCTTTTACGAAATACTCGATGACAGGGGATCTCTGAGTTGACCGGTTTCCTTCGATTCATTTGCTTATTATGCTCACCCTTTCATTAAATTTTACGGAAACGTGTGCTGACCTTATTCGGATTTAGATCCATTTTTATCTCTTTGCCCTTGTCTACAGTGTGCGAAGGACGCAAGTTCACCTTCTTGACGGTAAGGCTTATGTTAGATGTGTTGTCGAAATACTCATATTCATAATCATTGTACATAAGTACGTTACAAGAAATGCACTGGTCAGTGGCATACTATCGTTGGCAGTTCCCAATCTGGTGGGAAATCTGGAGGGAAAGGTTCAAGGACCCATTGACCGAGTTTGCAAAATAAATTCGCATATCAGGGAAAATCTCCAGAGTCTGGGCTTTTTGATTTGTGAGTACCGCCGAGATTGCACTGCCCCAAATACAGTTTCGTGCCGCCAAAGCAAGAATTACGATCTGCAATCTGTTTGTAGTACCTGCAAGAATGTGGAGTACATGTATCGTACTTTCTCTGTTGCTGTTTCAGTTGCCGTCATGTTGCTAAAGAAAGGTTCAGTAGAGAGGTTCTGCGAAACGAAAATTCGAACGAAGCTTCCCGACAGTCCTTGCGAAAGTGTGTATGAATTTTTGCACGAACTTTGCGTTCTGCACATTTTCGTGGTTTCTGGGGCCAAGTGCACATACGATCTCACGAAATTTCCTACGACAGTTCATTTCGCGTTCCCTGCAAGTTTCGCGTCCAAAGTTGCGAAAGTTCGTGCGAAGTTTCGCACTTCATGACGTAGAGCGAAAGTTTGTACGCATTTTCGTTTTGCAGAACCTCTCTAGTGACTCATTTGTTTCATACCAGACGAGTCAATGAGTCGGTGTGGCTTAGAATCTTTCGCTGTAGAAGAAATCGATTCGTATGTCTATTCAAGAAATAATTGTATTCACTGGATATAAAAATTAATAGGTTAAGACAAACTCACAGAATAAATACCATCGGTCCCTTGGTGTTCGTCCTAAAGAGGTTCGACTGGATATCATTCATACTCACCAAAAGATGTGTAAGATTTTATTATTGTGGAGTGCCTTGTTTATCTCTCAGTACCTCCAACCATAGCCTTGCCCCTTTTATCCTTAGGATCCTTAGGATCAGTGTAGTTGTTGGAACGAGGTGTCGGACTCAGCAATGTATTGTTTACATTTTAATACATGTTTATTGTTCCTCCTTTGCTGTGTTGTTTTAGAAAATCGTGGACTAACAGTTTGAAGTCATTGAACTACTTCCAAAAGTTGTATCGACATCAACAGGATTACCATTTCAGTGCAATATGATGCAGGATGACCTTATCACAATAACCCATGATTATAAACCATTATAAACACAGAACCAACAAAAACATCTGCGACACGCACCTGGCTACATTTCTCAAATAAATCTGATCAAGGGTGGGGAAATCTGAAATATCTGAAAGGCAAGACAATTTTATGAGTCATGAAATTCTGCAACAGCAAGCTGCAACATGCACAGAATGACCTCCGTATAAAAAAAGTATCACCACCACCAGACCACTACTCACATGTCATGTTTCCCCGCAGAAGAACATGCAATTGCATTATGATAGCGCCATTTTCTGCAAGAAAATGCTTGCACATCTGCATCAATGCGTATAATACGGTATTGATATGATGTGAAGGCCATCATTTACATATTGATATAGGGCATTCCATTGATTGGTGACAGAAAAAAACAAAAGAAATTATAGCAATAAAAACTGCTTTATGGCAGTTTTCTAAAAAAAAGTTATTGTGTTCTAGTCCATGGACGGACCCCGTCTAAAAAGTAAGAAATTAACGAAATGTGATAGCCGAAAATTAAAATTTCACACAAAACCTCACAATAATCACACACAGAATGAAAAGCTACATGTAGAAGACCTTTTCCCCTCGTGATCCTCTTTCCTATGCATGCATGTTGCCAATTGTTGGTGCAGTACAAGTTTAGTGTTGAAAGCAGCATTTCAAGTGTTGTGATTATTGTGAGGTTTTGTGTGAAATTTTAATTTTCGGCTATCACATTTCGTTAATTTCTTACTTTTTAGACGGGGTCCGTCCATGGACTAGAACACAATAACTTTTTTTTAGAAAACTGCCATAAAGCAGTTTTTATTGCTATAATGTCTTTATGATCAGTCACCACCACTAGTGGTAGTAGTGCACTACACAAATTGCAAAGGTCGTTGACGCTGCAAATTATTCAAAAGAAATGAAATTGTGGTAATCATGCAGTTTAGGGTCCCAAATTATTTCGCACTTTCCCAGTGTTCAGTGTACTGTCACACGCGTTTTCAGTGTACTTTCACCATGCTTCTTCTTTTCTCGTGTGAAAGTTTTGTTTCCTGTGGATTCTGCCTGGCTCACGCATCATCTCTGACGGCTGGGCCGCATACGCGCAGATCAGGAACATCGACGGTGGCATACCAGCACGCGTCGTCCACGACGACAACTTTGTTGATCCGGACGACCGAACGATCCACACCAACAACGTGGAAAACATGTGGATGCGGGCCAAGCGCCAGCTGAAGCGCAACTTCGGCACCTCGCGAGAGTTGTTCCCGACGTACCTCTGCGAGTTCGTGTGGAGACAGAGAGTTCGCGCGGAAGACAACACGTTCAGCTCCCTGCTCCGCTGTGTTCACCAGCAGTACCCAGTCTGACCTGTCCTCGGTTTTCATGAAAATAAAGTTCATGATGTGAAAGTACACTGAAAACGCGTGTGACAGTACACTGAACACTGGGAAAGTGCGAAATAATTTGGGACCCTAAACTGCATGATTACCGAAATTGTTTTCCAAAATACAATCATGTAGACCTACTGAGTAGATCTACTGTGTTCAGTTTTTTTTTCAGTATGTACTACAAAACGTCTAACATACTTGACCAGAATTTTTTTCTTTTGAAGAAAACCAAACAACACTGATGTCGTGGCATGGGCAGCGCGAAAAGTGTATAGTGATGACAAAATAATTTTAAGAAAAAGGGTACATGTAATCATAAACCACACGTACTTGACAAGAAATGGACGAAAACGACCCAACTTTTCAAGAATTACTGTAGTTCGGTCAAACTTGTTTTCCGAAATAAACTGAAAGGTCCGGCCATGGCCGGACCGGGTGCTACAGCCCTGATTATCTATGATACAAGGAACAGTTTTATTACAAAACACACACACGCATGTACTCAATCTCCAGACAGCATGCTGTTTCGACTTTATCACATTATACGTCTCCGCATAATATAATTTAAAAAAACTATTAAATCAATATAGCTTTTCCTTTTCATGTACCGTACTGGCAATATATGTTGCCGCGTAACGCGTAACGCAGGGGGGTGCGGCGTAACGCGCGACCAGGCTAGTGCGACAAATTTTCGTTGCGTTCGTAACGCGCGTCCGGCGGGGTGCGGCGATCTTTTCATTGCAAAAAAGGCTGAAAACCGTGAAAGCACGTGTACCGCGTGGTGAAAAGTTCAAAACTGGACGCAGCAGGAAGTCCTGCAATAGCAAAAAAAAGGACTGCGGCAATATAGAAACCTGTGTAACGGCTCCTGTGCGACTTTGCATGTAACGCCCTGCGTGCGGTAAACATGTGCCAATGTAACGCTTCATGGCCTCACTGCGACCATATATATTGCCAGTACGGTATATAATCTTCTCCTTCTTTTACCATGGTTGGCTATCACCCACATCTTCCCGTTTTGGCTGCCATCGGAAGCCTTAAGAAGTTGAATAAATAAATAAATAATAATTGAGGAGATCATAACACGTGCATCCATGTACGTACATATACTAGTCTAGTCATGCTGCTGGTCGTGATCATGCTGCATGATTGTACACATCATCATTGCCACAGGTTCTACACTAGCCTAGCAGAAACATTGGCACAGGTTCAACACTAGCCTAGCAGAAACATTGCCACAGGTTCAACACTAGCCTAGCAGAAACATTGCCACAGGTTCTACACTAGCCTAGCAGAAACACCGACAATATATCTACAGCGGCGGCGGTCGGAAACTTCGCGGCGCAGCAGTACGTACCATCACGGCACTCACCCGTCTTCCGCATTTCCCGTTCGTTCAGGCCCTCAATCGAAACCGTGAGAGCACCATACTTTCCAGAGCATAGATATAGCAGCACGTACGCGCACCCAGATTTTTTGTCACACAAAAAAGTGACAAAATACAAACATGTACCCTATTCGGATAACTCGTAAATCATATCTACCCTATTTATCACCGCTAATTACTATTATTTGATCATCGTAGTATTATAAGCTGCACCGGATTTTTTTGCGGTGAATTACCGGTATTTAAAGTGCGGCTTTATACTCTGGAAAATACAATACTAGCTGGTGGGCCTACTCACACGGTCAAGGAAGCAATTACCTATCAGGTATCAGCCATGCACAGCTCAGTAGTGTTGATTACAAGGTCCACCTCTAGTCAAGTCTAGATCTGGCGACGAGCTAGTGGATGCACGCGTATCATGCATTTCCCCGCACACATCGGTGTGCAATCCTTGTGTGGTACATGTAATTGCAAACACCAGTTTTGCCTGCAGCATTAGGCGCAGGATTTAAGAGATGTGTCTGTGCAGTTCAAAGGGCGACAGGCATGTCACATGCGGGCACACGGATGCCCCATCCGCCTTCACTTCTGCATACAACCACAAAGCATCAGAGCATCAATGCAATGCGCACAAAAGCGTGCTGTGTGCAATGTGAAATTCAACAACACAGATAGCCGCGCATGTACACAACTGCTGGCAAAACACGCACACATGCGGGCACACACACACACACACACACACACACACGCACGCACACACACACACACACACACACACACACACACACACACAAGCACACAGACAGACAGACAGACACACACACAATTCTTGCATATGCAAACATACACGCATGGACTCAGACCTGAACACATGCATTTACAAACAAAGGAAACCACTTGGAGGCGAATGTTTGTACATGAAGTAAGCGATCATGAAGACTGATGATGTGGATGGTCTAGCCAGTTGCCACTGTCATACACACACACACACACACACACACACACACACACACACACACATACACACACACACACACACACATATACGTGCATGCACACACACACACACACACACACACACACACACACACACACACACACACACACACACACACACACACACACACACACACACACACACACACTTAACTGATAAGCATACATGCCGGCGTGCTTCGACGCACGAGGCGGCATTGTCAGGAGTAGTTACTAGTAATCACACTAGTGCCAACGCAGCGTTGGCCAATCAAGGAATCAGTCAGCAGCTTAGGCCAGGTGTCCAATCCGATGGTGCGATGCTGCCACCGACGTCATCTTCAGTGTGAAAAGTTGGCATCGTGCCCGTAGATGTCATTGAAAGACCGGGATGTGATGCGGGTAGTTGAGGTGCAGGGCCGGTATGCTTTTAACCTGCACTTGAGCACCGGCATCCTTCTCCAGTAAAACCTGCACAGTAGACAAGCAATCCAGCACAGGACTCAGTGTGTTATTCAATGAGCACATTGCTGGCATGCACAGTAGACAAGCAATCCAGCACAGGACTCAGTGTGTTATTCAATGAGCACATTGCTGGCATGCACAGTAGACAAGCAATCCAGCACAGGACTCAGTGTGTTATTCCCGTAGCTATGCAGAAGACGTTACTTCAGTAACGTCTGGCGCTAGCCAGGGTCCACACAGCTTTAATTTGGTGTTTATTCCCGTAGCTATGCAGAAGACGTTACTTCAGTAACGTCTGGCGCTAGCCAGGGTCCACACAGCTTTAATTTGGTATTTGTTTGTTTGTTTGTTTGTGTGTTTGTGTCACGCCTGGCACTATCCCGTATCTGTCCCGTACCGTACCGTACCATCAAACACAGCTGGCCACATACAGCTGGCCGCAATATTCAAATAGGGCTTTCAAACGCAAGATCATAACGTGAAGCAACTTGGAAGAGTGGGTATGAATGCGAAGTGTATGGGGGAATGCATGTAGGGCGATAGTGATGGTTCGAATCCCAGGTTATGCCTGAAAAAACTAGGAGAATTGAAAATTTTATAACATCCCTATGCTTTTTTGCCGTCATCAAGGCGGTAGACGGTGTCGTATTACCCTCGATCGTACCTGTCCCGTACCTATCCCGTACCGTACCATCAAAGACGGCTGGCCACAATGCATATTCAAATAGGGCTTTCAAATGCAAGGTCATAACGTGAAGCAACTTGGAAGAATTAGTATGCATGCGAAGTGTATCGGGGGATGCATGCAGGGCGTGCGATAGTGCGGGTTCGAATCCCAGGTTATGTCTTAAAAAAAAGGAATTTTTTAAAGAATTTATAACATCCCTATGCTTTTTTTGTCTAGGTCATCAAGGCAAAAAAGCATAGCGTAGGACCCTGAGCTTCCAAGCTCTCTCGTTTATTTGTTTGTTTGTTTTGTTGTTTGTGTCACGCCTGGCGCTATCCCGTATCTGTCCCGTACCGTACCGTACCATCAAAGACAGCTTGCCACAAACAGCTGGCCACAGCATTCAAATAGGGCTTTCAAATGCAAGATCATAACGTGAAGCAACTTGGAAGAATTAGTATGTATGCGAAGTGTATCGGGGGATGCATGCAGGGCGATAGTGCGGGTTCGAATCCCAGGTTATGTCTTGAAAAAAATAGGAGAAATGAAAATTTATAACATCCCTATGCTTTTTCGGCCTAGGTCATCAAGGCAAAAAAAGCATAGCATAGAGCCCTGAGCTTCCGAGCTCTCTCGTTCAATGAGCACATTGCTGGCATGCACAGTAGACAAGCAATCCAGCACAGGACTCAGTGTGTTATTCAATGAGCACATTGCTGGCATGCACAGTAGACAAGCAATCCAGCACAGGACTCAGTGTGTTATTCAATGAGCACATTGCTGGCATGCACAGTAGACAAGCAATCCAGCACAGGACTCAGTGTGTTATTCAATGAGCACATTGCTGGCATGCACAGTAGACAAGCAATCCAGCACAGGACTCAGTGTGTTATTGAATGAGCACATTGCTGGCATACACTTACTATACCTGTACATGAAGAGCCGAGGTGAAACAGTACAACCCATTACAGTACTGCCGGTCGCCCAAGAACGGGGGGGGGGGGGGGGGTGAGCCTCGTAGCCTAGACCGTTCTTTGAAGTGGGTGGGAACACAGTTCATGCCTGTTACAAGCAAGAAAGAGGCCGCGTAGCCTAGACCGTTCTTTGAAGTGGGTGGGAACACAGTTCATGCCTGTTACAAGCAAGAAAGAGGTTTCTTGCTTGTAACAGGCATGAAATGTGTTCCCACCCACTTCAAAGTTGCCCCCAAGCTTTGCGTGCGCAAGGCGCTTCTGCTTACCGGTATCACATAGCAGCCCATCGCCTTCAGAGCAGATACTTGAAGAACTTCAAAACTTCTAGGTTCATGGCGTGGATGACGGAGAAGGATTTTCTCAGAAAACCCTAGGCACACCACAACTGCATAGCCGTGTCGTTTTGCTGCATTCATATTGACTGATACCCTGCTATAGACATCTACTGGGCAATCACCATTCTCCAGGTTGATTGGTTGTAGACTGTGCTGGTTGAAGAAGGACACAGCATGTACTGTAACACCACCGACAAGAGAATAGCCAGCTACAAATTGTTGCCCAACAAGCCACAACATGAATCCATAAGGACGACCAAAGTTGGACTTGAACTTATAGCTTTGGAACGTCTTCCTGCAACCTTCAAGAACTTGACTTTGCTGCTTGGCGGTTGCTGGTAATGCACCAAGGGAGATTAGATACTGAGCATCAATGGCCCTGACTCCTAGAAATGGTAGGAATGAAAAGGAAACACGTTTCTTGACAAGACTTCTTTCGAAAAATTAAAGAGACCAGTTTACACAGAACAACAAAGGCACAAGGCTAGTTCATTGCAACTCCGTTTCATTTGTCATGCGATGCAATTGTCAAACAGCATAAAGAGGCTGTTCGCCACACCAAAGACCAGAGTATACCACCAATTTATACAAGAGAGAGAGAGAGAGAGAGAGAGAGAGAGAGAGAGAGAGAGAGAGAGAGAGAGAGAGAGAGGGGGAAAGAGAGAGAGAGAGAGAGGGGGGGGGGGAAAGAGAGAGAGAGAGAGAGAGAGAGAGAGAGAGAGAGAGAGAGAGGGGGGGGGGAAAGAGAGAGAGAGAGAGAGAGAGAGAGAGAGAGAGAGAGAGAGAGAGAGAGAGAAAGAGAGAGAGAAAGAGAGAGAGAGAGAGAGAGAGAGAGAGAGAGAGAGAGAGAGAGAGAGAGAGAGAGAGAGAGAGAGAGAGAGAGAGAAAGAGAGAGAGAGCACGCTGTCATGGGCCCTTGCTTTGCTCCCATCATCTAGGAACAAGAAAATGGTGACCCTGTATTGCTACCTGTATTGCTATATCTTTGTTCAACGATACCACATTGCCTAGATTTCATTGCAAAGTCAGAAAGCATCTCCACTCCAACTGTATTGGACTTTTGTATTTCGATATTACAATAATCCGTTTGTATCGTGGCGTCAATTTCATCGAGCGGCAGGGATTAACTCATGGCCTCACGACTTAGGCTTTGCTCTCTTTGTATTCCAAGTGAAAAGAACTTTCCAAGGAGCACAAGATCAGTGATATCAAGCAAATACAACTGAAGTTATGATTTGTTTAAGGTAGCTACCCGAAATACGTTTTCCGAAAATTCACCAGTTTGACACCTTTTTTTGCAATGCTAGGGGTGTCCAGAATGAGAAACTGATATATTAGGGTATGTCTTTGGGCACTTCGGAGGGGTTATGGCCCCTCGAAGTAGCCCAAAACAAGGCGTTCTCTAACAAAGAGACAGGTTTGCATTGATGACAATAAAATGCATCCAACCTTCATCGGTTGCTTCATGAAATCATGTCAGTAATTCCCAGAACATGTCAGGGTAGATTTATCAGCAAAAATACACTGGTTAAAAGTACAGGCTTTTGTGTGAGGAGATGAAATTGTATTCCGAACCCCGATTGGATATGGTGTCAAAATGCTTAGAAATTTAAAATTTGTAAAATTGGCCCGAAAATGATTGAGTTGTACTTGCTATTCGCATCGCACTATAAAGTTAGTAACATTAGGTCATGTCAAAACTGATGTTAGGTAATTGGACTAGTTTACCCACTTCATTGCATTCCCAACTCATCACAACCACGCGCTCTTCAGCCGAACCATACAGACACCAGCACTACAGCGCATACTATGATTATTTATCGCTGTTCTCACACTTTACCATTTTAGCAGCTTGCACAGGCCATTGATATTATGTGGAAAGCGCGCACTTGCGCCATTTCTGGTGTATAAGAATGATCATTCCTCCATTATCATCATTATCATCCTCTACTGATGAGCTCCGACAGGGAGCGAAACAGCTGTCTAGAGGCGTGGAGCAATATTATCTCTCAACGGAAGTGTCCTTGCTGGTGTCTGTATGGTTCGGCTGAAGAGCGCGTGGTTGTGATGAGTTGGGAATGCAATGAATTGAAAATATGGCCGAAAGCTCTGTCGCAATATTTAGTTCTGTAGTTTACCCACTGTTTACAGAAATAATTACGCGAAGAAATGATCGTCTCTCGTAATTGATTCCAGTGTATTTGCTTCCACAGTGTGTGGATAGTAGTCCTGAATTCCAGAAAAAGAATTGAAAGGTACTTTAATAGAAACAAATGAAAAGGGAAGTCCTGTGTGTAAAAGTAGGTTTTTCTCTTATTTCGGGACACATATGCGAACATATGGGTGTGGCTCTCACAGGCCCCAAATGCAGTGAAGGATTTATTCCACACTACAGGTCAGACCTCGCTATAACGTAATCTCTGGGGGATGGGAGAAATTATGTTATAGCGAGGTTTATGATTGTTATAGTGAGTTGGGCACACCAATATGCAATATGTATGTCAAAATGACGCTCTTCACTTACTGCTTACAACTGTACTGTTTTACATACAGTTATGATGATGTAAACTAGCAAAGATGTGTACAGGTTTGTCAGCAAAGGGGTGACAATAGTCATGCAGTGCGTGTATGTGTGCATGTGACATGATTTTAAATTAACTGTTAGGTGCATTTGACTTGTACGTAGGTCTACAATGTAGACGTGTAGGAGGTCAAAGTTATTACCGAGCAGGAAGTACCCGGTATTTTACTACTCCCTGCTTCCAAGGTGGACAGCTCAGCCTCGAACTCGTCGCGAGAAGCGCATGCATGCCGTGTACGTAAGTCATTTTTAGACGACTTTTTACGTTATGCTGAGGTCTCTGTGCGCCCGGGACTCAGCAAACAGTGCGTTATAGCCAAAAATTACGCTGTAGCGGATTATGTTATAGCGAGGAAATTGTGTACAGAAGTGATGCGGTTTCGGCAGGGAAATTCACATTTCGTACGTTATAGTGAGGTTTATGCTATAGCGGGGGTCGTTATAGCGAGGTCTGACCTGTACACAATTTTTTGGAGTAACAGCTTGCCCCCATGATGCTTCAACCCTGAAAATTTGAAGAAAATCAGACAGAAAGTGGGTTTTGACCTAAGGTAACTCGGGCGTAGATCGCGAAAAATATCGGAGATCAAAAACCACTTTCTCTCCGATTTTGCTTTTTTCAGGGCTGAAGCATCATGAGGGTGTAGTGGCATGACTCCTATTACGTCACTTCATACATACAAAATAAATCATTCTCTTTGGCCTCAACTTCTTTGTTGTCCGGTTGGCCAAAGTAGCCGTCGTCTAGGGCCCGACGTAAAACCCCTAAATTGGTGACCCCAGACGCTGCGCTCTTCGGAGTTTACTAGTTTTCGTCATGCCATCCCTGAGCTCGGCTCGCCGCAGTTTCCTGCTCGCCTCAACTCTCGGGATCCCGTCAATCGCCGGCTGTTGACGTAAAACTTGAGCCTCACCACCACTGGATCCGCCTCGGAGCTGCTGTGGCCCCTGCCACCCTCCCGGCCTACCTGGATACCCCGCTATCCTGCCACGGCACATCGTCCAGTCGTCGTCCGTATTCGTCCTGGCCTCAAGCTGGAAATTGGCCACCTCCACCATCCGTACCAGCTGAACTGTGCACGCATGCAGGCACACGCCCGGCACCGGACCCCGTGGAGCTGCGCACGCCTCCACCCGCCCCGCCTCACTCGGCACGCCTCGCCCCAGTGCAGCGCTCCTGCTGGTACCCCGCAAAGCCTGCAACTTGCAGCCGCCTCTGACATGATAACACTCCTCTGTCACGCGTACGTTTCCTCTTTTCTTTCTTTCCGCCTCGCCTCTGATACGATAATACTCCTCTGTCACGCGTACGTTTCCTCTTTTCTTTCTTTCTGCCTCTGACATGCTCTCCACCTCTGTCACGTTAACACACCTCTGACACGTTAGCTCGCCTCTGTCATGTATGTATTTTCCACTTTCTGCTTTCTGATTTTTGTTCGGCCTTTGTTGCCACGTTATTAACAAATTTCATAAACGAAGCGCTCTCATGTACATATTGTATTATATTTTTGCCTTTCTGCCTTGTACATGCCGCGCTTCCTTTCTCTTCTCTCTCTCTTTTTTTCTTGTTTATCGTGCTTCGCTCCTCCCGATCTCACCACTGGCGGGGGAGTACTGTAGCGGCATGACTCCCATTACGTCACTTCATACATACAAGCATGCGCAAGAAAACGAGAGAGCTTGGAAGCTCAGGGCCCTACGCTATGCTTTTTTGCCCTGATGACCTACGCAAAAAAAAAAGCATAGGGATGTTAATATTTTTTTCTAAAGACATAATCTGGGATTCGAACCCGCACTAACGTTCTGGAGTCGACGGGATGTCTGTCCTGACGTTTCCTGGGAACGGCGCTGACTCTGCCGATCACGGGCGTTCTGGAGTCGACGGGATCTCTTTTCCGACGTTTCCTGTGACCGGCGCTGAATCGCCTATTCACGCTTAGTTTGGAGACGACGGGATCTCTCTTCCAAAGTATGTTTTTGCTGACGCATCCTATCACCTATTCGGCTACTAACGTCCATTCTAATTTCATATCCTCCTCGTCTCCCTATTTCTTTCCAAATCTCCCTATACCTCAGGGAGACGTATACATAATACGACGAATATTGTTGCCAGCTGTTTGCGGCCAGCAGTGTTTGATGGTACGGGACAGATACGGGAGCCAGCAAATATTGTGGCCAGCTGTTTGTGGCCAGCAGTGTTTGATGGTACGGTACGGGACAGATACGGGATAGCTCCAGGCGTGACACAAACAAACAAACAAATAAACACCAAATTAAAGCTGTGTGGACCCTGGCTAGCGCCAGACGTTACTGAAGTAACGTCTCCTGCATAGCTACAGGAATAAATCATTCTCTTTGGCCTCAACTTCTTTGTTGTCCGGTTGGCCAAAGTAGCCGTCGTCTAGGGCCCGACGTAAAACCCCTAAAAGGGTAAGCTATCAATACCATGTTTTGCTAGTGTGTAATGAGTCCTTCCCTATGTTTGGGGCCTATGAAAGCCATATAAATGTTCGCATTTATTATGCCAAAATAAAGGGGAAGTTAAGCCTAAAATCAAGATTTCACCAGTTGTAGTCTTCGGGGTGCTGAGTCGAATGGTCTTGGTCCGAGGAAGCTGAGACGCTCCCTTCCTCCTTTATTCCCAATCGAACTCGCGCACTTCCACCGAAACTGGGTGACTGCGCCCTACTAGATGGGGATTTGTATGCAAAATGTCACTAAAAGCGCCATTTCGTTCTTATAAAAGCACGGATGACCGCGATTGGCCCATATGTTGCAGTGTTTTGGACGCTGAGTCGACTGGTTTTGGTCCGAAAAGGCTGCGATGTAGCGTTCGGCCCTTATTCCCAATCGAACATGGCTGAACAAGCGGTCACGTGCTCGTGTGTACACCAGTCACCTGGTCACCATGCCTGCAGGCTACACCTTACAGCATGTTTGGGCGAGTTTCTGTCACTCGAGTTGAACCTTTGTGTTGAACCTTGGTGTGAAAGTTGTCGCCTGCTGGGCCGTGCTGGGGCGGTGACCAGGTGACTGGTGTACGCAGGAGCACGTGACCGCTTGTTCAGCCATGTTCGATTGGGAACAAGGGCCGAACGCTGCATCGACGTTCCCGCCAGGTTTCACTGTGAAAAAGTGAAACTGCTCGGTCTGCTCCGGCTTCGAGGCCAGAGCAAGCAGAACATGTTCTGGCTGACCCAGAACAGGTGCAGTCCCAACCAAACTGGTGAATCCTGTTCTAGGTCGTACCAACCAAACGCGCCCTTAGGGCCGATTCCCACTACGGTACCGTGAGTGCCGTGCCGTGAGTACCCATGGTGATTTGCTCACGTGAGGGGCAGTTTTGGCGCGAGTTCATTCCGTGGGTCATGCCGTACCGCGCCGTGGACATTCCGGTGCCGAGGGTCTCTGGGGGGGGGGGGGGGGGGGTGGAAATGGCATGCCGTGGTATTCCGTGAGGTCGAATACAGTGTGTAGTAGGTATTTTACTACTTCCTGATAGGAAGTTTTTTCTTTCTTTTGTATTTGTGGTACGAAGTGTTTTCTTGGCTTTTGGGTTTTCGATTGGTTGATTTTTGAGCTTTCTCCAATCATCTCCCCCGCTATTTTCCCTCCAGACCAAAGTCAGAAATTGGTAAAAAATGGTGATCTGGCCTGCCGACGGAATGCACGGAACGACAGTGCGCAGGTGTAAATCACTCTCAGCTTCAAGCTCGTACCGTGGGGTACACGTGACCTTCCCAAATCGTCGGCACGGCACTCACGGTACTGTAGTGGGAATCGGCCCTTAGTCTCGACTGGAGCCCGAATTTTCCGCATCCGTAGGAACGCTACGACCCTCAAGGATCAAAGGCGCAGATGCAGCTCTTAAAGCGGTGGGAGGTGAGTAGATCAGACCACCACCAAAGTGGTCAATGACCGAAAATCCCATTCGCTGCATTCATGCTGCCCTCGTGCCAGGCCACGAGTTTCCAATTAACTGTGGGTCGCAGCACGGCTGGAAAAAATCCTTCCGCTTCCAAGCAGGACTTGAACCTGTCACCCTCTGTTTTTCAATCATGGTCTTAGACCATCCCACTATACCTACCTGGTAATAGCCACAGAAAAAGCTAAAGCAGTTTGGCTGATACATTCCAGGACTATGTATATAATAAATATCAAAAAAGTATTCTTTCTAGACCAAAGAGTGGTATATTTGATAAAATTTAATAACGATAGAAATATTTACGATACTTCTCCAGACGTTTCGTTGTTCTGAACAACTTCGTCAGTGGATAAAGACGACTGACGATCGTTATTAAATTTTATCAAATATACCACTCTTTGGTCTAGAAAGAATACTTTTTTGATATTACAATGAGAGTGGATAATCAACGGCTTGTCCACCAACTCTTTTTTTTATATAATAAATGTAGAGCCTCTTATAGGATTTATTCCAATTACATACTAGTTTAAAACCGAGGTCAAGGCGAGGTTTTTATAATTGGTATGTAAGTCGCGCTGGGTCCGGTCGGTTCCTGTCAAGTACATGTATAGGTAGAGGATGTGCATGCAAACTGCAAAGACAAGTCCCAATACAAAGTCAAACATACCTGAAAGAATTTGCATAGTACCGATCATGGTGATGAGCGGTTGGCTGTCTACTTCGCACAGTGCACAGTACAGAAGAAGGTTGCATACTTTCGAAAGATGGCTCCTGGCTGTTGATGCCAATTCCAGATATCTTTCTGCTAGCCTAGATGCAATACTGGAGCTGACTATATTGAGGCTGAGGAGAGTATTAGAAGTGATAATGACTTCAGAAGCAGTCATCCGGGACACATCGATGACCTTCAAGAGTCTCCGCCTAAATCGCTCTGTGGTGCAACGACATTGTGATGCCCGGAATAAAATCCATCGGAGTTCGTTTTGCATAGACTTATCCCAAGCATGATCGGGCAAGCTAGCAACACGGTCCAGTACCGAGATTACCAGTTCGGTGATGTTGCCATTCTCCTCAATGGAATGTTCGCATAGATGCAAAATATCTGTCAAAATTGAAACAGTGCATATCTCATTCACGTGACGCTGAATCAGACCGCGCCGGGACATCAGGTGATCTGAGCGAAATGTGCCTGCACGTAGCTCTTTCTTCAGAGCAGTGACAGCACCCAGAGCATCACGGACATGGCTTGTTTTGATGGTATGGGTGTTTCTTGCTGTATCTACTGCCGTCTTGTTCAAGGAGTACGTACGCACTGCTGGTCTGGTTGGTTGTTTCGTAGTGGCTGCTTTCGTACGGGACGGGTCAGCTTGAACCAAACTGTCGGCTCTTGGAGTGGGTTCGCGCAGAGAAGAAATGGGCCATATGACTTTATCCCGGACTACATTTAGAAGGCGCTGAAGCGACATTCTGTTGAGTCAGAAAGTCACTCATCACATGGGTCTGCTGGGTAGCTTTATGCAACAAACTGCAAACACAGAGTACAGACACACACACACACACACACACACGCGCGCGCGCGCCCGCACGCACACACACACACACACACACACAAGCGCACGCGTACACACAAATACACGTGTCACAAAGAAAGAGTACGGTACTCAATATGGTGGATTAACAACGAGACAGAAAGAATGGACGCTGCTACTGCACAACGTCATGTTAACTAAACCAGAGACATGTATTTAAAACTCACAGCAAGTAATGTAGCTGAACACACTGCATACAATCAGTATAATATACGTTCTGAGTTACCGGCAACTCCTAGTTACAGGCAGTGCCCGGTCCCAACCTGCCCGGATTAGGGGAGTTTCACATGTACTTGTACATGTGAACCGTATATGACTGATTATGGCACATACATGTACAGTCAACTAACGTGTTACTTCGCTAATAACGACTGCGGATATAACGACAATTCGCAAATAACGACAGAATTTCCATGCCCAGAGCAAAGTCCCACCTAACTGTAATACATATAATGAGACTTCGGATATAACGACACTTCGCGAATAAGGACACTTTTCTGATGCCCCGCCGAGTGTCGTTATACGCAAAGTTGACTGTAGTACACATCCTTGCTGCACGCCTTGACATGGTGTGTTCCGAATGGAGACACTCAGTGTATCTCCGAAGCAATCATTCGCACGCATGCATGTGTGTGTGTGTGTGTACGTATGTACGTACACGCATGTTCATGCCTGTGTGTGTATAATTATGTGTGTGTACACGCGTGCGCATGTGTGTGTGTCGTGGCAAACACGAGACACATTTATAATATCATATAGGTGGAATGCTGATAACCCCAAATTGCAAGGGGGAAATGTGCAAACATCAGGGCATTCTAAGTATTCAAGCAGGTGCCCACAACACATTTACAGTCGACTCCTGATATAACGAACACCATTGTCCAGGAGGATTAGTTCTGTATAGCCGAAGTTCGTTACAACAGAAATGCACTCACACTATACAAGCGGTAAGTCAAGACTGGCAAGTGGCCCATGACAGCATGAGTGCACTTGGTTTACATGCGGCCCTACAAGATTTGGTTCGTTACAAACGAAAACTGTTTGTTAATAAAAGGGCTCAACATTTGGTATGGGTTCAAACAGAGACATGGACAGGGATTCGCTATATTATCACAAAATTCGCCATATGTGAGTTCGGTGTAAGTGGAGTCGACTGTAGGTACGTCAAAGTGCTCGCACAGATACGCCGAACTGCGATACGTACTATAGACACAGCTATCAAGCACTCTGACCCGGCCAGAACGGCCTGCGCACGTGAGTCCCGCACACTGAACTAACCAGTGCGGTGTACAGTGGACTTTGAACTACGCCTTGCCAGCTATCGATGTCGCTTTAAAATTCCAAAACACTACATATAAATCACAGGGTTATGATTCCACGAATGTTTAAAAAAATGCCTTGCCAGCTTCAAGTTATCAGCGAGAATCACACACACTTTTTTTATGTCTGTGGATACCACGGCACATGCTGCACATGCCTAGTTAGAGGCTAGAGATGTGAGAGTCCCGTTGTCTGAAACCGGTCGTGGAAGAAATTTCTAATGAAGCGGCATGTTCGAATTCAGCCACATTCAATGATAGAGTTGTCAGGATGAACTCGAAGTACAACGCCAAAAGTACATATACACGACTGCCGGGAACAATAACAAACAAAAACCCCAAGAAGACTCAAACAACTCCCTAGAGGGTCAGAAGTTCAGAACCAGGGCTAACACCCATACGATTCAAATGGTCGCAGGACCGGGGCTCTGCCAACCGTGGATGGTTGCAGTAAGGGGCACTGTTTCCGAGCACAGTGTGTCCTCCGCCTTGTAACATGCTGTCAACCAACAACAGGTACATATATGTACACACACCGGAGGCGAAGGGTCTGTATAGCTCCATATCCCTTTGCACATTTGTGTAATGAGCACTCTATCCGAGCTGCCTTGACCGGCCCTGTATATTCATGTACATAACGCTGTACGTGTACAAATGTGGCCGCTGTAATGGGCCTCACACAACTCCATCGACCCCAAAGAAAGACCACCCAAGTGTTGGTTGGCCATGTGTCTCATGTGATTGGTGGACATGTTCAGGAAACTGATGTTTGCTAAATTGTTGTGCAGTGTACAGGACATAGCAGAGTGCAGGACGGCGTTAGTATCAGAGCACATGAATAAAACAAAGCCACGCACCACAGACATGTTTGCGAGTAAAAATCTCAGCATTGAACCGTGACTACAGTTCGTATTCAGTTGTCCCTCTCTAAGCCAGCATGCGATAATCAGGAACCCTTGCAAACCGGCGAACTTTCTGACAAAACGGGGCGTTTTCAGTTCGTTTTCTATGCTTCACCGGGCGTTGCTGTATCGGTCCGTAGTTCTCCAAGCTGCTCAGCCTCAGGTGCACACGACTCACCGCCCAGCTGCGCATACCTGCGGCCCCATGACGGCTTTCTCTACTCCTCTTCATCTTGTATTGAGCGTCTAGCCGTATGGTTAGATGAGAAAGCAGAAATGCCTGTACAGTAAAACCTGTCTAAGACGACCGCCGCTCAAGGGGCCTTCAAAACGTGGTCTCAGATACCAGGTGGTCTCCTTATCCAGGGTCATTTGACTGGAAATAGCATCCCTTGGTGCTGGTTGCAGTGGTCTTCTAGGACAGGTGGTCGCCTTATCCGAGTGGTCGCCTTGACAGGTTTGACTGTATTAATGTACTGCTAACCGCCCAATGTTTACGTCACTACATGTTTGCGATCTCTCAGAACCAGCGAGTGTACGATGGCGAATGTTTGCGGAGCACTGTGGCCACACGTATACACCCACTGTTGCAGTTTGATTTCACGGTGGTTAATATTTGCATTATGCTCTTCTCGCAAAATTAGCAAACATTAATACGTCGCAAACATTAGGCCACACGTTTTTATTTCTATGTTTCTCGTCACCTGAAAATCTAAAAACGTATGCGAGAGGTGGAAAAAATAAATAAATAAATGACCGAAAAATAAAAATAAAAGTTTATTAGACCTTTGTTCACACTAAAATCCACCAATACACCATGCAAAATAGCATCCATAGTTAGCAACTACTGTCGTGGACATGGAAATCCGGTCGCACGTCTAGCGGCCCCAGGGCGCTGGCCATGCAGCCGTGGATAAGCGGTACACACATACATTTATGCGCTGAAGCGCACTGGTCCCATCTGATCAACATGTGCACTGCACGCAGCGTTCTGTACGCGCTGAGGGCGCCGGCCCCGGTCAATCGACTGGATTTTGATGTCCGATACAGTTGTATGTGGTAGGAGCTTCTGTCACAATCTGAGCATGTGCAGCTAGATTGGGCACAAAAAAATGCCATCCTTGCATCATGTGTCGCGCAGGCCAGGCCACATTATGTACATGTGCATCAGTGTGCTGGTCCCCACATGCACAGTCAGTGCAGCACAGTTTTTTTCTTTCTTTTTTTCTTCCAGACTCCTGAATCGTATGCGCGCGGGTGACGAGGAACATAGAAATAAAAACGTGTGGCCTTAGGCTGTTTACGGTATCTGGTGAAGTAAAATAAAAACGAACAAACTCTGGAGTAACAAGGCCTTTGCCCCTGCAGTTTTCTTCTTCTGTTCTACAGCCTTGCTCACTGAAATCCAGTCGCGTCACTCAAGTTTGTGCCTTGCACCATTTTCTCAGCCCAGTGTCCGCAGGGCTAGGGCTGCGCAATGCCCGGCGTGTCACGTGACTTGAGTGACACGACTGCATTTCACTGAGCAGCACTGTACATGATCGGTGAGGCGATTTGTTCTCGTACGGTGTGCAGCGTAACCGTGAAAGTGATAACTAGCACACACGGAAAATTCGCTGTGCCTTCTGCGCGGAACGCATGAATTGCTCGCGCTCGCATTAGAATATGACCAGTACAGACATGTACATGAGAACATGACTACATCATACATGCCACAGTGCATTGTGCCACTATAGTGCATTGTGCCACTATAGTGCATTGTGCCACTATAGTGCACTGTGCCACTATGTGCACTGTGCCATTAGACCACAGTGGAACTCACTTAGTACGAACTCTGATACTGTACAATGTAGTGTGTTATGATGAGAAGTACCTCGGCTACTAAGTACACTTTCTGGATACGTCTTATCAGGGTTAGTTCTGCTGTACATGTACTTGCTTTGCACTTACCGTACTGTTACTGAACGCGCCTGAGAGCTGACCTGGGCTGACTCTGGGGACGAAATGGGCGATTCGTTGACAAACCACGTCCGCCTTGACAAATGATGCTACGCACAACTGACTCAGGATTCCATTGTGGATGTAACAATGCTCATGCTGAATACTAGGGTAGATCTCAGACTGAGAGATTGATTGCGATCAGCTGAGTGTGGACTCCTGGTTACAGTATACTACCTGCCCATGATGATTACTGAGTGTTAACAACGAGGGATTTGCAAAAGGCCAATACAAGGGGACAAGTACTGTATGCTGAAGTCAAAGAGAACAATCGAACGGCTTCTTGGTCCCACTTGGCCTGAATTGGATGAAGCTAAGCTTCACCACCTTTTTTCAAACACTTTTTAAATTAAAATAATTATTATTTACGCACTTTCGAAATTTCCCGGCAAAAACCTTACAGATGCAAAAAAACTTCGTCCCCCCCCCGGGCCCCCCCCCCCCCCCGGCCGGGGTTACATGTATGTACTCTTGATCCATTACATTCTGTCTCGCTGCGTAGAGTAGACCAGAGACTGTATAATTTATAAAGTAGTAGCTTCTGAAACACGAATGCAACCGGTGATGGACACAGTCATAATTACCGGTAGCAAGAGTACATAACCCGGTTATGTACTCTTGCCGGTAGGCATAGTGGTGGCCTGCGGATGCGAAGGCTAGTTTGTGTGTTTCTGAACATTCAAGCGATGCCGACGCGGATCCCGCGAATATTATTATTATTATTACTAGTATGTCAACACGAGTACAGTGTACATGATTGTACTAGGATGATTGTGTGCACACTCATCATATGTGTTGTTCATACTGGATTGTTACTCAATGAAGATTGAAATCCGATCTACTTGATTCAAGTGAATCAAGACTATGCGCCGCCTATACCTCTGAACATGTTAGTAACACTTGAACACCGGACTGTGAAATGGTGCAGGGCGCACGGCAGCCGAAGAAAGAACAGACTAGAATGTTGCCAGGTGCAGAATACCTGTATGCACACGGCGGTTCAACTGTGTAACTATCTAGCTCAGACAGTTCTACATGTGAAAAAATTAAGAACGGTCAAGGCTACGACTATGAACCCCCCCCCCCCCCCAGTTCTTCAGCACCAGTCAGTACATTTAAAGTCACCGAGTCGGTCATGTGATCCTGGTCGGAACACTGGAACCGAAATGGCCAAAGCCTTGACCATGCACCACCACAGTTGAGCATGAACCGGAACCAGCTGTGGGAATGATTACCCATGCACTTGAGTCAAGTGCTGAAATGAATGTTGGAGATCACTTATATGTACATACATGGACACACACACACGCCCGCACATATGCACATGAACACACGCATACGCGCACGCGTGCACACACACACACACACATCAATGAATCTTGATCATACTACGGCCGGCTTGAACAACACTGAATGCCCAGATGATATCGGCCCAAAGAAAGTGCGGGAAAAGAGAAGATAACAGAAAACAGCCAGCGAGTTGAGCAGCATTAACCATGGTGGCAGGGTGAAACACTCAATTCAGGACTTTGCTTTGGGGTCTAATAAAGTTTAGCAGCACAGCATGACACTGCGGGTGTGGATGTTGGCTGCATCAAAACAATGTTGGGACAATCCTCGCAGCACCTTGCCAAAACAATGCCGCGCTACAGGCTTCTCGCCACAGAACACACCTTTCCGAGTGAGAGGTCCGAAGAAAGGAACACGGCAACTGTACTGCTGTGTCATTTCAGGTGCTTGTTGAACATTGGGATGTGGCAGGGAAAGTTGCAGTCCAAACCCTGGACACTATTAAACTTTGTCTGCTTTCGGTTGCCAACTTCCAGGTATATCTATGTCAGAAGAAAGGAGAAAAAAAGAAACATAAGACCAGTCGATTCAGGGTCCAGAGTACCAGTACAGGTCCTGGAAATTTCACGTTCGTTCGTGATTCTACAAGACCGAAGTGATGCTATACCAGAGAAAAATTCCACACAATTTCCTTTTACCGAATGTCCGCACCTTTAAAGCCATGGAGGTCTATTCGAATACAATGCCAGTCTCATTTATAAAGCCATGGGCCTCATAAATGAAATGATATTTGAAGTACGTTTTGTAAAAAAGAAGGAACAAGTACTATACTGTATGGAAAGAGAAAAGGACCTATAAGTTACTACTTAACTTATGACTAACAGTCCACCAAGGTAACGAGATAATATACAGTCAGAATGTCTCAATATCCTTCTCAGTTGTGTGACTTGTTGTCGCACTATCTGACTGTACATTATTCCCGTAGCTATGCAGAAGACGTTACTTCAGTAACGTCTGGCGCTAGCCAGGGTCCACACAGCTTTAATTTGGTATTTGTTTGTTTGTGTGTTTGTTTGTTTGTTTGTGTCACGCCTGGCGCTATCCGTATCTGACGGCAAAAAAGCATAGGATGTTATAAATTTTTCAATTCTCCTATCTTTTTTTCAGGCATATCCTGGGATTCGAACCCGCACTATCGCCCTACATGCATTCCCCCATACACTTCGCATTCATACCCATTCTTCCAAGTTGCTTCACGTTATGATCTTGCGTTTGAAAGCCCTATTTGAATATTGCGGGCAGCTGTATGTGGCCAGCTGTGTTTGATGGTACGGTACGGTACGAGAGACGGTGTCGTATTACCCTCGATCGTACCTGTCCCGTACCTATCCCCTACCGTACCGTGCCATCAAAGACGGCTGGCCACAATGCATATTCAAATAGGGCTTTCAAATGCAAGATCACAATGTGAAACAACTTGGAAGAATTAGTATGTATGTGAAGTGTAGCGGGGGATGCATGCAGGGCGCGCGATAGTGCGGGTTCGAATCCCAGGTTATGTCTTAAAAAAAAGGATTTTTTTAAAGAATTTATAACATCCCTATGCTTTTTTTTTGTCTAGGTCATCAAGGCAAAAAAGCATAGCGTAGGGCCCCGAGCTTCCAAGCTCTCTCGTCTCATTACCTTGGCGGACTGTTAACTAGTAACTTATAGGTCCTTTTCTCTTTCCATATTACTATTGGCTCAACACCTGAGTTTTACTATACTGCAAGTCAACAAATATTCGGCAAATATTTATTTTCGGCTATTTTCGGCCTGATCATATTTGGCCGAAAAATTGTTGCAGCCGAAATTTCGTTCTGCAAGGTTCAGTGTGACAGTGTATACAGGCAGCAGCAGTACAGGCCGAAAATTTGTTGCAGCCGAAATGTGTTTTAGGCTTTTAGCCCTGGGAGGCCTAAATTTGAACGGGCTGAAAATTTGTTGACTTCCAGTACTAGAAAACTTACAGCCCAGCAGGAAGGGTGAACAAGTGGATTTAGATTGAAATTTCTGTGTGGACTTAGACTTTTATGGCATGGCGTAGTGGGTGAGTCATTTTCCATCTAAAATAGCAAGGAAAGCAGCTGTGTTTCGAATATAAGGCCATGGCTTTGAAGGCGCTGACATACGGTAAAACGGTAGTAGGGCGCACCAACCCGGTTTCAGGGGAAAGTGCGAAAGCTTGATTGGGAATGTAGGAGGAAGAGAACGTGTTATCTTCCTCGAACCAAGACCATTCGACTTAGCACACGGAAGAACTGGTTACATTTTGATTTTAGTCGAATCATGCTTCCTCTTTCAGTGGTATATTCAAAAAAGCCATAATCGAAATGCCAAAATTCAGCATAGGCTAGTACCAAGAGTCCATAACCCCAAGAGTGTGCAACTCTGTACATGGGGATCCAAGCGGCGGAATTCCAACATTACGTCAAAAATGACGTACACGTTCGTTGCGTCTGTACTACTCCCTGGTTCCAAGCACCGCGGAATGCGGAGTTTTGTCCTCTGTGCCTCAACGGCATGATGTAATGTTGGAATTCCGCCGCGCAGTGGGCCTACAGCATCCAGACCGCAGTTGCACACTCTTGGGGTTATGGACTCTTGATAGTACTGTAAAATCCCGCCAGAGCGCCCCGTCTCTCCCATTCGCCCCTCCCTGACTTCTTGTCAGGGAAGTGATTGATTGTATCCTCGTAAAACACTGTGATGCCGTACAATTCGTACTGTGCTGCAGGAAATGTACGCAACAGTGCCCACCCTCTTGGCCAGGGATCGCACAAACCCTGAGTTTCAGTGGGTCTGTATGGCTCCTGGCTCTTGACCTTTGGTCGGTGTACGAGATGCACAAACAGATTTCGTAGGGTGAGTACTTATTCATGTAGTACTGAATGCGGCAAGTAGGATTCGCCCATCCGGACCTACTCGAAGGGTGGTGGAGGTAGGGGCGCTCTGGCGGGATTTTACGGTACATGTACTACGGTACACAGTCCACACTGACCTTTCTTTCACGGTTCGCATGAGACCCGATCAGACTGAGTTTTCTCTGCGCATGCGTAAGCACACAGGATGTGCTTTGCCACACCTGAATCTCACACTAGCTATTACAGGCAACCACCACACACATCGCATTCAAGAAAAACATTTCCATCGGAGGTGGCGAAATTTCCATTCAGCGACAGTAAAGTGTACACTGCTCAATGTCAGAATTCTGTGATGCAATACATGATTACATACAAAAACTACTCACAGGAATCACATAGCATCCCTGGGCTTTCAGCGCCAACACCTCCAGAACGGTGGCACCATTCGGAGCGCGCGCGGGGTGACGCAGTAGGATCTTCTCCGACAGTCCGAGACACACCACGACACTGAGGCGGTGTCGCCTCGCTGCTGCCATGTCTATCGTGAAGTTGTCATACAGCTCTGCGGGACAATCCCGTTGCAAGTCGACAGGACGGCAGGCAGCATCAAATATGGCGAACGCCTGAATAGTCACTCCGCCCACTAGTGCACAGCCACCCGCGTACTTTTGGCCAACAATGGACGACATCATCCGGTACAAGCGACCCTTCTTCCCTGGCGAGCCACACCGCACAAATGGCTGCATCGCCTTTTCTTGGGCCTTTGTGAGATACTTGTCCATCAATGGAGAGGAATCGGAGAGCAAATGAGCTTGAAATAAGAGGAGCTTGTTCGCTGGACATAACAACAATATATATATAATCAGTACACGTCCAATGCAAATCAGAATAGCTACACTCGAGCTGTGGACAACATCAGAACAACTACGGAAGTAAATACTAGGGCTCAAACGGTCACGGTTTTACCCCTAACGGTTAACTGCTAAGCTAACGGTCGGTTTAACGGTTATAACCTATATGCCACGGCAATCCTGCGGACTCTTTTTCAACCGTATACTCTAATTTCAGAAATTTTCGGTGCTCAATATTTTCGGTATGAGGGCAACAGGCTAGGTTAGGTGAACAGAAATTTTCGGTACAGAGAAGCAGTTCCCTATTGGATTATGTGTGTTAGTGTTTGTTCGGTGTATTGAAATTTTAGGTGTGAAACAGACGCATCGAAAGTACCGAAAATAGAAGTACACCGAAAATTTGTGAAATTACAGTATTTGACTATACTCATTCAAAAAAATGTACCCTATTCAGTACAACGCACACATGTACATTCTCTTGCATGCTCATTCATACATACTCTCACACCAAGAGACCAGATATGACCGAGTTGACAGCCCAGAAATTGCGTACGCGTGCGACAGCCTGCGAAAGTGCATACTTTGCAACGACCTGATACTTGAAAAATTGACTGAAAAGTTACTGCATAACCGTTATCTTTATCGGTTAACCGTTAATTCTTCGTAACCGGTCTGCAACCGGTTAATCGGACTAACCGTTTGAGCCCTAGCAAATACCCAGAAGAGTGGCCTACATATCCAAGGTCATAGTATCTGATCCAGCCAGTCCCGCCTTTGCCAGACCTTATTTCGAAAAAAAGGTTGACCCAAACAATTCCTGCAATTATGGTTTTTCAGCAATATCAATCATTTCCAGTCAAGAACTCAGATGGTGAGCCAAGGAAAAAAACTGTAGCATGGAAAAAGGTGGGCACAAGTTATGCGATCGAGTCCACCAACTAAACTAGATTTTGAACAGTCAGACGTGCACAATCTAGCACAAAACTGACAAGGAGTACTGAGACATTCCACGGCATGAAAGTCAGTTTTGTGCTTGTGCACGTCTGACTGTTCAACATCTGGTTTAGTTGGTGGACTCGATCGCATAACTTGTGCCCACATTTTTCCATGATGCAATTTCCAGTCAAATATCCCATTTGGCCAGACCACCTGAAATCTCGGTGCTACGGCCCTGATAAAGTAAACAATTCCTGCACTCCATAGGACTAGCCAGTGTGGCATCAAAACCATGGTAACTGCTTCCAAGCTATCAAAGCATCATCCTGTTGTTCGCTTTTACCACACAAATCGGCAGCGTCTTTCTGTTTCTCAGCGCAAAAACATCACCATGCATAGGCACGGCAAAAAAAGATATGGCGAGTATTTAGAATCAGCTCAAAGCGTGTTGCCCAGAGTGTTATTGGTAGCAAGAGGCCATGACTCCAAGAGTAAGCAACTCTGCACAAAGGATCTGGTGCAGCGTGCTGCCTGCATTAGGCCGCCACGAACTGGTCAATCAGCCAGGCCATTGCATCGTTATTGATCTGCTCCGGTTTCCAGGTTCCAAGTCTGCTTTTCTCAGAAACTTTTGTATGCGAGGTATCACTGAGAGTGCATTGCCGCTTGACGTTTGAACCTACCGTATCAAGCATGAAATCATTGCATCTAGAATGTGAGAAACTCAAACCCAGACATCTTGATCGCCATTTCACCACGTAATGCAGGCAGCGGGCCACGCAGAGCACCCGCAGCTCAGAGATCAGAGTTGCACACTATTGGGTTCACAGGCTGTTGTTGGTCGTCATTAATAACAGGGTACTGAAATTTCACAAATTTCGGTGTACTTTTATTTTCGGTACTTTCGGTGCATCTGTTTCACACCTAAAATTTCAATACACCGAACAAACACTAACACACATAATCCAATAGGGAACTGCTTCTCTGTACCGAAAATTTCTGTTCACCTAACCTGGCCGTTTGCCCTCGTACCGAAAATATTGAGCACAGAAAATTTCTGAAATTAGAGTACCCATGTAGCAGAGGTAGATATAGATGCGAGCGGGGTACGCAATACATGAAAAAACTTGACGTCACAATGAAGTGTCAGCAAAGCAGCAGTAACACAAGCAGGATTGCCTTGTTACTTACGCTTGGAGTTCATAAAGTCGTCGGTGAGTAAATCCAACAGTCTGGTAGATTTCACATCACATAACGTGCAGTAAAGAAGAAGGGTGAGGGTGCTATACGGCTTGGCCTCAAAGTCAAAATACCTGGATACCAAACGCTGTGCAAGCATTTTGTTGGGCATATTCAATCGGAACAAGCGATAAGCAAATTCAGATAAGCCATCACTCGAGCTAATCCACTTGACGTTAAGATTTTGCACCAAAGTTGTTTCAAAGGCTGCTGTTTTGCAGGAACATTGTGATGCCCAGTAGAGAATCCGGTAGAGTTCAAGATGGTTGCTTTCGGCTACCCAGGTGCTAGGTGGCATCTGTGCAACATGATCCAGTGCACTCGTTACCAGCGCTCTGATATCCGAATTAGATGATACGTCCGGACTGATGGAACACTGCCGTATCACACGCTTCACGACAACGGGACGGTCCGTTTTCTTGATGAGATCCTCCGTCAGCTTGCGACGTGAGCGCACATCGCATGATCGAAAGTGGTCCATTCCGACCAGATGGTGGTAGCATTGTTGAATAGTGTTATCCACACCCTGAGCATTGACCGCCGTGTCCGTGATGTTCGGGTCAAGATCGGCCGGCTGCCGCGGCTGGCCAGACGCCGGCAATGCGTGCGCGGTGGCAGGCGCGCAACGCAGAGCGGAACTGCTCGAGCTCGACGCAGCTCTGCACGGTGCTGCCGCGCCGGCCGTGCGCCCGTCCATGCGCTGCCGCGAGACGACATGGCACGAGCGGCCTCGGCTCAATCCCCTGAACGACGGAGCCAACGTCCAGCATACTGTCCCGCTAGTGCTGACACCTCTCCAGGGCATGTCCAGATATAGATATAGCTTGGCGTACGGTAGGCTGCCTGGCTACAACCTGGGAGGAAACAAAAAGACAAACAAACAGACAAACACCCAACAAAATCAGTATTGAGACCAAGCCAGCCGGTAAGGCACATGAGCAGCAGTTAACCCAACATCAAGTGGAGGGGGGGGGGAGCATCTGCTATGTACATTATCGCAATACTAGTGAAGCCACGGGGTGAAATCGTCTACATGGGATTCTGTCGCAGCCAGATCCAAACTTCTTACACTGGTAAGGAACTCCCAACAGTGTGCAGGGGCGTCACAGGGCATTAGGGAGTGGTACGACCGGGGGTCCAGGGGTGTTCCCCTTGGGAGAAAAATCGGATTTTTCAGCCCCGAGGTGCGTTTTAGCAGTCTTTTACTGCTTTTTGGATGAATTGGGTGGACCATCCTGGACTAAAATTAGTACGACCATGGTCACACTGGTCGTACCGTGTGTGACGCCCCTGTGTACACATCCACAAATATCACCACCATGGCCAGTTTCCAGAGCAGCATCATCTCCGTCACGCCATACGTATTGCTGCACCCAATACTGTATTGTGCATGATGGTCAATCTCGCATCTTGAATGCACGCACAGAGCTGATTACGTCAAGACAAATGACGCAATTCTGACCAAGATTGGTCACAGCTGCGCACGCGAGCCATCCATCGGCAGTTGCACACCCTGGAGAGTGTTGTACTCTTGATGGTCCTGTAGTACATGTACATATATTGTATTATATAACTCAATAGGGCTTGAAAGTGCTACGTCACAGCATAGCAACAATTTCAAAAATTCAAAAATTGGATCCACTTGGATCCAGTTTTTGTATGGATCCAAGCACATTTCAAGCCGTCTTACTCACAGCAAGGTGATGTAACCAGTGAAACTGACTGATTTGGCTACTGGGCCATGGGGCGGGGTTACAACTGGTGGCGAAGTAAAAGTCACCCCTGCATACGACATGAGTGGGTTGCTATGCACCCACACACTGAGGCAATAGCAAAGTCACACCTTAGTGGATCCAAAATAGAAATCTGATGTCAACTTACTACTCCCTGGCCGTTTTTGACGTCATCACTTTCAAGCCCAATACTAGTTCAAAACTAGTATTAGATAAACCTTGTTATAGTTCACGCATATTGTTAGTGTTTCATGCTGTCAAGTGTCAATCTAACCATATGTACATACATGCACAGTAACACCTGGTTTAAGCGACCACCCCACGGTGCAAGCAAAAGCGGTCGTTGAAGCCAGGTGGTCTTTGGAACCAGGTCCCATACATTCGTGACATGTCGGATTGTGTACATACATGTGCATGATTGTACTTCCATGTACTCGTATTGACAGGTGTGGAGCATAGAATACTTTCTGCAGCAAAGCACGCCTCACTCAAGTGCATGCAGCGCATCCTGCACTGCATGTTCCTTGTCACTTCTGTTGACTGCATGCACATGAATAAGAGCACACTTCAACCCTGTTGTTGTCAAACATGACAGCCAAGATGGCACTTTTGGCTAGTTTTGGTCGCTGTGTGCAGGTCCAATATGGCACCTGGCACACTAAAAGCCGGTCGCTGGTCACGCAAGGCAGGTGGTCGCTGTATCCAGTGCAGTTTCTGTGTAGAACTGTCCGTGCATGGAAAAACGGTCGTTCAAAGCAGGTGGTCGCTAAACACAGAGGTCGCGTAAATCAGGTTTTACTATATGTGCAGCAGGCATGCCACTTCACCAAGTACAGTTGCGCTCACTGAAATCCGACCCACCGCACAAAACCGGCGCCCTGGACCAGTTCCGATTACATCAGTGTGCTTGTCTGCGCATACGTCCAGTCGCACAGTACATACCACTTCCAGGACGTCAAGGTCCATGCATGTTGAGGGTTCGAATATGCACTTCGGGTCGGACTTCACCCAGCACAACTGCACATGTGCATGTACAGTGCGTATAGGTTATAGTGTGGTCGACTGGTCGTGTAAAAGAATAATTATACTGCCTACAAGAATGAACGCTCGGCATGTTTTCATAATCATATAAACATGGATTTATAGTGAACATGTATTCTTACAAGCAATTTTATCCCATAGTAGAATATATCGGTCCTAAGAATGGACCTTGTGTCGCGAAACATGCCAGATTAGTACAAAGTGTATCGCCTGTAGTAATTACATCTGTCCATTTCCGTTCTGATCTGACTCTCGTTGCGTCGTAGTGCTGCAGATTCAACTGTTGTGGTCATGTAACTCATGTTGCATAGCCACATGGTAAGCCTAGGCTGTGGCCCTATGGGACTATGACCAGCGACATGCACAGAAGTACTGCGTTGCATGTACGATGATCTTCCTGCCCATGCGCACATGCATATGATATGCCACACTTGATTTATCGTGTGTAAGAAATAGCGGAAATAAGAATAGAAAGTCGTTTTTCAAACACCCACGCTATAACCGATACCAAGAGTAGATAAACAAGAGTGTGCAACTCCAGCTATGGGGTCTGCGACGGCAGAACTTCACATCACGTGATGAACCCGTGCACTCTAGTGCATGATAGATACTGGGTTGTACGCAGCCCAGCTTTGGGTACAACTCTCTTGTGGTCACTTTGCACTGTTTGCCAGCATAACCTTTTGAACCATGTCACGTGATGTGAAGTTCTGCCGTCGCAGCACAGCATAGAGGTTGTGCAGGCAGTTGCACACTCTTGGGTTATGTACTCTTGCCGATACCTACTGTATGTGCAAACGGCCACCACGGGTTTATTTGCTGAGGTGGTAGAAAGTAGATGGGTTGAGTGCAGTGCCACTTCCCAGTTGTCTTGGCTGATACTATGTCTGGCTTTCACTGCGACAGAACCTTGCACACTCAGGCAGGGAGGGGTGTGGATTCTCCTCTAAACAACAAGAGCCGGGCGTATGTACACCACATACATAATAATTCTAGTAGTAGCAAACATGGTCTTTCTTTGGGCTCGTTCAGGCTAACGTGAACACACTGCGGTACGGAACAGCGTGTAACTGCCAGTGCAATTCACACCCAGTGCGCAGGCCGCACTAACTTACATACCAGGGGTTGGAGAGATGATCAGTGGGGCAATGTGTCGCAGTTTCACACTGTGCAAATTTCAATTGGCTTCCACCTCCATACAGTCTGCTCCTCATACTCATACAACCCAGGAACTGAGTGAGTCAACACTTGCCAACTGCATCAATGAGATATCGAGAGGTTTCGCACGTTAGTAAAAGCCATGGTCGATCTACGGAAAGTCCTTACGTATACTGCAAGCGGATCTGTGTTACGCCATTGGTTTTTGAACTACATAGCTGCCCATGGCAACTCCGGACGCGAAGGTGCACGAGCCACGGGGAGAGAGTCATCAATTTATCCTCCAATCCACTTACGGAGTGCCTCTGTTAGTGGAGCCCCAAGCACGTACTTTTTTAAAATTTTAAAGAAGACAACTTTCCGCCTTAATGCTTTAATTAATTAAAGTGCAGTGCAAACTCGCAAATTCACGGGTTTTTCCTATCCACGTAAGTAAACTTGCTCAACTTTACGGAACCTCTCTATTGTCCTCTCTGCGGAGCCAGGCAGCATGTCCTCTGGTCGCTTCTTATGCATCAGCTGACTCACCATCCACACACTTCCGCAGACAAAGAAAACCGAAATTCACAACTTTTTTGAAGTTTTTTTTCGAAAGAAGGTCACCGATCCTGGTGTCCAGATCATGCTTTCTGCCGACTACTGACTCGTAACTGACGTTCACCCAAACCACTTCCTTCACAACCTAAACTAGGGTCATTGGGGGACGATCGCACGGTGAACGTTGATCTCCTGAAGCGGAATTCCAACGGCCCTGAAGACAGTGCACGTATGGATGCCACTCACGAGCGACATGCCGATCGTACAGAAATGTGCCAAGTTCTGTTGTCTAGAGATAGAGTATCTGCAATTCTGCTCAGTCCAATGTCATGAATAACGTAGCACCCTGCTGTGCAGACACACAGGCTACACAGCAACCGGCGCAACAAATCGGTTGCAACGAACAGATTTGTAGCCAGGGATCTCTCACCCTCAATGTGCATTGCCGGTTGTGATTCAGTCTCCAGTTAAGTTCTTACTGTTGTGTGTTGTTGTGTGCTGGTGTGTGTGTGTGTGTGTGTGTGTGTGTGTGTGTGTGTGTGTGTGTATGCGTGTGTGTGTGTGTGTGTGTGTGTGTGTGTGTGTGTGTGTGTGTGTGTGTACATGTGTGTGTATGGCTGTGTGTGTGGTGCATGTGTGTGTGTATGTGTGGGTGTGTCACTCACAGTAAGTAGAGCAGCTGTGCTGAGCGAGGCAGCCTTCATCTTGCTGCCGCGGACCTGGACAATTCAGCGTCGACAACATGGTCACCTCGGATATGACCACTCGCGCTGACCCTCGTCCGCCTGAGCGCGGAGGAGTTGCAAATCCCCGCTCAGAGCTTAGCTCGCAGCATGCACCAGCCCCTCGGAGGTTCGTGCTGTCTCTGGGAACCTGGAATGTGAAGACTCTTGTTGAGTCCGACAGCGGCGTGAATACGGCTTCAAGATAAAGAAACAGCCGTTCACGTCCCGCCGGACTCGCAGGGCCTCATGCCGCGTCCCGAAGACAGCACTCCTTCAAGTCGCCCTGTTTGGGGACACATAGCCAATTGTGGCAGTGGGCGAAGGAAGGAAGGTGTGTGTGTGTGTGTGTGTGTGTGTGTGTGTGTGTGTGTGTGTGTGTGTGTGTGTGTGTGTGTGCACGGGTGTGCGCATGCGTGTGTGTGTGTGTGTGTGCGCGCGCGCGTGTGTGTGTATGTTTGTGTGTCCAAGCGACATCCATGCAAGATCAACAGCAAAGTAAGATACGTAATTCTAGGAGTAGTAATTCTAGGAGTCTTCAGAAGCCGGCGCGTTAAATTTCGACTTACGTTTGATGGAGAGCTCGGAGATAACAGTTTGTTTCTCCTCATGGAATGCTTCTACCCGTAGTACATGTACAGTGGGATCCGCCACATAACCTAGCCTGAAGTACCGACGTCAAATCTGACAGCTGCGACATTCTGGCTTCTACTGACTCAGTACTCTCTTCCTGAACCACCCTCACCAGCTTTACTTATGAAAAGTGAGAGTTCATTCTCCTCCACAAAATAAAACCATTGTAGACCATGGTAGACTACTACAAAGCGTGCATGTCTGCATGACCATGAATCATGATGACCTGGCCTGATGACGCTGATCTGAGCGCTGTGTGAAGCTATGGATAGACCACGTGGCTTCTATCTGATTACTTTTCACCGTTGCACGTGCTCTACCCGGATATATACCCTCGCGTATCGTACCGTACCGGTACCATATACCGGTGTCCCGCGCGCACTTAGTACCTGCACCGGTTCCGATATATCTGCGGTTAGCCGCGCGTGCGCGTTTGGCCTTTGGGCGTTGTCGGGTCTTTTGCCTCTTTTCTCTGTTTTGCTACTTTACGTACTTTTACTGGCCTGTTGCTGCTTTTGCAAGGTTTGGATAAATATTTCGAAGACGAAGAGTGCAGTGAAGTAAGTTTGAAGTAAGTTAGTACAGTTTACAAGAGAGCAGTCGCCATGGGTTTGGAAGGTCGCACACTTATGAAGCATGCTGGGACTTCCGCCAGATACAGAAATGTGATCCAGTACACGCTGCATTCCAATGAGCTCAAGATGCTTCGCCGACCCAAGGTAAGAGCAGCCAGAATCCACGCGAGCAGTAAGATATCAGATTACAAAAAAACGAACCTAATTACTATAATGAAGAGCTCGCATGTAGCCCAGGTTTTGCTTCATGAGTTCAACACACCCGTCTGTCACACCAAGCCATAGCTTTCGATTTGTGGCTAAACTGAAGCAGTCTCCCGAGAGGGTCCATCAACAGCAGGTCCTTTTCCAACTGCAGATCTTTCCTCACTAGCTGAACCTATCTGGCTTTGGGGGGGGGGGGGGGGGGGGTGTTGCGTCGGCGAATGAGGCATGGATCTTGGGATTTCTGGACAGCTTCCAGCTGACCAGTAGAGCGTTGAATTCCTTACTGTCATCATGATGGTGAGCACTGCTGGTCACTCTGGGGCTGCTAGTGCTAACGAACTGGTGGGTTTAAAACTGCTGAGCAGCGCCGAGGGCTACGCAACTCGGCGTGCACCGGATGTGTACACAGCGGAGTTGCCGGTGTCTAGCGCAAATGCTCAGCCCACGAAGAGAAGTCGGCGACAATGGTCGCAATGGCCAGCAAACTGCTGTGCTATTCAACCAGGGTCACAGTAGATTCGGTATGTGTGCATGCACAGCAAACACATGCACAGCAAACACATGCACAGCAAACACATGCACAGCAAACACATGCACAGCAAACACATGCACAGCAAACACATGCACAGCAAACACATGCACAGCAAAACTAACCAGAGTGGCAATAGACCCCGGTGTGTGTACATGTGCATTTACGGTGCTGCTCGATGATACCCAATGGCATTAGTCGATTTTGCGACCTGCGCCAGCTCACTTCCGTGTGCTTGCAGGTGTAGGGCTGTAGGCATGTGGGGCTGCACTACGCCCGGAGTGGCACATGCTCACGCGATCGGATTTCATCGAGCAGCACCGTAGAACAGGTGGCCACGTCGACTGTATACAAAAAACATGGTACAGTCAGACCTCGCTTAACCGCACACATCTGTTTTCCACAAAAAAATCCGGATAGGCGAGGGAACCGGATAACCGAACACCAGTTATGTTGGATGCATCACGTATGCTGTAAATATGTAACCAGCTATTTCCTTCCGGATGGCGAGGGATCCGGATAAAAGAGGACCGGATAAGCGAGGTCTGACTGTATTAGATTAATCTTCTTTTGGTGAAACATTACTATTATTATTTATTCATATTGTAATAGGGCAGTCCACATGTTGGTGGTTGACAGCATGTCACAAGATGGAGACCACCGTGTTCGGAAACATTGATCTTACTACAACCTCACGTGTACACGGCTGACGGTACAACGGCAAGAAAAACTAAGACAACTCCCTAGAAATTAAAGATGGTCAGAACCGGGTCTAACACCCGTGCGGTTCAGATGGTCATGAAGACCGGGACTCTACCAACCACGTGAGGTTGTAGTAAGATCACTGTTTCCGAACACGGTGGTCTCCACCTTGTCACATGCTGTCAACCAACAACAAAACATGTACCCGGCTATGGTATTGCCAAGGCGTTTCTATAATTTCGAATAACACGCATGATGACCTTAGTCCTAAGTAAGGAAAGCATAGCGAGGGCACTGGGCTTTCAAGCCCTCTCGTTCATTTAGCTCACAAACATCGAGTACATGTACATACATGTTTTTCTACAACCATAACCCGGTTGGCAGAGTCCCGGTCTTGCGACCATTTGAACCGTATTGGGAAAACCCAGGAGTCGTAAAATACCTCCCTGGCTTCAATCAGGGAGTCGTAGTAATTATTTTAATATTTTTACGACTCCCCGTCCGGGTACGTCCGGACGTCCCCGATCCCTGGCTTCAATAATGCAATGGTATGGCAAGAAAATTTGAATTTTCAAATCGTCAGAACACGAGTAGGCCATGGTTTCCCCTGGATTTTGGAGACTAGTCAGCTCGACTTCTACAACACAAAAAACGAAAATTAAAAAAATCCTACCAACCCGTAGAGTAACGAGGGTCCGAACCTGGGTTTTCCCAATACGGTTCAAATGGTCGCAAGACCGGGACTCTGCCAACCGGGTTATGGTTGTAGTCAGGAGCACTACGCGTCCTCGCCTTGTAACATGCTGTCAAAATCGAAAAACATGTTAAACTACCAAGCAAGGCTTCTGTATATACCATGTACATACATGTACGTAACTCAAAACTCTAACTCAAAAGTCTTAACTCCCATACAGGTGCATTCTACCAAGTAGAGTGCTGGCCAGAGAAATCCAACCTCGTGAATAAAAATTCGCCGGGCGCTGCGCAGCCCCAGCACTACACACACTGGTCTGTGCACCCTAAAGGCCGATTCATACTTCATTTCGCGTACGGGAAAGCCATCGCGCGACGGTCGCGCGATGGCTTTCCCGTACGCAAAATAGTTGAGCTTAGATCAACTTTTTCGCGGCGCTACTTTATTCATGAGGTTGCATTTCTTTGGCCAGCACTGTAGTTCTATTATGCTTAGGTGTTACCTTCTTTTCTTTTCCCCGCATATACTAGTAGCATGGGATTTGAACCCGTACTAACACCCTGCATGCATTCCTTTGATGCACATTCTACCAAGTTGCTTCACGTTAGGATCCTGCCGTTGAAAGCCCTATTTGAATATGTGGCCAGCTACAATGTAGCTCTCTTTGACGACACACTACGTGGCATGTACAGTACGGGATAGCGCGCCAGGCATGGCGCGTCACGTGATGATGCCCCTCCGATGCACGGATGCGAAATAAAGCGGTGTGGACCCTGGCTAGCGTCAGGCACTACTATCAAAGTAACGTCTTTTGCATAGCATTAATGCATTCACCAAATTTTCGGGCATGGCCTATCGTCAGGGTGAAACAATCAACTAATGACAACAAAAACTGAGACAAAGTAATTGGGTGGATACACTCATTCCCAAAGCACTGCAAACCGAACCAATTCTTTTACGCACAACGTTTCGGCAATATTGCCACCGTCAGGTACGAATAAAACAATGACGCGTGCAGGCCACTGAACTGAAACATAGTAGATATTATGCTGTAGATATGCTGACTGGCGTTGTAGGACAGTGATGAGAAGAGTGTGTGTGTGTGGGGGGGGGGGGGGGGGGCGCCAGAAATGTGTGTATGTGTGGAGGGTGGCTGCAATGGTGAAAGGTGTCTTTTTGCATAGCTGCGGGAATAAACTTCTTTTCGCTCTGTGTGTGTGTGTGTTATGTGTGGGTGTTAGGGTTTCTTCCCAGCTCTATGGAAGAGAGCGGCGTGGCCCACTGCAATGGCAACCCTTTCCACGGTTGCTTTTTTCACATTCCGCCACGTGACGGATGTAAGTATACGCGTTTCAAAATTATGTGTTTGTCGTATACTAGTGGAGATGCTTATTTCAAAATCCAAAGAAGCGAAGAGATTAAATAAGGGCTCCGTCTGTGAAATTTGAAAAGTAGATTAAATCAGATACAGATTGACTCCCTTTAATTCGAACGTCATATTGCCAGGCCCCAACTTCGAATTATCAGGAACTTTTAATTATCCGAATGCAGCCCCATGCACTGATATGTGTGTCGAAATGATCGAAATCGCATGCTGATTATGTTGGCACATTTTATTTGCATCAACGAAACATAGGTGGTCATGAACAGCCAGGTTGTATCATCAAAACACCCGAGCGACACAAAAAGTTATTTTTGACATCATCTTCATCTTTTAGTGAAGACGTCAGTCACTGCATCTGTCCAGGCACAATTTCAACGGAAAAGAACAGCGCTGCCTAATCCGCGTCATGAAAGGCCATAGGACAGCAGCACGTCATTCTGAAAGTTTAAAAAAGTTTCATTTCGAGATCGGCCGAAGTTTCGAGATCGGCCGAAATTAAATGTTGTTGATTTACAGTAGCGTGAACGTGCCCTTAGGGCGGGTGCTTTATGTTCCGAAAGCAGCAGATTGTGTGACCATGATGGCATACGGTGATTCGATAGCTGCATGGTTGATGATTGTCCGTTCTAAAACTCTTCAAAAATAACGACTTGTCGGCAGTCGTACGTTGCGACGCAAGTCTAGGCAGACGGCAGGGAATCAGCATGCATCAGGCCCACCCGCAAGCACAGTGAAGCTGAGTCCGTCGGCCATGCTCTGCCTCAATTCCAAGCTGATTTCTTTACTTCGAGTGGACAAACAAATATTTGAAAAAAATCTCTCTGGGAAGCGACAATTGTAATGACGCGGAGGAAGTACAAATATACATTGTGTTCGTGCACAAGTATATATTCTGCACCACATGGCATGCCAGTGGTCCAATCAAGGGAGAAGAGAAACGTATTTTGAACGTTGTCCATTTTATATTTCTATGGCTTTATATACCGTATGTCCGCACCTTTAAAGCCATGGATGTATACTCGATTATAAAGCCAGTCTCAGTTAGACTGTACTCACACTACTTGAAAGTTTGACGCGAATGTCGCGTTCAAAACTAGACAAAAGTACTTGAAAAAGCCTTTCCAAGCACACTGCACTCCAGTGACGACTTGAAACATTTTTGTCAGCAAATTACCATGGAGAAACATGATTGTCATGTGGTAGTTTTGCAAATCCCGAGGCTGCGTTCCTTCAATTTTTTAGCGCTCGATCAACTTATTTGAAATTTTCAGTTCATGAGAAAAATAGAAACAGTTATATCTTGCTTGGATCGTGGAGTTCATTCGCCATGCCTCGCGAAGAAGTAGCACATCGTCGACGTCGACGGATGAAGAGGTTTCTCTCCACAGCTCGATGAGCTTCTTCTCCAAGTCGTCAGAAAACACTACGCGAGGCATGATGTTGGTACAAAAGCAATGGTACAAAAGAAATGCGACAGAAACGGCAATCAAAACAACGGGAAGCTACTGGAAGAAAGAAGACGGAAAATACTCGGAAAAAAAACACCACAGAATTCAGAAATGACAGGCAAAAAAGGAAACTACAAGTATATGTACAGGAGCAGTACGACCACGAGGAAACAAAGCATGAAAAATATTCTGGAGCCTTTCAACGTACAATAGTACTCCGGCCTCCTGACCTCACACAGCTTTCCAAACGGCTTGAAAGCAAAAAAACCTCGTAGAAGAGGGTTCCGTTTCCGCTGAAACCTTTCAAGCGGCTTTCAAGGGCTTTTTTCATTTTCGCAACCGTCACCGTGGCAACATTCACACGTAAGTCACTTGTATGCGGTTTTTCAAGTAGTGTGAGTACAGCCTTATAAAGCCATGGGCTTCATAAATGAAATAACATTTGAAGTAGGTTTTGTAAAAATGAAGGAATAAGTACAACACTAACAAACTTACAGCCCAGCAGGAAGCGCGAACAAGTGGATTTACAATGTAGCTTGAAATTTCTGTGTGGACTTTGACTTTTATGGCATGGCGTAGTGGGTAGGTTTTATATCTAAAATAGCTGGGAAACCAGCGGTGTTTCGAATATAAGACCATGGCTTTAAAGGCGCTGACATACGGTAGGAAAAGGTGTTTGCTCCCCACACCGGAGCTCGTGCTTTTCCGTCGAATTGACTTCACACTTGACTTGCTCGCGACTGCCATCCAGAACACACGAGAAGTCCATTGAACCTTTGACCCGGCAAACCTGGAAGAAAGCACCACTCCCTGCTCAATACACAGTATTTTGAGGAATTCATTCCTCATCAGTTGAGTTTGAGTAGGCTGGGGGCTTTATACAATCAAACATAATGTTATGGCTCTACAGGCGCGGCCATGATGAGTAATTTCTTCCCTTTTCCCGCTGGATGAGCGAGCTCTGTCCCAGCTCTTCTCAGGCATGGCAATCTGCTCATTTCTGCAGAGTTCTAGTAAAAATTGTGTGCATTGAGAATTGCTAATAACACTGGATTGTATCTCTCTCTTTCTGTCTGTATTTGCATCTCTGTCTTTTCTCTCTCTCTCTCTCTCTCTCTCTCTCTCTCTCTCTCTCTCTCTCTCTCTCTCTCTCTCTCTCTCTCTCTCTCTCTCTCTCTCTCTCTCTTGCTGCTGCTGCTGCTGCTGCTGCTTACTTTGATTTGCTCCTTCAGACCGACTACCGCCGACGTCAGAGGAAGGCCTTCACTGAACTCGAACATGAATAACATGTCACAAATGCCAGGTTTTCTGTCTAGTTTTCAATTCAATACAAGTCCATAGCCCCGCATTCTTCCTGGAGATCTTTTAGAACAATGACATTTTAGCAAACCTGCTGTGTGTATCCTTGGTGGCTGCGTGTACCGTTGCGGACATTGAAATCCAGAGGAGTACACATTGCTTGACCCTCTGGCTTCACCGTCAGTGTACCTAACAGTACCTACATGTACTTACTGTATGCCTGCGGCTTCAACCCGAATATTAACCCATTTTTACCCCTTCTTTTGCAATGCATGGGGTGTCCAGAATAAGAAAATCAATCATTTAGGATAGGGGTGAAACAACTGAGTCGATAAGTCGACTGGCCAGTCGATAGGAGAAAATCCCTTTTCAACTCACATGAGTAAATCCCCCGAGGTACATATTCATGCAGGATGAAACAGTTCTGTCCGCAGATTAGACATCCTTTAATTAATAGCAAAAGTACGATAACGCTAACTTTTACGGTACTCACTCCCAGCCGTGACAAAAGACGTTATCGGATAACGGAAAAACGTTACAGAGCTCAAAATAACGGGCCAACGTTCGTTATGGTAATTCTGCAAAAAAATGCAAAAACTCGCATTGTTTTGTAACTGGCGGGAGATAAAAAGCACGTGCAGATCGAGATGAGAGTCGAGATTGCTTCCTCTTGTGACATTCAGCTTTTTTGGCGAGTTTTGCCTTTCAGTTGACAATGTCTGTGTCCTCCTGACAATGTCTGTGTCCTCTGCTTCGTGCCGTTCTCCCTCTATCCCATCTCGTGATCTGGGAAACAAAGGACCAGTTCCACGGCACTCCTGAGGAAGAAATTCATCGGCTGGAGCTGGAGAACCCTTACAGTCTTCGGTGCTGCGTTTAGGAAAGGTTTTCCAAGTACCTGGGAACAGCGAAAATGAGTTTTCGCTGTTTTGCTATTCCAGAGTAAAAGACCTCGCCAAGGTATTCTTTCGGAACGACGGCAAACTAATCCCTGGTTCAAAATTTCCCGCACCTGTTTCCATGAAAATTCATATCGCCATGGTTGTCACGACTACTTCGTCTCAACTATAACGTACATTGTGCTAAGGGAAAAGTCAGCCTGAACGATCCGAAGTACGAAAAGGTTTGCATTTACGTTGGCGTTTTTTTAGCTAAGGATATCTATTGAGTATTCAGGTACTAGTACAGTAGTCGCGCGCCCAAGAACGTTGTTTCGAAGGGGTTAGCCTGGGACGTTCTTATTTCTTCAGCAATCTGGCTGGGTTCTTATAGCACGTTCTTAGAAACAGTGCGTACGCGTACTGGACCATATGTACCCCACAAGCTGCCAGAAAACCTACACCGCCGTTCTTAGCTTTACCGTTTACGCCAGGGAGTAGTACAATACCTGGTATTGTACTACTCCCTGCTTTAGGCGGTGGCTACATGTACAGTAGAGTCGCGCGCTGAAAACGTGGAGCCCAAGAACGTCCAGCCTAAAGCTAAGAACGGCGGTGTTGGTTTTCTGGCAGCTTGTGGGATACAATCATATCATCCAGTACGCACTGTTTCTAAGAACGTGCTATAAGAACGCAGCCAGATTGCTGAAAAAGTAAGAACGTCCCAAGCTAACCCCTTGGAAACAACGTTCTTGGGCGCGCGACTCTACTGTAAGTGCACTTGTTCGGCAACTTCAGGTCATGTACTCTGAAGTACACTTGCCACATGAGTTAAAGGGGAAGTTAAGGCAAAAATTAAAATTTCACCAGTTGTAGTCTCCGGGGTGCTGAGTCGAATGGTCTTGGTCCGAGAAAGCTGAGACGCTCCCTTCCTACTTGAATCCCAATCGAACTCGCGCACTTCCACCGAAACTGGGTGACTGCGCCCTACGAGATGGGGATTTGTATGCAAAATGTCACTAAAAGCGCCATTTCGTTCTTATAAAAGCACGGATGACCGCGATTGGCCCATATGTTGTAGTCTTTTGGACGCTGAGTCGACTGGTTTTGGTCCGAAAAGGCTGCGATGCAGCGTTCGCCCCTAATTCCCAATCGAACATGGTTGAACAAGCGGTCACGTGCTCCTGCGTACACCAGTCACCTGGTCACCGTGCCTGCAGGGCACAACTTACAGCCTGTTTTGACCTTTTTTGGGTGCAGTCCTGTCACTCGAGTTGAACCTTGGTGTGAAAGTTGTCGCCTGCTGGCGTGGTGACCAGGTGATTTTGGCACCCAGGAGCACGTGACCGCTTCTTCAACCATGTTCGATTGGGAATAAAGGAGGAACGCTGCATCGCAGCCTTTTCGGACCAAAACCAGTCGACTCAGCGTCCAAAAGACTACAACATATGGGCCAATCGCGGTCATCCGTGCTTTTATAAGAACGAAATGGCGCTTTTAGTGACATTTTGTATACAAATCCCCATCTCGTAGGGCGCAGTCACCCAGTTTCGGTGGAAGTGCGCGAGTTCGATTGGGATTCAAGTAGGAAGGGAGCGTCTCAGCTTTCTCGGACCAAGACCATTCGACTCAGCACCCCGAAGACTACAACTGGTGAAATTTTAATTTTTGCCTTAACTTCCCCTTTAATTTCACTTTCACCCACAGCCGGGTGCGAGAACGATGCAGAGCTCGCACGACACGGGTCTGCTTGAAAAGTTTAAGCAATTTGTTTCTGTTGCTTGTGCGAATATGCAGGCGTATACTGCATTGTATCACGAGTACATAACCCCGAGAGTGTGCAACTCTCTGTCCCTCCAGGAAATCGCGATTCCACGGATGCAACAAATTTCGCGATTTTGGCCCAAACCCGCGATTTTCAGCAAAATCCGCGATTTCCCGCGTTTTTTGTTGTTTTCTGCACTATATCTCACATGTTTCATGCACTTTTCACACAGTGCTTTCCATGATCCTGTAGGTTATTTGCACAGTATGACTAGTACTACTCCGGAGTTGATATACGATGCAACAAATTTCGTGATTTGGCCCAAATCCGCAATTTTCTGCAAATAATTCCGCGAATTCCTGGCAAGTTCTGCATCATTCCGCACTTTTCGTCGCATTTTTTGTTGTTTTCTGCCGCAATTTCTTGCGCAAGTTTTCGAGAGTTTTTTCCGCAAATTCCCGCAGGGACAGAACTCTCCAGGCTCCAGGTTGCTTTGCGCGGTGCGCTCCCTTCTCCTTACGTAGCCTGCGATTTAGTCTCAACGATTTCTCGTGCCATCGCACTACGGTACGAAGCGCTAACCGGTGCAATGGCCCACAGTTCGTGGCCCCGCACTTGGGCAGTGCGCCGTGCCAGACCCCACACGCAGAGGTGCACACGCTTGGGGTTATGTACTTTTGATTGTACTCGTATTATGTTAAACTCGGATGTTGCGCCAATAATAAAATCTAGGGGAAAGGAACATATCATCGGGTTACGAGTTTACAGTGCGTTTCAAAAATATAGACGCATGATTTCGAAAAACCGTTAGGCCAGCATCTATACCACATAAAATCTGTGATCACCTTGTGCATAAAAATTTGGAAATTGGGTATTTGCTATCCGATCGCCTAGAAATCTATATGAGATTAATTGCAGGAAGGGCCTGAGCAATATTCCGAAAAAAAAGAACTCGAAAAGCTCCAGCCGAAATTGAAATACATGTATTTCAAAAATACCATGTGTCTATATTTTTGAAATGGACTGTAGAGTAACTGTCCACCACTGTAACTGGATACAACTATACAGTCAGAAAGTGCAACAACTACAATTGTAGGCACAAAACTGACAGAGTACTGAGGCGTTCGACGACCAGTCAGTTTTGTGCCTATTTGTTGCACTCAGGGAGTCGTAAAATACCGGTATTTTACGACTCCCTGGTTGCACTTTCTGACTGTATAATTATACCGGTAGTATCAAGAGTACATAATTAAACCGTGGGGTTATGTACTCTTGATCTAGCTACAGTGGTGGACAGTTATTCTTATCTCGTAACCATAATTATGTTCCTTTCCCTAGATTGTGTATGTGTATTGGTAATATTATGCTATGTTTGTTCTCATGCATGAGGGCAATGCCTATTGATAAGCAGTCGATAGCATTGGACCTAGTGGATAAGAAATTTAGGTCAGTTGTTTCACCCCGGATATATTTTATGGTTGCGTTTGGTTGGGCGCGTTACACATGTACACAGTAGGAATCACTGGGAATAATTCTTGCTCGTTTGTTTGGTCACGAAATTCCAATTGGCAGGTCCCATTCCAGCATCGGAATCACTAGGGATTGTTGAGAATGATTCTTTTTTGGAGAGTGATCATTTCACCTCGCATGGTGGACTGAGCATTCTCATTCCTGGATCGAAAGGGATAATGGCTGCCACGATTTACTTGTCACTTGGCGCAGTGACAAACAGTGCAGCAACTTGTTGAAGTCCCTCAAATCGCACACTCAGAAGTACCTTAACTCTCCTCCCCCCCCCCCCCCCCCCCCCAGGTTAGGGTCCAGCGGATAATGCCGGCATTATACGACTATCCGAGCATCAGAGCATTATGGAGCATTAGAAAGGAAGAAAACGAGCATTATGTGAGGTTTGAGCGGCATGACGAGTTTCATAGTGGATAATATCGGGAAATCCCAGGTTTTTGGCAACAATCGGCTACAATCATGATCATGATATTATGTTGTCTGATGATTGGTTTTTGTCCTGAAACTCTGAGTAACAACGAAACAGCCCTATTTTACTCCTTTTGTGTACCTCTTGCGTACTACGCTCCGCCCAGTCCGGGCGTTTGAGCACTATGCATTGTACGAGGTGATTCGTAATTTTTTAACATTGAGTCATTTCTTAACAAATCGGTAAAATATCTCATTGCAAGCACCTGCAAAAGGTCACGTCAAATTTCTTTTTGCCATTGCCATTGCCAATGTTCTGTCAAGTTCGCCTCCAAAATTGAGACTGATATTCCTTCAGGAAGTGACATTGCAAGAGCTTTCAGTCTGCACGTGCGCGATGTTTACGGTAAAATAGAGTATAAGAGAGTCATAGCCGCTGGTTTCAACCTCGAGTGACAACATATTTAGCTGAATAGGAAGCATATGATAGCTACATACTGGAAACGACGCCTGGGAAGGAGGAATGTCGGTGTGTTGGCCCTAGTAATGGCCAAACATTGGCAATCACTGAATTTGCTAACAGATGTTGATCACAATTACACATGAAATCAGGGTGATACACCTATTGCTATGTAAGCTTGAATGGCTTGTATTTGGATGAACATGATCTTGATCCAGTCTTGCTGGACCATCCTGAAGACGTAGGGTCTCCTTCTATTGAAAACTGACTTGAAATTGTGCTGCTAAGGCCTATTTTACCACGATGTTAAGAAATGACCACAACAAATAATATGCGGAAAAATTGCCATTTTTCAACTGCCACCTGCTTCCCAACACCAAGGATTATGTGAATGAGAATCCCAACATTGCAATCCAAGGACATCAGTATTACATTTTTAGAGGATGAAATGGAAAGATTCACACCTCGAACCCTAAGGAAGGCTTTTTTACTTTCGTGTTAAATAATGACGAATCACCTCGTACTGGCGCATGACTTTGTGCTTGTGTAGACACGTAACACCTTTAGCACTAACGCTACATAACTATTGCTACATAAAACGTTATGATTGTAGCGATGTGGTCAGGTAAATGCATACAAGCCATTTGTGAAGCATGCCCCAACCGAGGCAGTTCAAGTGACACAAATCCGGAGAAAATATTTACGAGGTTTCTTTTACTTTTAGAATAATGGAGAGCTACGGAGGAGACATACGCGAAGTGAATATCAAACAGACGAAGAAGAGTTTTCTAGTTGTGCGAGAGGCTCTGGCGATAGCACCTCTAGCGATACTGAAGTAGACACTGATGCATTGCTAAATTTGGACCAGGATGAAGGAGCGGCTATAAACAGAAAGAGCTTGTTCCAAAAGAACTGCCTTTGCCGAGTCCAGCTCAGGAGGCTCGAAAAGAACTAGAATTTGTCATGGACTCAGTACCAAGTCGATTGATCAGCAGCGCCTGTCTTACTTTCCTGATGAAGCACGTACAGTTAGTTGTGGACGGTTGTAATGCCAGGCCTACAGTCAAATGCTATCAAAAAGGAAGAGTTTTGTGGCAAGCCATACGTCTACACACGATCTCAAGGAGAAGATGAGAGCACAAGCAAAGGATGTAGAGTGGCAAAATAACTTCTGACCACGTGTTTTCAGGATTTCCGCAAATGGGAGGGCTCTCCATCTGAGACCGGATCTCAGGAGCTGGCCTCACGTCTGGTGTTTCAGATGAAGACATTATTCACAGAGTGGATGCAGTGACAGCTTGTCTGTAGGCAGGAATACTATTTGCCCAGATAAACTTCATCCCAACAATGAATGACTACCTGCAATAATGGTTTCATCTCTCACGACATGGATAATTAGGGGAAAGATTTGATACACTGACTATTCTGCCACAACCCTGCATCAAACTTGGAATGGAGAGCAATCAATGGAGAAGCGATCATATCTTATAGTGCCAAGAAGTAGTGGAGCTCGTGAGAGATAAGGTGGCAACTTCAGATGCAGATCGACGAGATGCGTAATTTTCTGGAAGTTTGACAATGTGCAGACTTTCTTCCATTTTTGTCCCAAACCAAGAGCATTATACCCCTTGCTGAAGCATTATAATCAGCATTATAAGGCAGTTTTTGGAGCATTATAGTTAGCATTATACGAACATTTTCGGAGCATTATCCGCTGGACCCTACCCCAGGTTCTTTAAAAAGAACCGGGGGGGGGGGGGGAGGAGAGAAGGAGCCACCGTTGGTCAGTAATTCCCAATTCTCTGGGGATTGCCCTGTCAAAAAATTAATAATAATAAATAATTCATTCTGGCGCGTTTGTTTGGTGAGGTGATTGTCACCCATTCCCATTCCAGAATGGTTGTCATTTACATTCTGAAATCAGTGCCCAACCAAACGCAGTCGCAGGGCATTCATTTGGGCGCTTTGGATGGGTTATGGCTGCTCAAAGTCACCCAAACATGGCGATCTTTCAGAAAGAGACCGGTTTGCATTGATAGCAGTATATGCCTTCCAGTCAGCCTTCATCTGTTGTCGCTAGCATTCATTTTCAATGATGGCAGCAAGCCAGGGTAGATTAACATGTATGAGCAGAAATACACTGGTTGAAAGTACGGCCTTCTGTGTGGGGAGACGGGCACTATTCTGATCCAAGAGAGGTTGTTGTTGTTGTTACTTTATTTTACTTCACCAGAATTACAGGCAGTAGAATGCCAAGTTCTCACTAGACCAGGTCTAGTTCTCACAAATGATGAAGAATGTGAATGAACACGCTAAAGCTAATGAAAAACTAGAAATAGAAAAAGAGGAGAAAAACTTGTGTGTGAGGTAAGGGTACTTGTTTTCAATGCTGGCACATCTACGTCACCCACCACAATATATGGAGGAAAAAACATTAACTATCAACAGAAACTACAAGAAGAATTGCGATTTGTTCCCGAATCCACCAGGGCAAATGCAAGGAGAAGAACTTTAGCAAAACAACACCAGATGTACACATCCGCTTGGTTTCAAGCCCAGGGAGGGGGCACTATTCAAGAGAGCGCTCTAATCGCGCGAGTATGGCATTCAATTGGTAGGATCCAGATCTAGATCAACCGGATTCGCACCCTTTCACAGCAGATTTTTTCCGAATTCAATTTGGATCCGGCCAGGGAGTCGAAGTTTTCGAAAGTATACTGTAGTGTCTTGTATTAAAGCCTGTCGTGAATAGAAGCCTGATTGAGAAAGAGAGACAGACAGACAGACAGACAGACAGACAGACAGACAGACAGACAGACAGACAGACAGACAGACAGACAGACAGACAGACAGACAGACAGACAGACAGACAGACAGACAGACAGACAGAGACAGACAGAGACAGACAGAGACAGACATAGAGAGAGGGAGAGAGAGGGAGAGAGAGGGAGAGAGAGAGAGGGAGAGAGAGGGAGGGAGGGAGGGAGGGAGGGAGGGAGGGAGGGAGGGAGGGAGAGAGAGAGAGAGAGAGAGAGAGAGAGAGGGAGGGAGGGGGGGGGGAGGAGAGAAAGAGCGAGAGGGAGCTACTCACTGTACTCAGACTCAGAGCGCAGCATGTAGTGTCCAAGTACTAGGTGTCTGTAGATCGACCGTGCACTACATACATGTAAAGTGGAGATTGGATATAACGACACTACTTCCGGAGAAAACAAAATAATATCGCTATTATAAAGTATAATTAATACCGGTATGTGACACAGATATGTCCCATGCATGCCACTCCGCCTGATACAAGAGGAAAGTCTCGTTATATTCGATGCATTTTCAGGTGTTCGGGCACCAAAAAGTGTCATTACGATCTGTCGTTATTTTCGAGGTCGTTATACCCGATCTACATGTATAATGTACAGAAAGGACTTAGTAAACGACGTGGCCATTACATTGGGCAACAGAGTTGTGTCCCTAAACTCTTTCGTCGATACACATGAACATGTACAATCATGTACATGTATATCCAATCTGCACTACGAGCCTCGTAGTAATGATTGTAGTATTATAAGTACATGTGAACATGCATGGTGAAGGGCTAGACGCGATAAACACCAAACCGGAGCTTTTGTGTTTTTTGTCACGAAAGAAATCGTTTTCAAGGCACCCCACGGACGTCTATGTGTCGGTTTTGCGGGTCAAAACGCCATACATCCCAGTCAAAATGATGCCTGAAGTTTGTTTTCTTCTGGAAAACGCGATAAAAGTTATTGTCATGATGCATATGCTGGATCATGGAGTGTAGACCGAAAACGAACAAATGAAAAAATGCCGTTCCTGAAATTTCCACAAAACGTCAAAAGCCTATTCATGTATTGTACAGTTGTACACACACTCACAGACACAGTACACAATGGTAGACTACATGACTTGTGTACTGGATTTCAGTGAGCAGCAGTGTAGTCTGCACATGTATGTCAGTATGATGTAGCGTGCCTAAGTACCACTACATGCCAGTGCCCCAGTGGACGTCATCATTTTGATGGAGCTGTCTCAGTCTGTTTTGTATCTGCCTCCATATCACCTCTGATCATGATGCAAACGCAAGTGACTTTTTGCTGGGACGACACGTAAAACGTTTTGCGACTGGAGAAGTAACACAAGAGTCCTCGGAGAGAGGAAGCAGTGCACCTACTGCTCTGTGTTTGGCGGCCGTTGGCGCAATATCGCCTTTCGTGTTTGCTGCTTGCGCGTGCAGAAAGCCTGGACGTGAACAGCAGCGGGAATGCAGCGTTACGACCAATACCCGTAAGTCAGCTCTTGTCCAGGAGGTTTGCTGCTGCTGCTGCTGCTGCTGCTGCTACTGTGCACTTATGCATACCCGAGCAGAACTTGGACGCGAAGTGCAACGGGACCAAGTCCTGCTTGTGCCATTCGTTAGTGGCGTTCTCTCTCTCGCTTGTAGAGTGTGGTGCAGGACCAGATGAGCTGTTGGCGGAGCGCCGACTAGCCTCCTGGTGAACCCCTGCATGACGATGTGATTTGTCTGTGTACGTGCGCGGTGGCGGCGGTGTTCCTGTGCTCCTGTAGGTGGTATCATGGTAAATTGGATCGGCAACGCGCTGAGGATGTGCTTCGCAATAAGCGCACTGGAACGTATCTAGTGCGAGACAGCAGCACAATACCAGGCGACTACGTCCTTTCTGTCAGGTGAGGTAGTAAGTCTGGGGAACAGTGTCGCTCCAGCTCCGATCCCCAACACTACTCACTTGCGCTCGCGCTGCCTGGCAAGCAAACGAATTTCTCGAAAAAAAATGTGATCGTGGTGCGTGTTGTGTGCTCTGTACCAGCTGTGGCAATGTCCCGTGCTTGCGGAATGTTTGAAAGCACTTTTGCTGCTGGCGATGAGTGCTTCATCATCCGCCGGTGCTGTGCAAAGTTCGGAGATTCAGCTCTGGGTATATTGTAGTTGTGACTTGTCAGACATCATGTTCGTTAGGTGCAGATGAACGTAAAGTAACAGTTTGCTTTCACGGCGATCATGATAAAGCAGCATCGCGGTGGGTATTGTCGGACTGGAGACTTATAAACTGCGATCGTCTGAAAAAGCCGTTTTCCTCGTTTGATTTGATTTCATGTGCACGATAACAGCCGGGTTTGTTGTCGCTCTGACGACGCGTGGAGCGTCAGACTTGTTGTGCGTCCGCTTACGATTACGACGTGCCTATGTTTAGCGTTCGTAGACTTGAGATTGGGCCCTTGTGGGTGCGCCCAGTGTTGGCCGTTGCTGGCGATTGATCGATGACGCTGAGGAATTGAAATATTATTGACCTCTCCGCGGCTGGTAAAACATGGTGCTAGTAGTAGTATTCTCCGGAGCTCGCACCCATCGCAGCGAGGGTCATCATTGGCTGCATTAAAATTGATGTTGGTGTGTTTGAAGGAGTTTCATACTAATATTATTACTATTGACTACTAGGGATCTCAATAGTATGGGCTATTGTTTTAGAAAAGATGCGTGTCGAAGCATGATGTGCGTGTACAATAAATTCGCAAATTTCGGAAGTAATAATGTGAACTTCTCGATTACAATGAACTCGGATGGAGAGACAAGGATAAATTTGTAGGAAAGAAAAAGGACGAAGGAACTACAAGTTACGCTATAATGTCCACTAACACCACCAGTTACTAAGCATGAGCTGATTGTTTAGTAACTGGTGGTGTTAGTGGACATTATAGCCTAACTTGTAGTTCCTTGGTCCTTTTTCTTTTCTATAAATTCTCGATTATAGACTAACAATCTTGAGAACGTTGGTGTTCCTGGCGGACCGTTGGTCATAACCTTGAGCTGAGGATTCGGGAGTCGGGACCGGCACCGGGAGTACAGCTCGCTCGATTCTACAGAGTGACGATGACTCGTACCTTGATCTGGTGAGCTGTGTCATGGGAATTTTGCAGTCAGATGTGCAACTCTTTGACTACGAAATGATTCCCGTGACGCATCTCGCCAGATCGAGGTGTGTGTGTGTGTGTGTGTGTGTGTGCGTGTGTGTGTGTGTGTGTGTGCGCGTGCGTGCATGCGTGTGTGTCATATCGGACGAGCACAGACCTTGTGGTTGCCAGTGTTCCGATCATGACGAAAACCTGTGCTTGTGTGAAGACTTTCACTTGGTCATGATTTGTTAGCAAGTACCGGTACATGATTCACATGATATTCACAACTTCACTGGGCAGTCGTGTTGGAGCGTGTAGAATGCTAATCCACATTTTGGAAGTTGAATGCAACGATGTCAAACTCAACGCAATGCGAAACGCTGTTTGTATGGAAGTATAATGGAACCCTCCGGCAGTCTGTACAACGCCTGGAAAAGGGCAATGTGTTTGCAACACCTGGATCATCTTGTACAGCTACACGACTGAGTGCTGGCAGCGAATTTCTCCAGATCTGCACGCACCGGCTGCCTGGCACTGATACGAGTCACTGACTTGTTAGTGAGCCTGGATGCCACCGGGCACGGATGGGGGTCACTGTCTTGGTCATGAGCCTGGGTGTCACTGGGGCACGGATGTGGGAAACTGTATTAGTGATGAGCCCGGATGTCGCTGGGGCACGGAGGCTGTACTTCAGTTCAGACAACTAATCTCAGCACTAACACTCTCATAATCAGGGCTGACATCCTCCTCACCATGCCAACGGCATTTACTCCTGCAGGGGTACTAGATTGGAAGCCACCCCATGGGCGTTCCCAAAAGTGGTACAACCGAAGGTAGGCAAGTGGAAAGAGGGGTCCGAGGACCCCTTCCTCGGAAAAGAATTTGAAATTTTGGGCTCACGAGGGCTATCTGGGGGCCTCACAATCACTTTAGGACAGTTTCCACAACGGATAGAAACACATCCTCCCGCAGTTTAAAAGTTGTGAAGTTTTGTGCGAGTCTGAAAATCCTTGAATTTTTTCATTGCTTTTTTGGATGAATTGGGTGGACCATCCTGGATGAAAAAGTGGTATGACCATGGTCACACTGGTCGTAGCGTGTGTGACATCCCTGCACCCCCGCTACACTGTACTCTTGGCCTAGCCCAACAGCTTACATGCCACGATGGCGCAACCGTTGGAGTATCTAGGTAGTAGTAATGGATCACATCCCAAAGCAGACTACTGTACAGGCGGAAAATTTCGTCGGTCAATAATTTCGTCTAACTCCAAAGAAAGGGAGTTCGTCCGGCTGTAAATTTCGTCCATGGATCACAAGAGTGTATTGAAAAGCTGGCCAAATCGACATTAGTCCGGCATTTAATTTAGTCCAAAAGCTCCTTGGACGAAAAAGACGAAATTGAATTCCAGACGAATATTTCTGCTTATACAGTATGACATAACTTACACCTGTATACTTTGGGTACTCGTGTGTGTTATGCTCTGCAGAGAAAATGCCAGCTTGGGTGCACTGTACAGTCATTACATCATTAATCACCGTGGCAACTTGTACATCATTGGGGACCAAACGTTCATGTCGCTACCGGAGGTTATCGAGTTCTATCATGACCACTACCTGGATACCACTGTCTTGACGGAAATCGTAAGTTTCTCCAGCAAGCGCTCGTGCACACACACCCCGCACACTTGCGCGTGGGCACGCACTCTGTGTGCCTGTAATTCTCTCTCTCTCTCTCTCTCTCTCTCTCTCTCTCTCTCTCTCTCTCTCTCTCTCTCTCTCTCTCTCTCTCTCTCTCTCTCTCTCTCTCTCTCTCTTGCTCTCTTGCTCTCTTGCTCTCTTGCTCTCTCTCACACTCTCTCTCTGACTCACTCACACTCACTCTCTCTCACTCTCTCTCTCTCTCTCTCTCTCTCTCTCTCTCTCTCTCTCTCTCTCTCTCTCTCTCTCTCTCTCTTTCTCTCGCTCTCTGTCTGGACTGAACCTGAATGGACTTTAGGTTGTGCCAGATTGGCCACGCTAAACTGTTTAGGGATGTTACTACGTCCTATAGGAACGAATAACTTTGTGACTTTTTTTATCTGTGAGCTCTGGTGAATTGTGCCCCGAGGAAACAAATGATGGCGACTCTGAGGAGACTCGAGCGGTGCCGTTTTTTTTGCGTAACATTTCAGATGCTTCAAGGAAGTCTATCCACTCGTTGTTTTGGAAGTGGTTTTGTTCCACTGGACCAAATTGTTTTGAGCACAGTAACTCCTTAGGATGTGAATAAAAAAGCCGTGCTTTTTTTTGTTTCCAGGGGAAGTATTACAGTAGATTTTGCCCATCTCCACAAGAATCTCCACTGTGTACATGTTTAAGCAGTTGCTACAATCGTGGCCAAAGAAGTCCGACCCACGAGTCAAAAGCAGCGCCGCATTTCCTTTCCATTACATCATGCATGTTCCCAAAACCGATCCGAGGGCCGCATCGGAGCCTTGGCACTGCTTTTGGCACGAGAGTCGGATTTCTTTGGCCACGACTGTAGATCTCTGCTGTGAACCTGACGTGTGCACGGGCAGCTGAGCGCTAGATTTCCAATCATGAATGCCAGGGGTGGGGTTTTACGTGGGCACAGTATCAGCCCGGTGTGGTGTTCTTGCGTGATGGCGTGCTGGTGCTGTGTGTTTCTGCTGTTCCTATCAGGCTGACCGCCAGCAGCAAGGCCAGACATTAGTTGTAAGTCTGCATGCAATGATCAGCATTCTCTCATGCCGCTCAGTAGAATGCTGAGTCAGCACGCGCTTTTTTCCTATTTCAAAAGCCTTTCCGTAGTAATATCACGAATATCTCTGATTGCATTTTGCTCCAGCCCACTCCGTCTTTGCGCAATAGCCCTGGCTCTCTGCCTCTCCCTCTCTCCCCCCCCCCCTCTCTCTCTCTCCCTCTCTCTCCCCCCCCCTCTCTCTCTCTCTCTCTCTCTCTCTCTCTCTCTCTCTCTCTCTCTCTCTCTCTCTCTCTCTCTCTCTCTCTCTCTCTCTCTCTCTCTACCAGAAAAAGAAATGACCCAGCCACAATTTTCCTCCTCTTCTAAATTTCTTTCAAAGAAAAGTGCCTGACCCCCCCCCCTGCCCTCTCTTTCTCACTCACCTTTAGCTTGTGCATTTCCCGTCATTGACTGTGTTGTATATGCTCGTTGTACGCAGCAACCCAGACCTAAGGAAGGTGAACCCTTACCACCGCCTGTACGAGTGACTATGCCGGCAGCTCCTGAGCCTGCACCAGCTAGTAATGGACAAGTCATATGCACTGTCAAGGCACTGTTCAAGTTTCAGTCCGACGTAAGTATGGAACAGTCGATTGGCTTGGCGCACGCATGTCACTGTGCATGCAAGTGTGTGCGTGTATTGGTGCATGCATGTGTGTGTATTTGTGTGTGTGTGTGTGTGTGTGTGTGTGTGTGTGCGTGCGCGTGCGTGCGTGCGAATGCGCGGGTGTTGGGGTAACTGAGGGATAATTCCAACCAAGCAGCTATTTGGGGCACCACCCTGTTGAAGGACTGCACCGCCGCAGCCGACCTAGGGACTGCCATCTCAAGGCTGGTTGGTATAGGGTGGGCTGTGTCTCTCACTCTAGCTGGTGGTTAGCATCCACATCTGGTATCTCTGACACACCAGTGCAGTGCAGTGTATGTAGTGTAGGCTCTCGGCGCCTGTCACGCCATAGGGATCTCGTGAGGCACAAGTGCAAATCTGAACAACAGCCACCGATCTCACCGCGGAAAAGGTGCCTGCCGTTGTACTTGTTGCGATTGTTGGCTCGCGATTGTTGGTTCACTGTTCCGCCTCTGCTTCTTGGCCGTCATCCGCTGCTCTATCTACTGCCGCCGCGCTGCTGCCACCGCCTGTTAGTGCTGCAATTTGCACTTTGGGACCTGTGTACCGCTGCTTCCGATCCACTCAAGTCCGCAATCGTCATGGTTGTCCCAGGACCCGTCACCGTCCAACAATGAGCGAGAGCGTGACGACTTACTTACCTCACAGCCGAACTAGAACTAAGGACAACTTGCCATCATGATACACAACAAAAAGTACAGCTCGCGCATCCCTGTTACTACGAGCCATGCAATTGCGTTTAAGCACAACCAACTGATTTGAACAGCATACACCAAGTACAGTGCGTAAACTAAAACAGTTTTTGCACTGGAATTATTGCTAATGCCAGGTGTGGAGAGCATCCGTAGCTGCAGTATTGGGAGCGATGCTGGCGACGAATTGCACCGCAGGTTTTGACACTGTCCGTTTTTGTCGTGTACTGTAAGAGTTGAATGTGTGGCGAGTCTAAAGTTTGATGATTTGCGAAATGTCCCACTTAGCCGGCACTACGTTCAACGACCCTGCCATCACACACCTGTCTTCTATTTCTCTAGTACAGAGGAGAGAAGGAATAGCATACGTGTAACATTCCTTGAGTTAACAATGTATTCTTTCTCGTTAAACCGTTCCTTGAGTTAACAATGTATTCTTTCTCGTTAAACCGTTAGACTTTGTGCCCCGTTAGAGATTCAACTCTTACAGCATCTCTATTTCCACTGTCGTTGCAGGATTCAGAGGATCTTCCATTTGAAAAGGATGATATAATGTACATAATCAGCAAGGATGAAGATGCTTGGTGGACGGCGCGGCATTCTGTCTCTGGCCGACAGGGCTCCATACCTGTACCGTACGTGGAGGTGGAGGAGGTGAGAGAATCTGTTTGCAGTGCCCTTTGTCAGTGGATCAGCGTGTGAGTGAATGAGTGCATGCACGTGTGCATGCACGTGTGTGTGTGTGTGTGAGTGTGAGTGTGTGTGTGTGTGTGTGTGTGTGTGTTTGTGTGTGTGTGTGTGATTGTGTGTGTGAGTGTGTGTGTGTGTGTGTGTGTGTGCGTGCGTGCGTGCGTGCGAGCGTGCGTGTGGTAGGTATAATGCATGTACAATAAGACCTGTCAAGGCAACCACTCGGATGAGGCGACCATCTGTACTGGAAGACCACAGGAACCAGGACCAAGGAATGCTATTTCCAGTCAGTTGACCCTGGATAAGGACACCACCTGGTAACGGCCGAGACCACATTTTGAAGGTCCCTTGACCGGTCGTCTTAGAATAGACAGTCACAGGTTTCACTGTACTAGCGTAGAAATGCAAAACTGCATACTAGTATGTGTCCAGAAATCCCCCCCCCCCCCCCCTTCCACATTCTTGACCTTACACTCCTAGTTTTTCGTACCTGAATATACTTCCGGTCCGGAATATTTTTCGTGCATATTGAATTAGTTCGCTGCAGCTTCAGCCGTTCCCACACGGTCACATGGTCACTTCAAAGTCAAAGTTTCATCAATGTACAAATTCGCTCGTTTGTGGAGGACTACCGGAGAACCATGCTGATTCTAAATCTGCGATACGAATGGGGTGGGGGATCATCATACCCTTTTCTTGTGATAGTGACATTATAACATTGGAATTTTAGGCGAAATAGCAACATTTGTGGGGGGGGGGGCAGGCTTCCATACACGATAGTGCCGGTATACCGTCGGCTATGACGCGCATTCGGGTTTATGGAAGGGAAGTGTGCCCTAGCCGTGGTTCTTGCCACTGTCTCACCGTGACTACAGTATTCGTTTTGTCTTGTTGTTTTTTTACACACAGGCCAGTCAAGCGCCACCTCCTCGGCCTGTAAGTCAAATGTTCTTATGTGTCCAGAGCATGTTGTATATTTGTATTTATTCAACATGTCCTGCTCGTCAAACGACTGCCAATAGCAAATGAATGTGAAATGAAGAGCGACCACGGCAACTATCCGAAACAGCACACAAATGTAGAGAGAAAAGGACCTATACGTTACTAGTGCTGACTAACAGTCAACCAAGGTAACGAGACAATAGACAGTCAGATAGTGCGATAGGTCCTTTTCTCTTTACATATTTCGGGAAATAACCCGAGGTGATGAGAGTACAGGTACACAGCTTCTCTGCTCGCTTGTGTTTAGATTCTTTCCTAGTATTGTGATGGTGTGCTGACTGGGTTGTCTGAGCGGGTTGTTTCCAAAGCATCCAATCTGCCTTGTTTTTTGTTTTTGTTTTTTGTTTTTGTTTTTTTTGGACCTGATCCTCTTTTGAGCTGCTGTGCATGCCTGTTGCTGGATTGAAGTGCAATTTTTGACGTAGCATGCATACTCGGTATTTTGGTTCCCCACCACCTGATTGTGCAACCTGATCGTTTTCGCCTTGTTTTTGTTGTTGATTGTTATGTGCGGGGTCGTGTGTGTGTGTGTGTGTGTGTGGGTACAGGAGGAGCACAGAGCTCACGCTACGCGGCTAGAGGTAAGCAATGCTGCTGTTAAATGCCCGAAGCCAGATTCGTTCTCCTGAGATGGTGCACATGTGCACCGCCACCAGCTCCACTCGATTGTGCACTTGAAAATCCACTTTTCCTACCTAAAGCTGGTGAGCTAAACGTAGTGCGGTCCTGCGGAGTTTGGCGTGTTTAGGTCTGGCTGGTGCGAGAAAAGCTTCAGCCAGCTCTAGCCTAATGCAGCCTACAATGGAGTATACCTGGCGTGTTTTGCTAGGGCAGTGCAGTGCAGTGCCGCAAGGAAAGGAGTGACACGCCACCTCATTATGCCGATGGGGCAGAACATGTCAATATGGGCATCACAAATATCAAAATTACATAACCAAGAGTGAGCAACTTGACGATCCCCCCGACCCACGCCGGAATATGTTCATGACATCAGTCCGCCAAGTTTTGCTGTCAACATGCGTGGCCAGAGATCAAAGTACAAACAACCTGCACATGTACACTAAACCTATGGTAGCTGAAGCAGAACAACGGGTGGTAGATGCGTCTGTCCAGGTCCTGGGCCTGATGAACTGACACTATATCTATATGTTGAAAACTCAACTTCTGCGGCAATGTACGGGAGGAGTTACCTAGCAGATAGTACAAGACCAGCGTTGAAAAGCTCGCACACGTGGTCAAAGGTCTGCCCAAAATGGCTCTATAGACATGTAGATCACGCCGAGATTTCAGCTCATCGAAGCTCAAGAGACTAGTTCGTAGTTACTGTAAATATACAAAATTTCGGCGCTGCAAAATTTCGGCACTTCACGATTTTTGACATTTCGGCGGCGATTTATTTTCGGCGTGGGGTAGAGGGCATGGTATAGTGCGACAGATGCTGTGAAAAATTTCATCGGCGTTTTACTTTAGGCGGTTTGGGTCGGTGCCGAATACAGGTCCTCCCTCGTTAGTAGATAATCTCTGGGCCATCGAAAAAGTTATCTTATAACGAGACTTATCTTGTAGCAGGACTTGCAGCTAGAGGTGAAGTAGGCACTCCTTCGTACTTACCGGGGCTACCCTCGATACAACATAAATTATCGATGCTTCAACTCGTTATAAGATAATTGAAAATCTCCAAGTTACTCCAACATAACTCTTCCTTGAATACAAAGGATCGTCCATATTCACGAATACATAGACATAATACGGTTCCTCTTTCTGCTTTATCCTACGTGTTTTGGCCTTGGTCCTGCATGGTCAATATTATCTTATATTGAGGGTTTGGCACTCCAGGGACCTGGGCAAAGGGTCGTTATAACGGATTTTATGTAATAACGGATTATGTTGTAACCGGACTGTGAACAGTTGTATAGACCACGTTTCGCCAGGGGATTTCAGATTTCTATTTACTAACGGGGTTTATGTACTAACCGGACTCGTTATAATGAGGGAGGACCTGTATAGCCGAAATTAAATAGCTGCCGAAAATTTGTATATTTACAGTACACGCTCTTGGTTATGTACTGTTGCCAACGTGTTGATCTCTGACATGTGCTATGCATGTAGACAAAGACCTGGCTGATCTAGGCAAGGGACTGCTTGTTTTTGATCATCAAGCTAAATTTGTTTGGTCTCTCGTTTCATGTTATTCTGCACAGTCGACTGGAGCTCAAGGTAGTGAGCGTCAAGGAGGGTAAGCTGTCTGATGCCATTGTGATGCTCTGCAATTCCCTGCAGGGATATTGCCTTGATGCCATTGCATTGCTTTGCACTTCATGACTCGAACAGTGCAGCTGTAGCAAGAGAAATTGCCGTGAACCTGTGGATCTGAGCAGCACACACTGCACCGCTCCAGGTGGTGGTCGCCAGTGCAAAGGCCACACGGCCACGGAGCTGTTATGTTATGCGGTCAGGTGTCAGTTGCTACAACTGCGTGCGCAGTGTGCAGTATGATCGTAGACGCTAGGGTGTATTAGCACTAGATCTCATATATCGGTTGGTCGCGGGCATGTCTTTCTTATGCACAGAGTCTCAGACTCCTGCTCAGTCATGTCTCATGGCATCGCTGATTGTCTCTATATTTCTCCTCTTACCGACCGTTCTCCCTAATACCAATGTCTTCCCTAACCAACCTCGTCCTTGCTGGGATTGCTGACAAAGTGGATTTATCTCAGTTGGTAGATCATGAAACTGTCGGTGAATGTATCATATCCCTAAGTTTGAGGAGGTTGAAAACGGAAAACGTCTCGATAATAAACTGACCGCCACCACCAGGGCTCGACCCACGGACCCTCGCTTGTAGTGTCCTAGACGCAATTTTGTCAGCACTAATTACGGCAAGGACTGGAGATTGACAACCCTCAAAGTAAGCAAAGAGGAAGAGATCAGGCAATATAGTACTGACGGGAAGCAGTGCATGAGAAGTGTGTGGATGCATGGCCGGCAATCTTGGTAAGGCGGGAGATGAAGTACCACTACAGGCAGGCATTGCTCTACAGGATCATACTCATCATAGTCTGAATTCCTCCCCGCCAGTGAACTGAATAGTACCCACTGATAACTGATACAGTACCTTGTCTGTTCTTGTTGTTGTTGCTGCTGCTGCTGTTGCTGTTGCTGCGATGGTTGTTCTTGTTGCGGTCGTCATCATCGCCATTGCCGCCGTCGTTGCCGCCGTCGTTGCTTCTGCTATTCGTCTGTGCGTTCTGCTTGTTCTGTCCCTGTCCGCAGGCGCACTCAGTCACCACAGGTGAGTGATCCAAAGAAGATCTGTACTTTACTGTATTGTGGACTTTCTTGTGGAGGACATCTGCTTAGTTTGAGTTCAGTGTCCTTTCCTCAACAGCGGATGAACAATTTTCATTAACATTTGCGACTCTGTGTATTTCATAATTGAACCTAATCAAACTTCAGAACTTAGTACAAACGCTCAGCATGTTCATTCTTGTACACGCTGGCCGCTGTACGAAGAGTGCATGGACACCTTCCGGTGAAGTTTTCCCTTGGCTGTCTGCCAGCGCCAAATTCCTGGGCTAGGTGGCGGAGATAAGCCAAGGGAAATGAAAGCCAATCAGCTGAACAGATACGGTTCAGCTTGGGCTTGGCAGTTGTTGTTTTGTATTACCATAGTGTTATGGATTGCATGCATGTTATGTGCAACGTCACAGTCCTAGATTACATGCATGCTATGTGTGACGTCATTATCAGATTATCTTAGCTACTGTTACCATGCGCGTAGTTACTGTTGCCATGCGCGTAGTTACTGTTGCTATGCAGCACTCTCTGTATCTAGAGTGTGCGCATGTGTGTAATGTGCTTCTCCTTGGATCCATCTTGGCTTCCTGTGCTGCATGTCTTTCCTCTCTGGTTTTACCTTTACTTCCATGTTCCCTTTCAATGCAATGTATTTCTAAACTCTCCGATCCGTGAACTGTGTATGAGTAGTGTGCGGGCTGAATGCGAACCACAACACATACTATTACCATACTTCCCCACAGATATGTGCATGACGATGCTTAATATAAACGAAAATTTGCTGTGTAAACATGTCCGGGTGCGCTTATGTCCGGACATGAGCACAAGCGCTTATATGTGCGGAAGTACGGTATCAAGTCTGTACTGCTTCGCTGTGTGTTTGTCTGACCTTGCCCAGCAGCAACCTGCCCCCGGAGCAGCAGGAGTGGGTGGTGGTGGCGGCGCTGGCACACCGAGCCGAGTGCGTGCGCTAGCCATCCTGGACCGGTATGCCAGCGCCTACGACAACACTGCACTCTCGTTCAAGGTGAGGCCCGCTTGCCCCGGCTCTACTAGTCGACTCTTGATTCGGACCTTAGTCATAGCAAGTTTTCCTCTTGACTCCCCTCATGCCACGAAACCGGGAGCCTGAGCGTTTCCGTTGCCGTTTCGCTTTCAGTCGACTCCTGGTACATGTATTACGAACACCATTGTTCAGAAGAAGTAGTTCTTTATAGCTGAAGTTTGTTAGGCTGGCCTCGGCTCTTGATTGGGACTTTAGTCTTACATGTAGCAGGTTTCGTATCCTAGTGCAGTCTAAAACTGGCTCATTGTCCGTCATTGTCCCCCTATGTACCTACGCTGTACTTGTACCTACGCTGTACTTTCCCTTGTGACAAAACCTTGTACAGTACATGCACACCTACTGGGCTCTAGGGTCTCCTGTGCCTATGCACCTATGCACCTATGGCATGTCTACCACATGACCCTGTAGGGCTGTACCATGCTACTTCCAACTCCACAGTCAACCCCTGCATCTATGGGTGACATGATGCTGTACCATGCTAGTTCCAACTCCACAGTCAACCCCTGCATCTATCTGTCCCCGGGGAAAATTGCGATTCCGCGGCCGCATTTTTTCCACGTTTTTTGCGATTTTTTAAAAGACCGCGTTTTCCGCGATTTTCCCGCGTTTTTTGAACTTTTTTGTTGCACTACACGTACACACAGTGCACTGTTCGGTCAGCAACGTCTCATCGTGGTGGCTTTTTACTCAAATATGACGAGTGCTTACACCAGAGACTTGTAACTGATTGATTTCACTACATACTCACTGAAAATTGCCGCACATCAATATTATTCACCGCATATTTACCGCAAATTCACCGCAAATTATGCCATATTATGCCGCGTTTTTCCCCGCCTTTTTTGCGATTTTTTCCCGCAATTTTCCCCGGGGACAGATCTATGGGTGACATGATGCTGGCCACGATAGTTCCACTGTCCACATGCCATGATCACTCAGTTCTGCATAACTGCATGGGTCGCATTTCAGCCGCCACCACCGTACTGGTAGCTGATGATTTTAAAAGCGTATGCACTGCCACACGGCTGTGGTGTCCTACTGGAGACTACCGCCAGGCTGGTTTGAAATGGTTTATGGCTGTGTGCTTGTGTGTGTGTGTGTGTGCGGGTGCGCGCGCGTACGTGCGCGTGTGTGTGTGATATGTCCACTGGACAGCAGACTTTCTTCCACTTGTGAAGACAAGTGGTACTTACCTGCTAGGCCAGGCCATGTGTTCAGGCTGACCTGTGCCTGTTCTCAGTGACATCATTGTGACCCATGCCTGTTCTCAGTGACATCATTGTGACCCATGCCTGTTCGCAATGACATTGTGACCCATGCCTGTTCTCAGTGACATCATTGTGACCCATGCCTGTTCTCAGTGACATCATTGTGACCCATGCCTGTTCTCAGTGACATCATTGTGACCCATGCCTGTTCTCAGTGACATCATTGTATACATGTTGTGCTGGGTTTGTGTGCTTTCCCGAGTGCAGGCCGGAGAGACTATCACTGTACTACGGCAGAATGAGAACGGCCTCTGGGAGGGCGAGTTGAATGGCCGCCAGGGACACTTTCCGTTCACACACGTGCAGGTGATTGACGACGGAGACCAGGCAGCGACTTTCTACTGAAGCACCCGTGTGCGCCAAGGTGCACCTTCTTATGTTGAAGCTGGCTGGTACGGGCTATTTGTGTGCTAGCGGACCGGTAACAGTCTCAGCTTGGGATCCCACCCTGATTTTGATTGCAATGCATGCGTACCCGGTGTTGTTTTCTCTCCGATTGTGTGTATGCCAAATGTTAGGCTAGCTCAACTAGCTATTCCTGTAACGAACTTGATTTCACATTGCCCCCGGTGATTCTTGTGAGGTGGCGTCTATGCCATGCAGCTGCAACCGCGCTGCACTTGCCAAGCCACAAGATTTGTCCAGGTACAGTCAGCTACTCATCTTGTCCACCGGTACCATCAGCTACTCATCTTGTGCACTGCTACCGGGTACCGGGATACCGTCAGCTTCTGATCTTGTTCACTGGTCCCGTGATACCGTCAGCTACTGATTGTTGGTATTCTGCTGCCCGGATACTAGTGCTCAGACGGGTAGTAGTAGTAATAGTAGTGCTGGCTCTGGATGCCCTCCCCCCCCCCTCCCCACAGGAATGTGTTCATTCAATTTCATTGTCATCCGGATCTCTCTCTCTCTCTCTCTCTCTCTCTCTCTCTCTCTCTCTCTCTCTCTCTCTCTCTCTCTCTCTCTCTCTCTCTCACACACACACACACACACACACACACACACACACACACACACACACACACACACACACACACACACACACACACACACACACACACACACACACACACACACACACACACACACACACACACACACACACATGCACAGTGGCTTTGAGTTCAACGGGGTGGGCTACGTTCGTAACAGCACTCTGCTATGCCATTGCTAGTGTGTGCCAGACTTTGCTAGTGTGTGCCAGACTGTGGCCGAGTCGCCAATTCAGCTATCGCCTTTCAAGCATTCGCCTCATGTACATTGTGTGCTAAATGCTCCCATACTAGACTGCCAGAGCGGCTGCTAAACAATTAGATAGAATGTCTCCTGCCACAGCGTATGCTGCGGATGGTTCATGTACAGACGGCTGGGCACGACGCGTGCAGTGCGTAATCACAGTAACCCCCGCTCTCCCTAGTTTGCCTCGCGTGGTGCTTTTACGGCTAATTCTTCTCCTTCAATACCTTGTCACTTAAGCAGTCCTCCTGGCCAGTTTATCTTATTTGGGCGTCTAATTCCTAGTCCCTGCTCTCATTATTCCTAGCCGTATGCTACTGTGCCGACGATGGATTTCACATTGCCTTGCTCCGTGTATCTTCATGCTACGTTCTCCCCATATACATACCACCCAGGTACCGCCATTACGTAATACAGTGACTACTCAATTTTTCTCTCTTGCGCGCGCCAAGCAGTCGCCAGCCTCTGCGCTGCTGCCATGCAATGATTGTAACCATGGAAACCGTGCTCGGTACAGTGCGGTGCAAAGCTGTCTACCAAGACTCACTGGCTGTGCATGTGACTGTGACCTCAGGAGTTGTGCTGGTTGTTTGATGCGTGCATCCGGCCCGAGCACTGCAGCACTATCGGTGCTCGTAGCATTGCACAACGGGCGCATTTGCTGCTGTTGAAGTAACATTAGTTTGTTGCCGTGCGAGTGTTCAGTCCGGTCCGTTATTGTGTCAACATGTATACTGCATCACACTGATCAGTGGTGAGCATGTACTACAGCCAGTCATACATTGATCAGCGGTCAGCATGATTGTATACTGTTGTTGGGTACCTGCAATTTCCATTGGTTAACCACTGGGCAAGGCATCTAAAACGATGTCGTATAGAGGATACCTGGCTCTACAGACTAGTACAGTCAGACCTCGCTTATCCGGTCCTCTTTATCCGGATCCCTCGCCATCCGGAAGGAAATTGCTGGTTACAGATTTACAGCATACGTGGTGCATCCAACATAACCAGTGTTCAGTTATCCGGTTCCCTCGCCTATCCGGATGGTTTTGTGGAAAACAGATCAGTGTGCGGTTAAGCGAGGTCTCAGTCACTGTACATGTACAGTGTTTGTCAAGCTGATGGTGTTCTGCGGCTGGACTACCGGTACTTTGTTTTGGGTGATTACTAACATGCATGCATGCACGTAAAGCATGGTACAGTCAACTTCGCTTATAACGACACTCGGCGGGGCATTAGAAAAGTGTCCTTATTCGCAAAGTGTCCTTATACCCGAAGTCTCATTATATGTATTACAGTTAGGTGGGACTTTGCTCTGGGCATGGAAATCTGTCGTTTTTCGCGAATTGTCGTTATATCCACAGTCGTTATAAGCGAAGTTGACTATAGTTTCACGGTGGCTCCAAACTAACGACATTCTCTCTTTTCTTTTCCTGCACCCTCCCGTTCTTTCTGTAAGCTAAGACTGTGGTCTTTGACTGGTTTTGTTATAAACTTCCCTTGTGGGTAGAGAGAGAGAGAGAGTGTGTGTGTAGTAGTTAGCTATGTGAGGGTTTTGCCTCATGTGCATGTACATGAAAATGGGGTACTAATAGTACCCCATTTTTGCGTTGAAAATTATTTTTGGCCCGGTTTTTTTTTGCGGATGAAAAAAAATGTTGGTTTGGGTCTTAGGACCCCATTTTATGGGTCCCGACCTTTTTTTTTTAGTGAAAATTATTTTTGGCCCCTTTTTTTGCGTATAAAAATAATGTTGCGACTGTTATTTTGTACTCCTTTTTTTTCATGTCATTACAAAGAATAATGGAACGAACAGTGAATATCGCAATGGAGTGGAGGAGAAAGGTAGTACAATTCAGTTCTTGTTGTCCTGATTTCATCAAGCTGGTATTGGATGAGAGACCACAAAGTTTACTCTTCGAATACGTGTGAGGATGGATTCACCCATGATCTCTTCCGTGACACGCAGTACGAGGTGGAGTTGTCGGACGCTCTGATGTGCACCAATGGTTCCACCCAGTCAGCAATGGAACTGTCAGTCGACGACCTCCTTTGCACCGCCATCGTGTCAACAGTCGACTCGGGTAATTTGGAGATGAATCCATCGTCGCCGATGTCGATCGTACCAACTCGCACACGAATCCGCGTTACTCTTGTTGCAACGGCACGGAGTTGAACGGCCTTGGTACTACGTCGTACACGCAAACGATCAACTCGAGAGACTTCATTCTCGTTCACCTCCTTGACAAGTTGCATTACGTCGCTGGAATCCAAATAGGTTGCATCAGCGAAGAGGTCGATGATGTGTTGAGAGCACGGTTCGTCACGCATGTCACTAAGCTTGTAGAATGAGTGTCTACCATCAGTCCACCTTCGCAGTATGACACCATCATCAGTCTCACTAATAGTTCCGTAGTCCTCCACACCACCGATGACGATTTTAGGAAGGTGCTGTTTCCTATTCTTCACATTCAAGATCAGACTGGTGACCCTGCAGATAATATACTCAGCAGCAGTGAGTGGTGACATATCGAATCTTCTGGGATGTGCTATCATCGGGTCAAGATCCCTGGTTGTCTTGCTAGCACTGAGGCGACGGATTGAGAACTCTTCATTATCGCATGAAAATAAATACCATTTCTCTGCTCTGCACGTCTCAGAAAATGTCCACGCCATTTTAGCTTCTTCACACTGCAAGAAGGAGTCGATAATGAAACTGCCGGTTGAGACTACTTCACCTCGAGGTCAAAGTTCACGCCGCGATGACCTTTATAGGATACACAATGGACCACACAAACTCACCCGCGCGCATCACATACACTGTGCAATGACATCACAGTGAACTGCACGATCGGTGGATGTTTTACATGTAAGGAATTCCGGGAATTGGACTTCTCCGTTCCTGATTGGTCAATTCTTTCGTTTTCAGATCAATTCACTTGATCACGTGATCCAGAACATGCACACGTTTGACTGTGATCTTCTTTCCATACTGTATCAATTCGCTAAGGCGGCGGTATCATGTAAGGAATCTGTATGATGAGTTATGATTTTGGCGGGCACGATGCTGATTGGTCAAATGTTTTGGCGGGCTTAATGCTGATTGGTGAAATGTTTTTGGCGGGCTTGATGCTGATTGGTCAAATGTTTTTGGCGGGCTTGATTGGTTGACACATATCTTATCATTTCAATCCGCCTCCCTCTCTGACTCGTATAAATACGAATGATTGTCCTGCAGTTGAGTCATTCATTCATCGAGTACAGTGCTGACGAGTTGTCCTGAATTCACTTCCTAGAAGATGGCTTCCCTATGCGAGCGAAGGATGAGGAAGAATTCCGCTCTTCCTGCTGACCCTCCTCGAGTTGTGCTCTCTTCGAAGCCAGTACCGGCTAAGCGTCGCTATGCATCACCTGCTCCTACCAAGCTCCACAAAGAGATTGTGGTGGATGGGTTTCAGGAGGACATGCAGCTGTCCTACAAGTTATCGGGTAAATCCTTCTACAAGCCTGGATATAAGATGTACTTCCCTTCGGGAGCTCTGCCAGCCTGTGGTAGTACGGCAACAGCTCGCAAAGATGCTCAAGGACAAGTTTACATTGAACTGAACGAGTCCACTGAGTTCATCATTACGAACTTGATCAAGACTTGTCCATCGCTCCGTGACACTCTTCGAAGCGGACGTGTGGAGAAGATCAAAACCAACTTCTATACATCACGTTCGTCCGACGGTCAATGTCGGGTGTACATCAACGGTGAAAACAAGCTAGTCCCGACCAGCTCGTTTGAACTGGATGTGGAACAAGATGTATTCATCTACCCCGGGGCAGTCTCCCTCGACACTGACGAGCAAGTGATGAAGGTACGTCTTGCTGTTGCTCCAATCATCTGCATCAACGTGGAACCCAGATGTTTTCATCGTGCTCTGGACGCACACATGACACTTATATGTATAGCATCCACCGATCGTGTAGTTCGCTGTGATGTCATTGCACAGTGTATGTATACTATGTGCATGTGTGTGTGTGTGTTTGTGTGGTACATGATGCATCCTACAATCCACTGTGACGTCAATGCACACTCCATGATGTGCGCATCCATGGTCCGTGTGCCTTACGTATTTCCACCCCTGAAAATATGAGAAAATCAAGTACTATGAGAGTAAGAATTATATGAGCAGAAAGCTAGAAAAATCCTCCGTCTCATCGACCTTTCAATAGAAGAAAGGCATTCACATCTCAATCTGATATCATAGTCGAAAGATTCCAAACCCGAACAAAAAAGACTCACCATGACCGGGGAGGGGGGCGTCTTTCCGCTTTCGAAACACATCGTGTTCTCCAAGGTCGCCACCTCCCCGTGGCGTGACCCCTTGGTCTTGTTTGAGACGTCTAGACGTAGCCTTGTTTACAAAGGTCATCGCGGCGTGACCTTTGACCTCGAGGTGAAGTAGTCTCAACCTGCAGTTTCATTATCGACTCCTTCTTGCAGTGTGAAGAAGCTAAAATGGCGTGGACATTTTCTGAGACGTGCAGAGCAGAGAAATGGTATTTATTTTCATGCGATAATGAAGAGTTCTCAATCCGTCGCCTCAGTGCTAGCAAGACAACCAGGGATCTTGACCCGATGATAGCACATCCCAGAAGATTCGATATGTCACCACTCACTGCTGCTGAGTATATTATCTGCAGGGTCACCAGTCTGATCTTGAATGTGAAGAATAGGAAACAGCACCTTCCTAAAATCGTCATCGGTGGTGTGGAGGACTACGGAACTATTAGTGAGACCGATGATGGTGTCATACTGCGAAGGTGGACTGATGGTAGACACTCATTCTACAAGCTTAGTGACATGCGTGACGAACCGTGCTCTCAACACATCATCGACCTCTTCGCTGATGCAACCTATTTGGATTCCAGCGACGTAATGCAACTTGTCAAGGAGGTGAACGAGAATGAAGTCTCTCGAGTTGATCGTGTGCGTGTACGACGTAGTACCAAGGCCGTTCAACTCCGTGCCGTTGCAACAAGAGTAACGCGGATTCGTGTGCGAGTTGGTACGATCGACATCGGCGACGATGGATTCATCTCCAAATTACCCGAGTCGACTGTTGACACGATGGCGGTGCAAAGGAGGTCGTCGACTGACAGTTCCATTGCTGACTGGGTGGAACCATTGGTGCACATCAGAGCGTCCGACAACTCCACCTCGTACTGCGTGTCACGGAAGAGATCATGGGTGAATCAATCCTCACACGTAATCGAAGAGTAAACTTTGTGGTCTCTCATCCAATACCAGCTTGATGAAATCAGGACAACAAGAACTGAATTGTACTACCTTTCTCCTCCACTCCATTGCGATATTCACTGTTCGTTCCATTATTCTTTGTAATGACATGAAAAAAAAAGGAGTACAAAATAACAGTCGCAACATTATTTTTATACGCAAAATGAAGGGGCCAAAAATAATTTTCACTAAAAAAAAAGGTCGGGACCCATAAAAATGGGGTCCTAAGACCCAAACCAACATTTTTTTCATCCGCAAAAAAACCGGGCCAAAAATAATTTTCAACGCAAAAATGGGGTACTATTAGTACCCCATTTTCATGTACCTGTACATGCACATGAGACAAAACCCTCACATAGCTAACTACTGTGTGTGTGTGTGTGTGTGGAGGGGGGGGGGGCATGTGTGTGCGTGTGCACATGTGTTTGTGAAAGAGAGAGAGAGACACACACACACACACACACAGAGAGAGAGAGAGTGTGAGAAAGAGAATGTCCTCTACGTGCAGGAGAGGATGCGTACACACCAGTCCTCATCAGACTTGTACCAGTACAATGACCTGCAGTGTGCGGGAGTGGGGGGGGGGGGGGGGTTATCATACCTGTAGAAATTGAGGGCAATATCCCACTATTGTTATGTGTGGTTCCTAGGATAATAACTCTCAATCCAGTTTATTGCATAAGCTGACCGTCGTATACGATTTCTGAAACTACCAGACCTACTTAATTATTATTACTTGTACTGATGAAACATACGATCGTTGTCTGATGATTGGTTCAGCCATGAAACTCTGAGTCACAACAGAATTTGCCCAAGGTTTTCATTGTGTGCCTTTGTGTAATGAACCATACTAGTACTAGTATTCTCTGTACGAATACTGTGTTGCTGGGGAGTTTGAGATGCTAAAAAGTAGAACACTTTGGCATAATTATGATCGTAGGTATAGGTCGTTTAGTCTTCACGCAGTCAAGACACGAGATTCCAATTGCTCGGTGCATATACCAGTATAATTTCAAGTATTCCTAAGATATTCAAGGTGTACATGTCACTCTAAAAAAGGTTTGTCCAATAATTTAGTAAAATGTTCATCGGGTTGAGGGGCAACTATAGACGTGAACTGGGTGGGAATTTGTCTGCACCAATGAAACGGGCACGAAACCGCTCTCTTGGCAGATCGGACAGCCAGGCTCCTTTGACCAGCAGGCCCGCTGCGAGCCTTCCAATCTCGTCGCAGGACTTTGCTGCGCCGCCATTGCCGCCCGTCGCGACGTACAGAGTTCCTGGCCGCTGGGTGCCCGGTAGCACGTCGATGTAGGGTAGATAAGTTGGTGTGGTGAGCGTGGCGCACGAATCGAGCCTGAGGGAGATTGGCAGCAGCGATGGCATGATAGAACGCAGGATATCATGCAGGTGATCGCCAACGGCCGTGTCGTGGGAACGGTACCACTCAGCTATGGTCTGTGGCTCCGGTGGTATTGGATTGTCGTGGAGCTTGCCGTGGCCAATCTTCAAATACCATCTTCCGTCCGGATACCGAATTGCTGGCAATATGTACGCCAGCGACGGCGACAGTTTTGTGTTGTCCATGCCGCCGTTGTGCCAGAAGTCCCGCACCCACATGCCCGGCATTGCGTGCAGGACCGAGCGTGCACACTCCTCGCTCACCTCCGCCAATAGTGTAGTCTGGGTCTGCGGCACTGCGAGCAGGCGCAGCTGCTGTGGCAGCAGGGATGGCCATACGCTTGACACACCAGTGGCCAGCAGCACACGTCGAGCCAGCACTGCTGTCCCACTCTGCAACAACACCCGGTAATGATCGCCGTGATCGCGTACCGACATCACGACGTCACGGATCACTTTGCAGCCGTGACGGCGGGCCAACATCAACTGTGCCAGCACCAGTTTGCGTGGACTTACATGACCAGCATTTGTACTCGCCAGCACGCCACAGCAGACGTCGGGAATGCCGGCCAGGAAGGGAAACCGACCACTGATTGGCCGTACCGGCGTTGCTCGGCAATATGACGAGGCGAGCAGCGTATCGACATACTCTCGCACGGCTTTGGATTGATCCGGCGAGCCAACAACAGTCATACAGCCAACCTAGCCAGTGACCGAAGAACATCGGACACGTTGCACACACGCACGCACACACACACACACACACCGGCAACACACACACACACACACACACACACACACACACACACACCGGCAACACACACAGACACACCGGCAACACACACAGACACACCGGCAACACACACCACACACACACCACACACACACACAGACACACACACACACACACAGACTGTATGACTTAGGATCCTATAGATCAGCATAGCTACATGTACCAGGCCCGCTGGAACCTGTCCGGCTGGTCAGGTTATTCATAGTACCGGACCAACCGTTTTTGGCCATCAACCGTTTCCTATTGTAGAGGGCATGTGTACCCGCCATATCATACACAAAGTTTGAAAGGCCATGATACTACCGGACCAATCAAAAACTGCTTCCGACAGTCCTGCGTACTGTACCATACTTTCCGGAGTGTACTTGTAGTAAGCCGCACTTTAAAGTTAAAAAAAAAACACCAGTAGTTCATCCAAACAAGTCGGTGCAGCTTATACTACAGTGGTCAAATTAACGGTGCACCGGTGATAAACAGGGTACGACTACTAGTTAGATGTCTGTATATCGTGACCAAGCATCTGGGTGTGGATTTTACTCCGGAAACTACGGTAGGTACAGTGGAACTGATCTATTCCTAGCTGAAGTCCAAACCTAGCCGAGGCACGAACCTGGTTACAATGATTATGATAGCAGTTGTGTATAAGCTATAAGCTATACCTGGGAGCTTCTGCACTTTCTGCGAGATCATGTACTCTTGGTAATATTACACACAACTTCTTCGTAATTCCACAGCACCGTTTAAAAAAGTGTTCTTGAATGCACAAAACTCCAGCGCAGTCACTGTGCTGAAGCCGGATTGAGATCGGAAAATGTCGCAGAATATCATAATGCGGGACGGGAAGAGGCTAATAAAAACACAAAAACATTTTAGAAGTTTAGTTTTGAACAGACAACCGGTAACTTAACCCCGCGAACTGTTCCATGCTTGAACCGGAAGAGTTTATCAAAAAGATTACATGACTGATTGTATTATCGAAGCGTCCGGCGGCTAGGCATAGCAATATGCCACACGGCCCACAGGGTCTGTTGAAGAAACCCATGCTGGTAAATGTACGTACCTCGGAGAAAAACTGTACTCCAGTGCTGGCTTGAATCTGCCCGAAGCGTGCTATGGTCTTGCGAGCTAGCGCGGCTCCTAGCGGGTCTGATATGGTATCGCAGGTGACGATCCTGCCCTAGTAGTAGTAGTATTTATTTTATTTACCATCGGATGCCTCAACAGTGATACACACAACTCTTAAGAGGGCCGATAACGGGATAAGTGGAAAGGAAAGGAAAAGAAAGAAAAAATAGAAAAAAAAAAAAATTGGAATTCAGACATCACCCTCGTCGTCGTCCGCTCCGAACGCTATCCGGGTGGACCCAGCCTGGCGTTCTGCAGCGCTGGGAGGATCCGGACCGATCAAGCAAACGGACTTCTCGTCGGACAGGGACTGGCTGACATACTTGGCACAGGCACTGCCGATGAGACCTGCACCGACGATTGCATAGTCGTACGTTGTCATTGGGTAGTTTGATTTGAGATCAAGCGCCGGTACGGTATGTAATCTGATTGGACTCAGGCTCCGGCTTGAAATAGTCTTTGTTTAGTCGCAATCAAAAATCCAATTATTTTGATTCATTTTGTGGAAATGACATGATTGTATGACTGACGTGACATGACTGTACATAAAGATGTGTAAGCAACACGTGACAGTGACGTACTCTAGGAACACCCGCTTATAACACAATCGACTCCTGATATAACGAACACCATTGTGCAGGAGAATATTAGTTCTTTTTTTAGCCGAAGTTCGTTATACCAGAAATGCACTCACACCATTCAAGCGGCAATTGCGCTTGTTCAACCATGTTCGATTGGGAATAAAGGAGGAACGCTGCATCGCAGCCTTTTCGGACCAAAACCAGTCGACTCAGCTTCCAAAAGACTACAACATATGGGCCAATCGCGGTCATCCGTACTTTTATAAGAACGAAATGGCGCTTTTAGTGACATTTTGCATACAAATCCCCATCTAGTAGGGCGCAGTCACCCAGTTTCGGTGGAAGTGCGCGAGTTCGATTGGAATTCAAGTAGGAAGGGAGCGTCTCAGCTTTCTCGGACCAAGACCATTCGACTCAGCACCCCGAAGACTACAACTGGTGAAATTTTAATTTTTGCTTTCATCTTTGGTAAGTGTACAGTCATGTATATCCTTTGACTGGCAAGAGCCAGTCAAAGGATATACATGACTGTACATGTACATGTAGCCTTGAGCAAGTTGAGGACTGAGAAGACTGAAGCACACTATGGTAGTACATGTTCATTGTACATTGTACGTACCACTATCCTAATTTAGACGAGATAAGAAGACAAGCATGCCTGGTTATGCGGGGAATCCGGAGCCAGGATTAGACTGGAGGCTGCTACTACAGTAGCAGTCCGCTACCAGTACATGTACTGTATGATTGACCGGACACGTGCATAAATGTTATCTTTGCCATGATTGTGTGTACATAAGCTAGTTGCTTTACCATGTGTGTACATGTGCATGTACGTGTGCATTGTCGCGTTACCATGTATGTGCATGGGCATGCACGTAACGTTGTGCGGAGGTGCTCTTCGTAAACTGCGTGGACCAAGTTGATGGTCACCGCAACAAAGGCCACACCTATACGTGTATGTGTATGTCATGACATTGCCTATACTATAGAGCCAAACCTGGCATCATCGGTACATCCACATTCAAATCGTCTCAATCTCCACTCCTCCCTCCCACTCCCGCCTGTAGTCCTTGGCGGAGGAGAATATTTCGCGGAGTCTGCTCGAAAGGCAGTGAAATTGGCAGAACCATACAAACCGTACGGCAGGCACTTCCTTGAATTCTGCTCCATTTCCTTATCCACATACCAAACACGCATGGAACAACCCAGAAGAAGTGCCAATACCTGACACTTTTTCTACTGGCATTATCCGCCAGGGGCTACCCACCTAGCACAAGATAGTCCCGCGGCCGCAATAGCATATGGACTGGAGCACTGGACTGGAGCACCCACTGCAGCGTGCAGAGTGACCAGGTGACTTTCTCTCCCAGATTTCACCAATTCACCATGCTCTCTTCTCTCCCCCACATCCGTCGAAGTTCATTTCTCTAAAGGATGCATAATTATTATCTTCAGCAATGCCCCACAAGTAGCGCCTGCGTCCGAACTGAGAAACGCAAATGCAAAGTATTCAGAAGTACAGGAAACGTCTTGTAGGATGCGTGGTGGACTGTCACCGCATGTACTTTGTACAGAGTTTCAATCGTGTTCAGTTGCCATGCACCGGCTCAGTAGTATGGGCATAATTATTACTCACACTACATTGCTGAAAAAGTCTGAATTCATGTTGTATCCTGGCCATCTTTACTTCTCGTTGCTACGGTGATTGGTTTGGGTAGTTTGTTGGCAAGTTCAGCACACTGTGCAATGCGTATAAACAGTTCTGGCAGGACGCAGTCCTTGCCTAAACCAGGGTCAAGAGCACGCTTTACAGCTGACTCACTGGGTAGCTTCCAGCGTTCGATGCATCGCCCTCGCTGTGCGTGCTGCTCGGGATTGCCTTGCTGTGCGAGCTCGGACTGATTGCGGTGTGCCTTCTGTCCATCATCGTGACCGTACACGTGCTTGTGTATACCATCCAACCAGGCATGACACACAATGCGACCGTGCTGCTCGGCTTGCTGTGCGCCGTCGTGCGTTCTGTCTGTTATCTCCACCTCAGTAGCCTGAGCCAAGTCTAGTGTTTCCGTAGAAGTCATCAGTTTATTCAGAGCGCTCTCCCTGAGCAGCTGCACACTTACACGGCCACACGCCAGCACAAACTCAGCATAGCGAACGTAGAACTCAAACAGACTCAGCACCGTGGCAGTGGACGGCGGTGGCACCGCTTGTCTGGAATCGGACAGGCTTGTGCTCTCCTGATCAGTACTCTGAGCAATATCTGAGCCACTCAAAGCAGCCGCTGTGCACGCTTGATAAAACTCTCCAAGGTCACACGCTGCGTGGATCACGGAGACAGGAAAGTCGGCGCACACAAGTTGTACAAGTCCGAACAAATCTCTCCAGAGACACGACGCAGCCCCCATTTCCTTTCCTTGCTTTTCCCTGAGTACATCATTCACCATCATGCTGACCAGGTGGATGAAGGATAGTCGGTTCCTCTGCGTGGCCATGATAAACACAAACCGACGTCCTAGCACGTGCCTTCCTGCAAGAAGCGATTCAAAGTACGCTGCCAGCCGTGTGCTGAAGCGAGTTGTCTTCTCCTCACTGGTACCGCCGCGCATTTTTCGCATTGTCCCATCGACTGCCATACTGCGAACGGCATCCTCTAGGTAGAATTTCAAGCAGGTTGAATCTAGGTAGTCGTATTGGCAGCGTGTAAACTTTTCCTCGTCGTTTTCAACCTCGGGTTGCGCTCGCTCCATTGCAGAGTACCTTCCAAACGTCTGATATCTGTGGCGATTTTGTGAGATACAGTACGCAAATGGATATGCGCAAGTACAGTGCAGGAAATAAGAACTGCAGAAGCACCCCCCAGCAACAAGTTACCAATGATTTACGAACAGGTCCAACGGCAACAACAGTGAACGGTGACGATCGATCGACGCCTCAGATTCTGTGAAGTTTAAAATTGACTTTCACGCCCATGATGATGTAGATCGACTACAAGTTTGTAGGGGATCCACCACACTAACGATAACATGCTGTGAAACCGAACACTCCGCCACAAAGTGACGAACACCACCCATGGCCATGCCCATGGACCAAGTTGCTGCGTGCTCTGGAGTCTGGTCCGTGAGTCGAGTGTTCATTCAAAGAACTAACTCAGATTCAGCCTTCTGAAACTCTACCGGCGCAGGCGTGGATAACACAGGAAAATAATGGCTGTCATCACCAGGCCTCGAACCAGGGGCAGGGCCCTTGCTGAAAGCGTGAAGTCCGGATCAGCGATGCTCTAACCGCCAAGCCATGCCTGGCGTTGTCACAGTCGTATCCTGAGTACAGTAACCAGATAAGAACGGACAGATCATACTGTTCAGCATTTTCTCAGACTTGATCAATACAGCTGTTGTCACAGGCATTGTACTTCGAAGTAAACCAGTATTTTTTCCGTTCTTAGTACATGTACTACATGTAGTATTATGCAGGGAGTCTAGTCGTCAAAGTATTTGACGACTCCCTGGCAGCGGTGGCGCGGGCGTAGCCAGGATATTGATCAAGGCCAAGGGGGGGGGGGGGCACGACTTTCCCCACACAAAGGACTAGGTACATGAATGTACATTCGTATGTTGGTCCTTTCATGCTTATTATTTCAATATTTGATCCACAAAACGGCGGGCGGGGGGGGGGAGCAAAGTTAGCCCCACATTTGAAGCTGAAGATCAATCAGCGATTGGCAAACTTTAAACCAGGGAGTGACAATAACTGAATAAGTATCTAATATTAATATTGACTGTGTAGAGAGGTCAATATAGGAAATAAAAGCCGAGTAAAAGACCGAGGCGAAGCCGAGGTCTTTTACGAGGTTTTATTTCCTATACTGACCAAGTACGAAGTCAATATTAGATTTATCACGACAAACAGTCCGTATTTCAAAATTCCAGAACGATAACCTCATGAATCACGGTTGTATGATTGCACAACCGTTGCACCACCACCTACTCATGCCGTGACAATGCTGCACTAGGCACCGTTCAACTGCGCAACGCCTAAGGAGTCAAATATAAGCAGTCAATATAGCCCTAAGGAGTGAAATATGCAGGAATATTTGACTGCTTAGGTATAGCGAAAATTAATGGGAGTCAATACTAAGGGAGTGATAATGGTATTTTACTACTCCCTGCTTCCAACTAATGGTGAGCTAAGTCCTTGATGCTGCTTTCTCCAAAATTATCACACTCCACGATGGCGTGACGCCAATAAGGACGATTGATAAGTGTGATAGAACTGGTACTACTACTAGCCAGAAACAGCTAGATGGAAATTAACCGGGGACACGTTCGAGATATCAGAAACATCGCATCGCATATCGTCTTGGAGTGTAACACCAAGGTGCCTATGTTGGTGGACCTGCTGCAGCCGGGTCGAGTGGAGCGTGATGTGGATGATGTGTTGGGGTTGGAAGGAAAGGACGATGATTTTCGTGGTGTTGACGAGGAGATGCCAATCCTTCAACCATCGTCCTGCTGCGATGTATGTCCCACAAACACTGCAAACTGCACTTCAACGTTGCTTTCAAAGTTTCTCTCTTCTGCTGATGTGCCCACACTTGCAACACACACGTCCTTGCCTTTCCACAACCTCCAACGCCACCACTCAACAGCCAGAACTACATAATCATTATACAAAACATAGCCAGAACGAACTGCTATGTCTGCCGGGTGTTTTCCATGGACCGTGTTGCTACTTCTACCCATGGCGTGCGTGTGTGATTCTTTGCTTCTAACAAAACATGTAGAGTGCGATACACAATCATGTGCTAAGTCTGCTGATGTCTGACGTGATACTGCAGAACGACAGGTAGATCTACGAAGCGGAGTTCAGTTGCCCTTGACTAGAAGTTTCATTGCAAAATGGCCAATCATCATGACAAAATAATCAACTTCAATTAGGAACTTGAAAATACCGCCATTCCGGCAACAGGCTCTCAGCTCGAGTCAGCTGCACCAAATAGATAAATAAATAACTTTGCCAATATTTCGCCCAATGGGCGATATATGGGCAACGTCTATTTGGTGCAGCTGAGAGCCTGTTGCCGGAATGGCGGTATTTTCAAGTGCAAGAAATACACTGCAATGGAGTTTGGGAATTCTGAAGAAACGTTTTCAATTAGGAACATGACTTAAATTACATCAAGAGTACATAACCCCAATAATGGGGGATATGCACTCTTGCTTACATGTACATTGTACATGTACATGTAGGTCTGAACTGAGTCTGTGAGTACAATGCCTACTAGTAGCACTAGTGGTAGGCACTGTTTACTGAGTAGTAGTACTCAGTAGATCTACTCCCTGGTCTGAACAGGGATGGCTACAGTATGCGATGTGCAGAGTTGCACATGTGATCAGCGGTCCGCGTATTATGGTCCCTCTCGAACCAGACCCCCTCGACTTAGGCCTCGGCCTTTGGGGAATCCATAAATAAAATTAAAATAAAAAAAATAAAAAATTGATGCTTGATGATGATGCGCGTGAGTGTCGTCCTCGCCGTGGTCGTCCTCCAAAATGTGCTGTCCAGTCCATCGGTGGATCTTCCTCTTCCTGTGAAGATGTGACTGCATGCCCGTCCTCCTCCGCGTGTGTAGGGCAGGGTCCAGCTGAGAACAGCGTGAAAGATGGTGAAAGACCGACACGTAAACCACCGAAATTGACAAAGGATCTGTCTGCGTCGGGAAGGGTTACGCGAAGCCAAGTAAAAATACGGGCTGGTGAGGACGCACGTACAACGACAACGGAAGTGACAACAACAGTCAATATTCGAAAACGTGGTAGACCGCGAAAACGAACCTCAATACCGGACAAGTTGGAGTAAGAAGATCAATAGAAATCCGCAATGGAGGAGACGTAGCTGAAAGGACACTGGGCATCGCGCACACAACGGCTAGTGTCAGAAAACGTGGAAGGTCGCGGAAAAGCAAAGAGACGGATAGTGGTGATGCCGCGAAGAGGCGAGATGACGGGACATTGGAGGAGACAACACCCAACGGAGCTAAGAATCGCACTTCGTCCATCAAGCAACATCTGTCAGCCCGTACCAATTGTCGTGAGTTGTACAGTGATAATGTGTTCTCAATATTGTCACGTGGTAGATGTGCGTTGCATCTGGCTGTGTTAGAAGCTTTGTATATCCGTAAGTTAGATCCTGAACTTTGCGTACAGAAAGAAAATGTGTTGTCGCTACAATTGTTTGGTGTTACTCCTCGTCGAGGTGTTAACAATGTAACTTAATTTGCTCACTATGTTCTTGTCACTATTATTATTTCCTTCGAGTTTTGTGTCGTGCTGAACTTGATAATTTTCCACCTTGTCACGAGTGTTGTTATCTCATATCTTTACGCTATATAAGTTCTAGTCTTTCCAACTTGAGCCATTCCCTGTATAATCCTTGATGAGAAGGGACCGAAAACGTTCGGATACTTTGACAAGTGCCTTATTTTGACTGGATGTGTGTTTGCGTGGATACTTACGACCCAACACGGGGGGTTGAGATCCATTTTTTTCTGCTCGTCTTGACCCTGCCTCCCCTGATTGCTACTTCCATTTTCGTATTTTTATTTTCATTTATTTTTCTCTTCATTTCTGACTCTTCTTACTGGTTGTCATCGCTTCCATAATATTGGGCAGAACTGCCCGTTTGCCTTGCGATGTAAAATAAATAAACAACAACAACAACAACAACACGTACCTTCGTTATTAAAGTATTATCCGCCTCCGACTTCTTGTAAAATAAAAAATAATAATAAAAAAAGCTGCGAAACAAGATCGAACTTACCTTTGGGGGGGGGGTGCTTTAGCACCCAAAGCACCCCCCCCCCCCTGCCTACGCCCCTACCTGGTATAAATTAATGCTACGTGTAGTAAGCAGACTTGTACAACGGTATATTGATCGGAAGATAAGAGGCAGGCATATGGTGGGATGATCGAAGATCCTGAGTGAGAAACAGAGGCTGAGAGGCCGGGATGGAATCATGGCCAACATGGATTCAGCCAAGAGTGCATAACTCCGGTTTGCGCACTCCGGGTTTTCAGTCCTTGGACTTTGATCACGTTGTTGGTGATTACATTGGTCTGATGATCTACTCACCTCCCACTGCTTTAGGTGCTGCATCTGAGCCTGTATTAAATTATTGATCTTGGCTAGACAGTTATTTCAGTCCTACTCGCTCCACCCGCCCGTCTGGTTTTCATCACGGCATAGTCATTGCTGATGTTGCATGGGATCACCAGACTTCATACTGGTACATACACTAATAGCAAGACTCTTGCTAATAGAGAGGTTCCGGGGTACGATTTTCCGTGCCAAAATCCGTATGGGCGCTACGGATTTTTTTCCAGGCGTGCTCCATACGATTTTTCGGCACGAGAATCCGTGTGGACTGGCTTTCATACGAACCATGCTTCGTATGGAGATTTTGCGTCATCGGGTGCAGAAAGATTTTTCGCGTACAAATTTGGTACGAGAAACATCGATTTTTCGCGGGAAGTTTTGATTTCGGTACAAATTTTCAAAATAAAAAGGCATAGCGCGGGAATGTGACGTGTTTGCGATCGTAGCCTAGGCAATGACGGCAAACACATAAGTTCCGTACCCCGGAACTTTTCACTGCTCGAAAACGACGTATAAACAGTCGATGCGCCAAGCCAGCTGAGTGGGTCTTTTTATTTTTTTCGCGCGAAAGTTTATGTGGTGAACTGTGTTGGTAAAGATGAAGATGTCAGTCAATGAAATTTGCTATATTTCTTGTGTCTAACCAACCCTGTACGGATCGAACTGACGATTCCCGAGTGCGACAAATGTCCTGAAGTCTGCTCCTATTAGCTAGGTATCTAGAAATTTCAACTTGAGTGTCAAGTGAAGACTTTGCCAGTTGCAGACGAGGGAATTCTCGCTTCACGATTTTCCTGGTGTGTGGAGATATGTTGGAATGCCGACCCACCACACCCGAAATGATGCTTCGGCCGGAATGCAGGTTGGTGCAGATAATTGCCTAATAATATATGTCTAAGCGTGTATACCTTTCCTTTCGTTGCATGCTTGGTTAATCCGACGGCACGAAATTATAGACATTTCGAAATTAACTTGAATATTATTTGGTCGTTGTATGTCTTAGTATTCCCTGGCAGTTTGTGCCTTT